CACAGACTACAACCAACATGGCTTCTTTTGGCATCTGCTATTATCTCTAGGGCAATGTTTACAAATTCTTATCATTTTTTTTTTTCAGATAAAAGTGACCAGTAATGAGATTCACTTTTATCATTAATGGAAAATAATAATAGAGAGCAAAATCAAATAATATATATAACTATAAAATAGTAATACAATTAGGTAGTTTTAAAAAAAAATATATCTATATATATATATCACTTGTAACTATTTCTTAGTGGTGATACACGAGTACTATTAAATTGATACGAAATTACGAAATTTTCGTTTTAATAAAATATGGTTTATGAATCCATTACTTTGATAGGAGTTCTTCCTACATTACATTGAAGTTTTTAAACAATTACCCATCTTAAAAAATAAGTTTTTAAATAGAATACAAGTTTATGTGCATATGCTTTTGTTGAATGTTTATTTTAATTTCCTGTTTTTTTGCACTTGCCTAGTAGACCAAATACCTATATCGAACAAAATATTTTAAAAATTAATTTTTCAAAAAGGGAACTAAGATTTTATTAAAAAAATAACTTTTAATTTAAAATTAATTATAAAAAAATGTTATATTTTATTTATTATGTTTATTTGTATTAACTATTGACGTAGGTACTCTATTATTTATAAGTAAATGTGTATTTGTTTAGTATAAGTATTAGTATTATTATTTCAATAATTTGATAATATATCACATATCTTGTATCTACTATCTTTTCTACTTTCATATCTTGTATTTTGATACACTAAATGAACCTATGTATCATGTATAATCTTTTTTGAGTATCTTGCTTAACCCTGTGAATATATTTCATGTAAAACTAGAACTAATCCATCCGTTATGGAAATAATAGCTAAAGTTAGTGTTTAATGCAGAAAGAGGACAAGTCCAGGACAATATTCCATTTCTGAGCTGAATTTCACAAAAGAAGTGAGAAAATTGAAACTTTGAAAAAAAAACTGGACTCTTTACTGATAAATGAAGTAGAAGTGTATAACATACTTGACAGTTATATACATAATTATTATAAAGCAGAAGTTGAAGATTGTGTCATGTACTATATTTGTTAATTATTGCTATATAACAAAAAACATTTAAAAAAAAATTAAATGAAATAATTGTTTTAGTGTTAACTGGTATGTATATGAAATAATTTATTTTAGAATAATCACCAATTTGAAGTTAATCACTAATCTCTATGATTTAGGTAAAAGTCTTAATCAAGCAAACTAGAAGCTACTTTTCTTAATTTAAAAACACATGGTGGTTTAATACATGCAAATGATTTTTTATTTAGATTACTGACCACTGTTGAAAAATCATTTGTCAAATATTGTGAAAACAATGATGTTTTTTAATAACGATCAATTACTATTTTGACAACAATCAGGGAATCAATTTACCTTGTATTGTTTTATAAAAAAGATGTACTTACACAAATTATTTCAAATTTTATTATCATACGAATGCAACGGTATGCATTAATATCAATTAAAAAATTCAATTAAACTTAATGCATAAAAAAAATTAGCTAAATTAGTAAATACAAAATAATAAACCATAATTAATAATGTCCTATAATTTGTGTACATTTAAGATTAATATAAAATATATATTATTATTTTAAAATAATTTATGTGTTGTTTATACAATATAAAATATTGTTATGCATAATAAAATTATTATAAAGTAGGTATATTTATATTACATTAGAGTGAACAATTTTGCCACTAGCCTTTTCGCTGACAACTTTCATAATGAAAATATTCTAGGTGTTATTAAGTTATTTTATATTTTCGTGTTTTTATATGTATTTTTGTTTGGTAGGTATCTGTGATTAAAATGTTATGCCTAATGCTTAATTTATCTATAGTTAAATTTCGTTATCAATGTTTTGCGTTATTGTGGTGACTGTGATAATCGAAAACATATTATATTATTGTATTATTAATTCATATTTGATATTATTATTATAGTTTATGAGTGATAATAATATTAACTTTTACAGCCGCTACTTAATGATAATCAATATTCTGGTAATAACCTGAATATATAAACATGATTGAGCAATACTTGTAAATTTAACATACGGTAAAACTTTAATTTATCAACTGTTAGTTTATTATCAAATAAATATTTAACACTAGATTTGTCAATAAGTAACTACGGGTTTGGTGCAACCGAGCATAAGTGGTTTAAAATACAAATTCGTTTGTGTACAGTCGCTTAGGTTTTCACCGCTTTTGGCGCTATAAAGATAAAACAAACGAAAATACTCAATTAAAATAATAATGCTAGCAACATTATGAAATAATAAATACTTTTAATATTGCTTAATTAATTGATGTAAGTTTATAAAATTAGAAAATATTACAAACGTTGATAATTAATAAATTAATTATTATCGGTATCAGATTCGTTTACAAAAATTTATCAGTACTTATCGAATTGTCTTCTATGAAATTCGATAAGAATGTAGATAAGTACATCGTTCAATATACAGTGTCCTACGGAGATAACTATTGTAATAATTGAATATTAGCCATAATAATAACACTTATGTTTTATTTATTATTATTCTGATAATTAGATAATTATATAATACATTTATTATTTAGACAACAATATAATTATAAAGCTGACTGTAATCGCATTTGCTATTTGAACATTATTATTATGTTCATTGTTAGGAAAGTTCTTTTTAAAAATGAGCTAGTTTAAGTTCATCAAATTGAAATATGATATATAGTGTTAACCCCAATTGAAAAATCAATTTCTTTGCGCAGAACCACGAAATTTGAATCTTACCTTTAGTTAGTAGTTAGTACCTATTTGGTTGTTATTTTATCTTATGTAAAGACCGTGCCATAGAGTAGTAGATATATTTTAATATGTTAACTCGACCAAAGGTCTATATATATACTATATTTATAGTATAAATACTATATATATAGTATAAATACTATATATATCCCTAGAATGAACGAATGATTACGCAATTATTGATAAAATAATTTTATTTATGCGCAATTTTTTTCTTTGATACCTAATAAAAATTTGGGTAAAAAGTCTTTACAAGAAATTCTAAGTTTCTAGAGTTTCTGCGCCACCAATGTAATTGTGTTATTACTGGATTTATTACAAAAATTAAACGTTATAATTTAAAAATACAACTTAGGTCTATGCAAGTTAATTTGCCAAAGAACGAACTAAAAACGTTCAAGTTGATTTCTTGAAAATTGAATTCGTTCATATCTAGATCACACAATATGAACGCATTATTTCCCTTCACTAGTTATTATGGGTAATTTTCTTTTCTCTGAGCTTTAAAAAGTTATAAAAAATCACGAATTAAATGAAAATGTCAAAATTTTCAAAATAATGAACTTTATAAAATTGTTATTTTCAATTTTTTCTATAATAATAATAATAAAAAGATATTTTTACATTTGTTTACGAAAATATAACAAATGATTCAAGTATAAAATAATAGTAGTCCTTATCCCTGAGAGTAATATAAGAAAAATAAAATTAGATTATCTTTATTATATCAGGAAATATTGGAATGAATATATTCGTAGAAAACTATAGTATATATTTATTATGAATTATGATTCCGCTATCAATAAATACAAATCTATACTTATCTGAATTCTGAGTTATTTATAATGAAAAATATATTTTGGTATAATTGTAGTTTAGCTACCAAGCGATATTTTCGATTTTTTTTAAACTTTTATTTTAAAAATTTTAAGAATGATAACGTAAATGAAAATTGAGATTGATCTTTAGTTTTGAAGTGTCATTAGAAATTTATCATTTTTGTGGATATTATGTGTGCCATATTAAATATCAACCTACTCAATATTACATTCCTTTAACATTAGTTGTCATAACCTATAATACTTTTAGACTTTTCCCCGTTCCTTACTCAGCCTAGTTTTGCACAACAAATAGAGGGTTTTTTACGATTAAAATAGTAACTAACTTATTAAAACAATTTCAAAATATTATCGTATGCAGTGAGTACACTAATTAAAACATTGAAAAAATTGCAAAAAAAATAGTAATAAAGATAGAGGGTTGGTTTGTTCTTGAGAGTTCAGTAATGGTGATAGGTATGCATCACTACTAGGCGACGACAAGTCGACAACCAATATTGAACAGAATAATGCAGTATTGCATGAATGCAATACTTACTTAACACACATAATATTCATAAAAACAACAAACTTCAAAACTAATGATCAGACCTAATTTTTGTTTGGGCCATCATTTTTAAAACGTTGATTTATTTATTTTTCCAAAAAAAAATTTTTAAAAAAATCGATCGTAGTTAAACCGCAATAATTTCCCATTTATTAATTACCTATCACTTATTAGCGCGGTATAATAACAAGACCATACTCGGATAGTTATCGCTTATCATCTATGTAGTTATTGGATAAATTTATAAAACAGCACCGCACCGGTAAAAATACTCACCGGATATGTGACATTTATGGGTTTCGGATTTGTACGGACTATGGAGTGCATTAAAAGAGGTGAACTAACGTAGTTTAGTAGTTTCTGGAGGTAAAAGAGGCGTGTAGGTGAAAGGTTAGGTTAGGACGTATTCTATGGTTCAAACGTGTGGGGCGGAGAATTATCAAAATTATTTAGTATTTCAGTCATAAGTGTGACCAACTTGAATTCGGTGCTGACTTCTAGAAAATTCGCGGTACAACCAAATTGTAGGTATTGAGACATTGAAAAATTCCAAAAAACAAAACTAAACATTGTTTTCATTAAAAATAAATATAAAATTGGGAATTTCTTAAATTCAGGTAGCAGAAATAATTCTATGATGTAAGTACTTAACTTATACAATGCTTAACGAAAACAGTTAGAATATTATAATATATTTTTTAATTATATTTCATTATTTTATGTGACGGCACTGATTCTGAACATCAAATTTTACATGATTTTTGTTTAAGCGTCTTTGCAAGATTATGCGAAACCAAAACTCTAAAGATAATTTATGTTCATAAGGCATTGTACTTCTACATTTGTATCATTCTTTTTTATTATGATGATTTTATAAATTGCTGGATTTAAGATTAAGAACATCAGTACATAAGAAATTTTACACTTTGATATTTATGTTTCATTTAGAGTTAATATTTTGTATTAAATTTGCCCAAATCAGCTGTTACTAGAATGTTTTACCGAGAACTGCAAATCTCACTTGGACATTGATAAAACTTTCATATTACAAATAATTGTGTTCGCGCTACCATTTTCTGTAATTTTTTATTAATATTATTTTTTAATAATTTCAAATATATATTAAATAATATTATTGCATTTTTGAAATGCTGAGTTAATATGTATTTTAGAATTTTCTTTTTTTTAAATATATTTTAGGTAATTCAATTCCGATTACGGAGAATTCCAATATTGACCAATTCATTCAATAATATGACTGAACAAGTAGAAGTTAAAGGTGAGTACTACTACTAGATTTTATTATTAAAACATGTATTAAGTACGATTCATTTTTTAGAAAATTTAAACTCATTCCCTTAAAGTTAAATAAATGTAAAATAATAATTTAACAATAAGGAAATTTTATAATGGTTCCTACATCTTAGTATGTATTATCTTTTATCTTTGTGTTGATTATTTTTACCTAATTACTCGTATGTTTTTAATTTTTACTTTACTTTTCTATCTATGAATGTGCATTATTAAATCAAAATAAAACATTTAATTGTAATATTATGTTTAGAATATAAATTGTACCTTTAATTTTATTATTTAATACTTGCATTCACTATATTCTCAAATCAGTTAAGTATTTTATCCTACACTTTTGTTATATTATAAATTTACTATACATTTTTACTTTTTATTATGTTGGTTGTCTTAATTATTATAATTTCCTTTAAATTCCATTAAATAATTAATATTTATTAAACAAATAAAAAATAATATTTCTATAATGTATTTTCTTTAATTACTAAAAAAATGTGAATATCAAAAATATTATAGATGAACTTACTAAATTATCAAAACAAAGATGAATATAATTTTTAAAAAAGATAGTTATTTCAACTTTTATATAATTAGCGCTGTAAAATAGTATTAAAATGTTTAATGTATGATTTATAGTACACACAAAATTCAAAATATGATTCATCAAATTTATTTGTTACATATTTTAAACCCCCTCCCCACAAAAAAAAAAAAATTCTGAATACGTCATTGTATATGATAACTATAGTTAATCTTCTCAAGTATAATATAATTAAGTTTAAAAAATTGTGGTCACGTCAAAAAGATACATCGTTATTTGGGAACAACCCTGATATTTATTCTATTTATTATTTATTATCTATGATAAGATATAGTTATAACTAAAGTTTTGGCTTGGTTTTTAATATAAATGTTTACATTTCAGAAAATCTTCTTGCAAATGATCATGAAACACCAGAAAGACCTAAGCCTTCTACTTCAATACCAATATATCAAAATAAGTCTGGTAAATATACACGCATAACTTTACATACAAATATAAAATATATGAGTTTACTAGGTATAATATAAACTTATTTTTATCATTAGTAATATCTCTAATATTTAAATATAAATTAAAATTAGTTTTATAAAAGGATTAAAAAATTGTTATCATTGTTGCTACTTGGTGCTCATAAGTCATAGCTGTGAATACTGTAATGTGTAAGTATTACAGTTATATGTTTACAGTTCAATGTGACTTTTATAATAAATATTCAATGTTGAGCCGGTACTTTTTTTTTTGGTAATTAAATTACATTACTAACCTCTTAAAATTACAACTAAATTATTGTTTATTATATTTATGTATAAAATATATTATATAATATATATATCAAGTAATTATTATTAAACAATCATATCTGAATGAATTAATCTTTAGATGTCGGTGATTAAATAATTGTGAATGTGTTTTATAATATTTTTTGAAAAAAAAAAATTTGGCAAATGAATTGTATAATTTATGATATGTAATAGTCAATATTTTTTTTATTTTATAGATACTGAGATAAACAGTCCTATGTTTTTACGTCCATCGTTATTGCCATCTTCATCATCATTTAGTTTTGAGATAGGTCAAAGAAAACCAGATACTCCACGACCTACTTCTAAATCATTCTGTTTAAACCCATCTCGATTAAGCGTAAACACATCTTTAACCGCTTGTAAGTTTAATTTATTTATTATTTTTTAAGCTAAGAGTTAGAAAAAAAAAACATATGTTGTTGATTTTAGAGGAATGTTATGATATAATATATTTAAGGAATTTTATTAAAACAGATACTTTAAGAGGGTGCTATACTAGCATTTACTATTCCAGTCTAACCATTGGGCAAAACATAAAAAAATTAACTTAAAACATAAATTGTCGTATTTAGATTTTCGAGGATTGTACATAGTTTTTCTCTTCTAGATGATAATTTATAAGAAAAACAAGTTATGCACATACCTCAAAAATATTATTCTTTTAATTTGTTTAATTGTGTTTATACTTTATACTTACATGTTCAATCTAAATACCACAATAATTTATACTTTGAGTAACATAATTTTGCTATGTTGCTTGATAGTAAATACATCTGTCTTTATTTCTGATGATGCCTCAATATTTGTATTTTGACTATAAGCCTTTGTATCTAAATCTATTTTATTTTATACAGCCCAGTCTTCAAAGTGCTCTGATAAAAATGAAACTGAAATTGAAGATGCAAAATCCAAGGAAGACTTATCATCACCAACAGCTGTATTTGGGGTTGTAATAACTAAAAGTCGAACTCAAAAACCTGATGAAATTTCATTAGCTAGTAATTTTGTATTTGGTCAAAATCTTCATGAACGTGTAGAATTAAACAAAGAAGCTGATTCAACTTCTGAAGATGATAAAAAGCCCAATGATACTCAAGAAACTGAAGTTTCATCATCTTCTAATGTTATTTCACCTTCATTTGGAAACCTTAAAAATGAAGAACCTGATGAAGTAATATAATTTTTTAAAGTATTATTTTATATAGTGTATAAACGCTAATTGAAAACGCTTAATATTCTTGCACAGAGTTATAAAATTTGTAATTTTAGATTTTGAGTGTAGCGAGCAATGTATTGGTTTTAAAATGATTATTTTTTATTTTTTTTATCTATGACCACTTTATCTACCAGCAATTTTGCTCTGATTTTCAATTATAGCACTTTTGCTGAAAGGAAATCTGATTGGGGTAGTCATTTTTTAATTTTCCTAACTGTGGGGAAGGTTAGGTTAAAATAAAGATTTAGGTACACCATTAAATAAATATTAAAAAAAATATATAATGCCTATTTTACCATATGACATATATTGTTGATAACACTATTAACCGAACTCTGCTCAGAATCTTTTTTTTTGGTTAGCAATGGTTAATTGTTGTGTACAGATAAACATTAAATTTTTCCTCTACCTTTCCAACTTTTCACCTACAACAGTGGCTGCACCCACATACAAAGTATGTCCGTCTTTTTATTATCTTGATCATATACTTAAATTATAATGAGTTTTTGGTCAATTTTGTATAATTTTTAGTACATGAAAATTACATTTTAAAAATACAATCACCTGTCTTTTAGACTAAAAAATAAAAAATAAATACACTTTTTCATGTACTTAGAATTTTTTTTGTTGATTATATATGCATAATATGCTCAATATAACTTTTTTTTATTTTATGACAACTCTTATTAACTACTACTTAATTTTTTTTATACATTTTAATGATCATATAACTTATCTAAATTCAAAATTAGTTGAGATATGGTTATTGAAATTTTATTATTTATTGTTATTTGATATTTTTAGAAAGAAATGTTTATTTTAATAACAGCAAGTGTAAAATACCAAATAAAATAGAATATATGTTCCTATTAAAATTTTAGTAATTACTATGATAATAGTATGAAATCAACATATCCAACATAATATTGATTTTTGAATAAATTTAAATTGCCATATCTCAGCTAATTTAGTACTTTTTTGATAATGATTTACCCATTATAGTTCTTGAAAAAAAAAAGAAAAAGAACTAGTGCTTAAAAGGGGGGGGGGTTATCGTTTAACAGAAAAATAGTCGAATTGCACTTACATAAATCTAATCAACAGTGAAAAATTCTAAGTACGAGAAAATGTGTATTATTTAGTATAACAACTAAATAAAAAACAAATTCAAACTACATAATGCTGTGCAAAGATATTGAGTGTTTTTCAATTAATGTGTATACAATATATATATTATGTCATTGTAACTGGCTAAAAGCTAATAAATATATATTTATATATTCAAGGTAATTCACTAAGTATGTGTTCACCCTATTATTTTAGTTACATTTTGCATGTATTCAAATTCTGATTTTTGGAATTTTTAAGTGTATTTAAATACAATATTTTTGTATATTTGAATTTTTCAATGAGAACAATTTAGAATATAATTTTTAAAATAAATTGTATGTAATAAAAATTCTATAAATAGATAGGGTATTGGTTTAAATACATTTTGGTGTTTATATGTTTGATTTACCTCAACCATGTTAATGAGATATTCAACTTTTAATTTTAGATTGGGGGAGAGTAATGAGAGTTTCATTTATAAGGCTACACTGTGCGCAGCGTTTTAATAGTGCTCCATTACTATCCTTCTACCTAATTTTAGGTCTAATATCTCATCAACAGTTTGACGTAAATCAAAAATATTAACAGCGAAATGTATTCAAATTAATACTCAATCTATTAATGGAATTTGTAATATAGGTCCTCTTTTGAAAAACTTAAGTTGGTATACTCCTAAGGATACTTCATAAATGTAGTGAAAAATCTAAATGTTCAAAAATATTCCCTTAAACTATACTAACATTTTTAAAAAATCAGAATTTCAATATATTATGCAAAATTTAACCAAGAAAATGGAGTGAACATGCTTAGTGAATTACCCAGTGTATACACTATACAGTGGAACCTCGATAAGTCGAAATAAATACCATTCCCATTTCTCAGAATAAATATTATTGAGTGTGTTCCAAATATAGATGAATAATGATAGATAATTTGTATAGTCAATTGTGTCTAATCGACTTGTGTGGTATGTATGTGTGGTATTTATCCTAATCTGATTAATTGTGTTAAATGTCGTATTTTTCATTTAGTTTATTACTACTAAAGACCGGATTTATATGTTTTTACATATTCTGAGTTTATGCAGTCTTATAAGAGTCGGAAATGTTGATGATTCGTTCAGTTCCGAGTTCGTAGGAAAAATTTTTTTTGGTATATTTGAGAATATTTCATGGTTTATTTTACATATTTTGGAATATTCTATAAATTGTGAGAAAAAAATATTAATTTATAATAATATTTATAATATTTATTTATTTTATTTATAATATTTTTAATAATATGGTACCTAGAAAAATATATTTTGAACATTTCCAATTATTTTTTTGTTTCATTTTGATAAAAAGGTTTAGTGTTCCTATCTATTATAAGTTACCGTTTACTAAACATGATGGTGGCTAATCTGCAATGCTGACAGTTGTTTTCATACTGATAATAATATCAACGTATATGTTTATCATTAAACATTATCAACTATTCAAATGTCCAAATATTCTATTTGCACTTTTCCAATCACGTATAACGTGATTTTTAAGTTTTTAAAAAATAAATTACTTATAATAATATGTTATTATATTTTAATAAAAATGTATTACTAATTTATTATTAAATGTGGTAAAAAAAAAAATTGCATATTAAAGCATATATTGCTTTATAATTGATGTTTGAAAAACTAGTCAGATTTTTTTTCCTAAAACCTTGAGAACTCGAAAATGTCTATAAGACGAAAGCCTTTAATTTTCGACTTATCCAGATTTCGTTGTATATTAAAATAAAAACTAACTGTTTGGCTGACATATTAACACACTGTCCAATTTAAACAATGGTTCAAAAGTTTTAAAAATATAAAAATCGGTTCTCTGTAACTTTTTTGTTACTTAGGTAGTTTAAATCTTCACTATCTAAATTGTTATTATTTGACCAGTATTGGGCCATATCTATAACATTCTGATTGGTTTCTGTGAAGTTCTTCTCACTGCAGGTAATTGGGTATTTACAGTATTTCAATACGTGGCTCATTATTTATTCTTATCATTTATTCTTCACCATATTTCTAAATTTAAGCCTTGTATTCTATGCATTATATGTTGGACATCATTCTCCACCTTATGGATCATTACATTTTCAGTGGACCTGAACACAACTTTCAGTATATGTGGTTCCACACCCCATGCAGATCCTATTAGCTTATACAATAGCCCTTTTTTAGTAATAATTGTCTACTTTATTTTTATTCCGTGTTCTTTGCATATTAGTGACCTGTCCAGAACTACACTTAGGTATTTAGGATTTGTATTGTTAGCTCTACAACGTTCCAAATTACATTGAGTTTTATGATTGGCTTCCTTGTTTTTGAGATGAAATTTACATACTTCAGTTTTAATGAAATTAGGCTGTACAGAATTTGGTTTAAAATAATCATTCATTTTGAAAAGTGGGCTTGATCATTTTCTTTTTATTGTCTCAAAGTCTATGTCTTATATTGCAATTACCAAGTCATTTGCGTATATATATTTTGATATTTGTATCATTTAAAATTGGCTGTTTGTTTGTATACATAAATATATTGAAGACTGTTGGCGGAAGCACACTTCCTTGCAGAAGACTGTTTTTTGAATTTCTCCACAGAATATTTTTCCCAAAAAAAACCACTAAAAATATGTTTCTGAAAATTCAGAAGATTTTTACATGTAAACAGAAGATTAAGTAAATGTAAAATGTGTAATTTCATGGAAATCCATATCCTACAAGTTAGCTAATAATAATAGTTTAAAATATTACTAAGTTTTGCTGACTTAAGAATATATTCACATTTTATCTCCATCAATAATATATTTTCCTTTCTTGCATTGTGTAAAGTATGTGTTATGAAAATTCACAAATAAGAGCAAGTATTTTATTACAATTAAGTTTTTTTTTTCTTCTTGTAATTAGAACGGCGGACTTGATGAGTCTGCGGAAGAGTCGAAAAGAAGATTAATGGAAGCTGCTAAAGAATATGAAGAATCACGTGCAACTAAACGAAAATATGAAGAAGTTGATTGTATGACTGGAGAGGAAAATGATGTAAATGTATTTCAGTTAAATACATGTAAACTGTACATATATGATAATGCTAAATCCAACTGGGTGGAGAAAGGTCGTGGTCAATTACGTGTAAATGATATGGATGGTGGATTATCATCAAGAGTAGTAATGCGAAACAATGGAAATTTAAAAGTTATTTTAAACACTAAGGTAATGTTTATAATTTTTTTTAATAATTTTTATTATTAATTTTTTTATTATTTGTAGATTTGGGCTGAAATGAAAGTAGAAAAAGTAAGTGAAAAAAGTGTAAGACTTACAGCATTTGAAGAAGATTCAATAAAAGTGTTTCTAATTTTGGGACCCGCAAAAAATATAGACGACTTTGTGCATTTAGTACAAACACGTGTTAAAAAACATAAGGAAGCAGATAGGAAAAAAAAACCAACTACTAGTAATGATAAAGAAGATTTATTGGAAGGTACACTTGTCTAATTGGCTGTTATTGATATTTTGTTTAATCATAAATATCAATATAAATTATATATATATGATAGAAAATATTTTATTCCAGTTTTTTTCCACAAAATAAATGTTGTTTGTACTTAATAATAATAATAATAATAATAATATATTTAATACAATTCATGAATTTTGTATATATATATATATATATGTATATTAAAAAAATAAATACATTTCAAGTATCATAAATAACTTCTATGTTATTATCTTTGTTCGTTTCTTTTACTCAAATCAAAACTTAAAATAATACCTATTTATATTTATTATTCAGTGATAAAACATTTTTCTGATTTTATTTTTTTAGACATAAAGTGAAGTATTCAGTTTCTAAAGCAAAACTGTTGTTAATATTTTATACTGAATAATGAATACATTTAATAATTTAATGAATTCTCTAAAAATATAGTTTTAACACATTTTATATATTGTACAATTGTATGTACAACTGTTACCTAATTTAAAAAAAAAAAGGCCATTCAATATCATGTCTCGGTTTAGGGATTTCAAAATTTTGCAACTCTAGTTATATCAATACTCAATAATAAATCATTGTTAATAAAGAACAATTTTGAGCAAAATATGGGTATATGTTTTAAAATACCATAATTTTACTATTTTCGTCAAAATATAATCTTAAAATACTTATAAAAAATATAGCTACATTATACATCACACTCAACTTTTTTTTTAACACTGAGTATATATAACATGTAGTGAACCTTGTATTAAATTTTTAAGCATTTCTGTTCTTCCATAACAGTTTTACCCATATTAAACTAAAAAAATGGAAAATTTTAAATGCCTATTATAATAGAGCAAAAATATTTTTAAAAAATTTCTCGGAATTTTTGGAATGGAGGAAGTTTTTTTGTAAAAAAGTTTGCAGAAGATAAAAAAAGGAAAACAAATAAGATCTTCGCTCCGCTCAGAATATAATAGACCACAGTGCACCAATAAATCCAAAATGCTACAGAAAATCAATTGTATTTTTTTAATTAAAACCAGATTTGTGGTAGTAAAGTTGTTAAAGGACAGAGGAAAACAAATTCGGCCTACTATCCCAGATGTTGCGGTGGCTTTACCCTGGCATATCACACTAACAAAACTAAAACCAAAACGGTAGTGTAGTAATTCAAAAAATGAAATTTTGAATTAAACCAATTTTTCTATAGTCTTAGTTCTTTATAATGCACCACTGTATTTTATTATTGTATCTACAACGAGAATTTATGGTAAGATATGAACACTCCAACTTTGTTTATAAATTATACTTAGTGGTTAAAAAGAAAAAGATTAAGCGTTACGTAGTACTTGGGTTTTTTTTTTTTATAGTCATTTTAAGATAAAATTTTGACGAAAATCGATAATACGTAAAAATAAATAAATAAGAGAACAGAAATTTTGTATGTATTATTATTTTAAAATAAAAAACATTGCCATTAGTTTCTTATTTTTATTGTAAACTGCAAAAAATTGCAGTTAAACTTTTAATTAAATATAACTATTAAATTGTTTAATTTCATTGTCTTAATATAATTTGTACAATGTACGAAAAACACCTGAATTAATTTTTACTTGACTGCTAGGTAATTTATATTTTATTGTAATGATATTATATTATATGAACAACAGACAAATATTTAATATTTCAACAAATGCATCAGTAATAAGAGCTTAAAAATATAAATGTATATACCTATATAGGTATTTGAATTTGTAATCAAGTTTATCGGAAAATATATTGGTTTAATTAATGTTGAAAATAAACCCAATATATGTAGATAAGTGGGCGTTTACACTTGAATAATTTAAATGCTTACGAATGGTCGAAATTATAAAAAAAATAATAATTTAAAACTTGTTTTTATTATAGAAAATATTTAAAATGTGGTCGTTTAATTATTTTTTGATTGTTCAAAATCGTGTCGGAATTAAAATTCCAAATTGGCACGTTCTTTGAAATTTTGTTCAAAGTTTCAACCTTTTCTGAATAATAAGTAACAATGATAAGAAATATGCTAGTTAATTTATTTTTCATAACCTGCAGTAGAGTTTCGGGCTTTTCGATTGTTTCCTTTTCGACCGAAATAATGTTGGCGGAAATATTTTTGATAAATTCATGTTAGACTAAAATACGTCTGTGGTCGAAATACGGTTTGACTGTTTTATAGTCCCCTATAATTATACTCACCAATTTTTTCCCATACAAATCATTGATAACAACATGGACAAAGTTGGGAACGGCTAGATTTTCTAATCAAATATAGAAATTAACGATCTAATTCAATGAAACTAATATGAACTCGCTTATTTTCATCGTTCCAGTCACGGTCTTAGGTTCCAGTATTTTTTTTTCCCGCGAAATATTTTCCCGATTTTATTCGTTCCGGTATAATTATTGTTCGCTCCAAAATTTTCATAGGTATTAATTCTAAATCGAAATCGTTTATGGTTATTTGCATTCGTGTAAAATACCGATACTGAATTAAACGGTTCCCGGCAGGGCCTGATTGACCAATAGGCTGAAAAAGCTGTAGCTTTGGGAGCGAAAAAACAGTTTTCTTTTTTTTCAAATTTAATTTCTTTTCGAAAAAGAAAGTTAAGTAGTATCGCGGGTACCTTATTGTAACGTCCTCCCGATTTCTCGAATCATGGTAAAGGCCGCGGCTTACGATATTAATCGGTGATGAACGATATAAAAAAAAAAAAAAGCCCTGCAGCTACCGGTAGCAAATCCCTGCTGCAGGTCCCCGCGGTTAGTCCGAGTCCTCCGTAACAGGTGACAAACCAATTGGTGAGGTCTGTACGGTAACAAACCTAAATTCCCCTCTCACCCCACTCCTTTATTTCGCTCCCCCCCGCCGAAAAAGAAAAAGGGTCACGGGAACGGAGAGATGATGTTATGATGACGGCGCTGTCGCTTAAACCCGCCGGACTCGTAAATCGGTCGTAATACCGTCGGGAGGTGGGGCGACGCGTTATGATTAGGGGTGGGGGTGGGGGGGATGGCGCGTGACGGCGGTGGGGAGGACGCGGCCGCGGTGTCGCAGTCAAAACAACGGGCGCGAAATTCGGCTGGCTCGCGCTCCAGTCACGATGCGACCGCGGTTCATCCGAGAATTTCTATTTTTAAAACGCGCGCGACCACCGCACGACTGTCGTCGTCGTCGTCGCCGTTGTGTGCGCGTGACTCGTTTTTCGTGAAATATACGATAATTATTATTGTGGACTGACAGAGAGGCAAATAAATAAAATAAACCAAACCAAACGGATTAAACAACGACGATTTAATAACGACCGCAAATCCGCAACACGTTTTGTACATGTTATTTTATCGATGGTGTAATTATAACGACATAATATTATTAATATCGTTATTACGGCATTTATTATCACGCCGTCGCGGCGGCGGATTTGAGATATTATCATCGCGATTTCCCGCCAGACGGTCCCGCGTTGTGACAATACGGTTTTGGTTTTTCTTTTTTCGTCCATCTATTCAATTCGTTTTGCTCGCCGTAATTATATTTCATATTGTATAATACGCGCGCTGTCGTCAATATCACGCGCAGTTCTAAAATATTAGGCGCGTATTTATAACCCGTATTATACACAATATCGAACGTACAATATTCGCTTTATTAATATCCACTCGGCGATACGATACTGATACGGGGGAAAAAAAAAAAATAAAAATAATATTAAAAAAAAAAAAAAACCGTCCGAGTGCCGGTCGCCGAGCACGTTGGTCTGCAGCAGCAGCAGCTGACGGAGTAGGTATCGCCCGTCGTCGGCCGTCGCAGAATGAGAATACAACAAGCCGAAGACACGATGATGTTCACCGGCAATAGAAAGAGGAGCGTCAATAACAATTCGCAAAAAAAGCAGACGGACAACCGGTCCCGGGCCAACCATCATTCCGAGGTAAAACATACAAAAAAAAAAAAAAAAAAAAAAACAATAATAAACGCGAAGACGGCAATGTTGTGTAACATTCGCGAAGTAGGTGCGATATTATAATATTAGGACAGCGTTGGTCGCGCGTGCATGGAAGTTTGGCGTTTTCGCGATATTATTTATATAGGTTTTTTTTAAAAATATTTTATTTTTTTTTCGCGCGTAGGTATACACGTATATGTATATATACATACATATACATACAATATAATAATATTCTAAAATAAAACGCGAACCGTCCGCGCGTATACACACTATTGGCGGGTTTACATCTGCGCGCACGAGTCGCGTACCATAACGTAGCGAGAGTTCGGCACCTACAATATAATGGCGCAGATTGTGTATAGCTCAAGAGGACGTATATATTGTACCTGTACAATAATAAACGTACAATAATTATTGTGTTCGGCGCGAGAATCGCGCACAAACATAGTGCGACAATCCGGATTTAACTTCTTATCTACCGCGTAGCCGATAGCCCACCCCGGAATCGGAGTTTGTCCCTCCCCCACCCCCGGTTAGATGTGGATGAATTAATAATTTAGTATTTAAAATCTTAGATAGTATGATATAAAAAAAAAAAAAAAGTCATCACTACAATTTCAGCGATGCCCCCTCCCCCACCCCTGGAAAAATCGTCTGGATTCCACATCGCGTCCGTCGTTTTCTAGTACCATTCTTCTTTACTACGAGTTCGCACCAATATTATCGTCCGTATCCTACGTCGGATTCGGCCGGTCGGTGCGGACCGTAACGATAAATCATCGGTATTGTGTACATATGGGTACACCTAATATTATCGGTTCGAAGGCGCGCTTTGCCGGCGACAACAACAACAACAACAGCAACAGTAGCGAATAATAGTAATAATAATAATAATAAAAAACAAATCTCGCGAAATAAAAACACGGCCGCGGCGTCCAGTATAATATCTGTATAATATCCAGTATAATAAATACTGTTATTATATCATGGGCGTCGCGATTCGTCCGCGGGATTCGGTATCATGTACCGGGGAAAACGACGACGGCGATAGTATCGAATATAAAAAAAAAAAAAAAAAAAATACTCCATAATATTATGATATTCATTACGAACTATAACCGTGTCGTAAATACGATTATTATTTTTCGCGTAAAGAAAAAAAAAAATAACTGCTATAATAAACGCCGCCGAGGCGTCGATGAAAATATTCGGACGATCCTCGGATGAGCCGGCGGACCGAAATAGAACGAAGACGAACGGATATACGCCGCCGCCGCGCCCACTTCGCGCTGCTGTTCGCCGCGCCGCCGTCCCGTAGTACGCCGGCGAACGCGTCATTAATATTATAAGGCGATTGGGTACCGATATTTTTTCTTTCTCCGTCCAACTGTGTACGCGCCTACGCGTCAATATCGCGCGATTTAGACCCGAATTTCTTTCTGGCCACGCGATCGCCGGCCAACCATTACGACATAACGGGTGCCGGGGCGCGGGTCGCGAACAGCGGCGGCGCGAAGGAGGTACATTTGAATCGAACGATTCGCAAAAGAACACACCGGCGGGTGCCCTGGTGTTCAAAAATATAACGAAAGTTATTGCGTTTTTACAAGACAAAGCGGCCAATTTTTAGAATGCAGGAATTCGATAAGTTCCATTACAGACGCCCGAGGGAACTCGGTTTTTATCCCGGGTTCGTAGATTTTGGGATGTTTTCGGTTGGGGCGACTGGGTGGAAGATTTAAATCGACGATTCGACGTGAAAATACTCTGTGCCGCCACTGCACCGGAAAATATTTAATACGCCCGAAAACGTGTTCGAATTGTCCGCCCGCGATCTGCGCGAAGAAGATTCCAGACAGGACACTGTTTTTATTATTTTCAATTCGTTCCCCAATGTACCATGACGGAGTTGTTTACGGAATTTTCGGAAATCAAGGAACGAGATATTGGGGGGGGGNGGGGGGGGGGGGGGGGAAAGCGGCTCGATCGAATATGTCGTCATGTCGTCGTGTTGTACATACGTATATGAGCTACAACCGTACATTTCGAGGGTCTGCTATTAAAGGAACGTATCGGTCAATTCCTAAATTAAAACATTAAACCTATGCAAAATATAATACGTCTGTTTAATATCAATACTATTTTGTTACTGTTGGTACGTTTAATCAAAACAAAATTATGTCTATCCAGTTTCATTGGAGACACTTCGTTCTAATACAAATAATTACTATAAAAGTTGAATATTACCAGCCAATAATCAAAATGTCATTTTTGGTCGTTACGTTCCTTTGATACTAGACTCTCGATTTATCATAGGTACTTTATGATGAGTTCACGCGCTTTTTCACAATACGTATTATTCGTTTGTCGTCGTTTCGTCGATCGATTGAAGGAAAATCCGTTGAATAATCAGAGAAAGGACGTATTATCGTGGTGTGTCCGATCGCCTTAATGAGAAGTGGCTATAATGTAATAGGACCGATAACTACCGAAAAAGTAGGATGTTTTCACAAGGTACAGGGAAAACGTTACGCGATTGCCGCCGCCGTAGCAGCAAAACAGCAAGTGTTTTACTTATCCGCTGTATACGTATAATATACAGCGTGATCATTTTACATTGATCCGTGACCATATTGTTATAGTCAATTTATTATAGCTATAGGTACCATCATCCATAATTTCTAAATTTTCAAAACCATCATGTCTTGGCCTTGCATCCTCTGCGGTTGTTGCAGCACTGATAAGCGGTAAATTCAATATTATAGGTTTATGCATATTGTATCAACATTTTTAAAAAAATAGTTTTTTTTTTTTTTCGAAACGGCGGTAAAAAATGTGACTGGTGTATTTGCCATTTGGATATTAAAAGTTAATTTCGTGGATAAGTACTTATTAAAGGTATGAAAAATAGGGATACTAATTTGAAATCAGTGTTAAAATTGCAAATCTTAAAAAATCCTCCAACAATGAAAACAAGTTAAAACTACACAAATTAAATTTACCGAAAATCCTTCGAAAAAATCGACGGTTCACAGAATCGTCCTTTGTATATAATACCGGGTGGCGTGTAGATAGGGTGGCATGACGGGCAATGAACAGCGGGCTCATGACATTTAGGTGCTTTAAATCAGGGTCGAATACATTATTTTAAGAGAACGGACAGATGAATAAAAAAAAAAAAAGGTGATGACCCTTTTAGAATCGGAGTGTAGCGAGGAATGTATTGGTTTTACAATGATGTTTATTTTATGTATTTTTTAATCTGTGAACAATATTTCTTTTAGAAATCTTGCTCAAATGTATCAAGTGCAACAACCTTTTCTGAAAGGAATTTTATCTATGTGATACTTTAGAATGGTCATTTTTTGATTCCAAGTGGTTTTCATAATAATTGGGATAAAACAGGAAAGTTTACGAAGTGTATTACATATTTTCAATTGTGCTTTTTTGCTGTAGGTAATTTGATTAAATAAAAATATCTATAAAGACTTGAAATTTGGACAAAATACTTGTACATAATAGCCTTTTACAGACGTGGTAAAACTTCAAAACATTTGAGCATTTTTTAACCATTTATCAAGCTATTTATAGACACATACCAGTTACCATACATATGTTTATTATAAATTCTGAGTGTAGTGACTAACGAGAAATACACCAAATATTAAGTTTGCTATAATGTGTGTTTTTTATTTGTTGTGTCTGTAAACAGCTTTCCTACATTCTATAAAAAATCGTGTTCAAATCAAAATAACGAAAAGGGAGTGTTTTGTAGTATTTAATATCTAGTTCACTAGTTGGTGCATTGGAGAGAATTTTTTTTACTTATACTTTTCTTTATTTAGTCAATTTTTTGAAACATTTTGGTTAGTTTAGAACTATTAGTTGGCATTTAACATTTTTAAATTTGTTTTAGTTTTTATCTGGTTTTCTGTTGATAAAATTGTTTGGCTAAACAGATTATAAGTTGTACTCAGTGGTTAAAATATAAAAGGAGCGTAACAGTTGTTTTTATAATACTTTTAAGTTCAAAATTTGACGAAAATCATTTCAAAACATGTATAACTGAACCTTGCTCAGAATCGTTTTTCGTTAGCAATATTTTATCATTACATACAGATATAAATTAAATAACTGGCAATCTATCCTAGTATCCTACCTTCTCAGCTTCCTACCTATAACAGTGGCACACTGGCACACCCATCATTAGTATCAGCTCTTTTTAAAAATATTATTATGATATTACTAAAATATTATTTTTTCATCCCTCGAACGTGTCAATTTAGTTCATCTATAGTCTATAATTCAAATTTTCGTCTAGAGTGTTTGTCATTCATCAATAGTTTCATATTCTTATATATTATAGATTACATTATATATAGATACTTAACTTTCCCCACCTATATATACGTAATGGAAAATTATCATTTACCATGGTAATATGTTTACCTAAAACTGGTACATGTACTTAAACATATTATATACATAACAATTAATATTAGATAGATACTAAAAGTTTTAGTTACTAGAGGTAGACTTTATAGGTACCTATACCTAGGTATACATATTTTACACCACATTATACACCAATATATCTCAAGAAAGTGTAAGGAATAATAACATATTAACTTTTTATGTAGTGAAGGTTAATCAATTCTGTGTGTTTTAGAATTTTAAATCTGAATTTTTAATCACTTAGGTAAGTAGGTATAGGTAAATAAGTAGGTAAATTCTATACATTGATTATATAGACGTATAATTTGTATAATTATAATTTAAGTGTAATTATAATTAATAGTATAATTTATTAATCGTCAAGTATAATGTAGATACTTACCTATTCTTTTGAAAACGGACAGAAATATTTTCCCGAATTAATTTGTCTTGTAAAAATAGTGGTTATTAACCTTGTTTGCAACAGGTATTTTTAATATTGCCTATTTATTTTGTTTTGTCACGCTCTGTATATCCATGAGTATCTGTTTATACATGTGTTTAACATAACATAAGTTTTATTTTTCTTTATCAACTTTGGGCTTATTTAAAAATAAATAATTATGTATGCCTATTAATAAGTGTTTTATCAACATCATTTAATTTTAAAATCTAAGTTAAAATTAAACAACTAAAACTAAACTTTTGTCTATATTCGATATAGATACTACCTACCTACTCGTATAATACACCTATCTATTTTATAATTTTAAACTAACTTATACAATAGATAAGTGTTTAAAATAAACAATGACGTTTAAAGGTTAGTTTTTTATGTTGCACATATGTTAGACTATAAAATGCTGTGAAGTCCCTAATCTGATTTTGTTCAAACTATAAATAGGGTACCTACAATTATTTACTAATGGTTTTATTTAAAATTAATTATTTTAAAAAAATTTCAATTTTAACATAGTTTTACTATACATATAAATATTTATTATTACCTATGTATAAATATATACAATATTTTTGTAGGTAAACAATTTGTTTTAAATATTACAAAGTACTTACTTTACAAGTAATAGTTAATTGTATTTCATTGATTAATTATAATTTTATTTATGATAACTTGTAGAGCAAGGGTCGAAGTAAAGTACCACAAGGATTACCTCCTACAAATTTTAACCACAATTTAGTTGATCCAGATATACCTGATAATTGTAAGTATAACATTTTGTCAACAATTCAAAATGTAAATATTTTCATCTTAAATTCAATTAACCTAGAATAAATAATTATGAAGCTCAAATAAATTTGAATATCATCTAAAAACAAACTAGTTTATTTTTATTTGAATTGCATGGTAGTTTTTATTGAAATATTAACAGAGAGTTTAATTTTTAATACCTACCTATGCAATGTATCATCAATGCAAATAAAGTAAATATTTACTTAAAACCTAAATATTGAGGTTTAATGTGTCTTATTTGTATTGAAAATAAATATTTATAGTTATAAATTGTAATTTTTTATTAAATAGTTTTTAGATATAACTTAATATTATTTTTTGTGTTTACCAATACTTTACTAGATTTGTTTATTGACTTTCATTTTATAGTCTAAAGGATATATACCAAAACTTAAAGTCTGTCTGCTATTGCTTTAGTTAATAAATTAAAAATATATATATTATATAATTTTACGACACAATCATTAATGAAAATATACAGACAGATATTATAATTTAATTTATTGGTTAAATGAAAAATGTCCATTCATATTTCTTAGTTTTAAAATTCAGTATTTTTAATAAATATACAATTTTTCACAAAAATTAAAATGCTAGTTATAATATTTTAATGACATGTATTTATTGTTTTTGCCTTCAACTTTTTTAATGTTGCTAAAATTTAATTTGAGTCTGATAAGTAATGAAGTTAAGATTATAATTTGTACTGAGAAAACAATTATTATTTGACTGAAATAATTATTGATTAGAAAATCCTAGACTAGGGTCTTTTAAAGGGCCAAGTTTTGTAACACACAAATTTATTGAATACAATCTATATCAGTGGTTCCCAACCTCTTTTATTCTGCGCTTCCTTTGTAAATTTTCAAAAATCCTGCCCCCCCCTCAAAAAGGGTCACCAAAAAAAGATTATCAAAATAAAAATTTGAATTTTTATATAAATTAAAGCCGCCCAGGCAACTGCTCCCTATCAAAATGTGAAAGGTACAATTTATATAATTTTGAACATTTAAATTTAAAGATACCTAAAAATTGTTTTAGAACTTAAAAATAGTTTAATGTGTGCTTTAAGTTAGAATAAAAAATTATCTTCAATTAAGTGTTTAACAAAATAATGTATGATACTTACTATTTATTCAAGTGTATATGAGAATATATATCAGAATAATAAATTATTTATGTATTTTTTATAGTACAACAACAAGTTGATATAGCCAGAGGTCACGCAATTACTCGGAGAAGAGGTGCTATTAAACATCAGAAAGTACATATTGTTAAGGGACATAAGTTTTTAGCTAAATTTTTTAGACAACCGACATTTTGTGCATTTTGTAAAGATTTTCTATGGTAAGAAAAAAAAATCTAAAAGTAATATAGTATTTAAACTGCATATTTGTTATTTTATTAATAATGTTACAGGGGTTTTGGAAAACAAGGATATCAATGCCAATGTAAGCACTCAATGTTTGTATAAAACAATATAATAATGTTATAGGATTAATCATTTTTTTCCTCTAATATATATATAATTTATTAAAGTAGGTACTTTGTTTTAGCTTGTCAAACTGCTGTCCACAAAAAATGTCACGACAAACTTCTGACACAGTGTCCAGGCACCGGGCGAGATACCGAAAGCACAGTGGTGAGTCAATCAATCTACAAATGAAATTTGTAAAACTTTTATTATTCATTGGTTTGACGATATTATTACAAAAAGGTAAATAATTGTACTATAATAATATATATATATATATTATTTTGGTACAATTATTTATTATGTATATACAGGACTTGATTCAAAATTTATGTTAGTACGATAATAACATGTAAATGTATTTAAAATAGAGAAAAATGTATAATATATAATGTATAATAGTTTTTTCGGTTTATAAACATCTAAATTAATTTGTAAATTTTTTTGTTTTTACTATCTTTTTATACAAGGATTAACTTTTGAAATTCAAATTGAAACCTGTTGCCAAGATATTTCATTTTTTAGTTTAGGTAGAGACAGAGTAGTGGAACACTATATGCTTGTGTAGTAGCACAGCATGGAGCACGGTGTTTGAATAATTGTCCACTACTCTCCCCTACCTAAACTGAAAAATGGAATATATCATTAACAGGTTGACAGAAACCAAACATTTCAACACAAAAATGTATTTAAAATAGTACTCCTTCTATTTACGATATTTTGATTATTGGTTCCCATTTGAATTTTAAAAGTTGATCCCTGAAACCCTATAAAAAAGAAAGTAAAAGCAAAAAAATTTACAAATTATTTTAAATGTTTATAAATTGAAAAACTTTTGTATTACATTTTGAATCATTCCGTATTTATATAACATAAAGCTTTTTTTTTTCTGATATACTCTAAGTTGTACTAAGTATTATAGCTTAAGGACACTAAATGGTTTAATTATAAAACAAATACTAATTTTTATGAAAAATTTATCTTAATAGAAAGAAATCTTAAAAATTCTCTTATAGTTGACATATTTAGGTACATTAAACACGTGTTGTCATACTTTTGAAACGACTATGACTAAAGAAAAATAGAGTAATAAACATAATATCATAAGTATAATAACACATGGCTGAGAGTTGTTAAATATCAGACAACAAATTATGTTTAGACTTTTATTGTTTATTTATCAAAAATATCTTGAATATACAAGTTGAATTATGTTAATGAATAAATTACAACATACATTTTCTATATTAGATATCTAGGTACTGAGTTTGATAAAATATATATATATTTTTATCAATCACTTTTAACTTAAGTAATATATTCTATTTATTACTAGCTGTCTCCCATGGCTTTATCTGTGCACAGTATTGAATGAAAATAAATTTAAAAATGTTTTTCCTCTTAACTCCTTTCCTCCTTGAAAGATTAAAAATATGGTTGTCATTGGCAACCAATTTTATTTATTTTTTGTTATTATTAAGTTTTTATTATTTTAATCTTTTTCAAACAATCATTGTTATTGTTGTCATGGAAACACGCATTATAATTATTTTACTATACTATGATATATATTGTTGGTTTATCATTGTTTACAGATATACATTAATTCCCATTGGTATCCTATCTTCCCAATTTACCACCTACAACAGTGGCTGTGTCCACGTGCAAAGTATCCTAAAATAATTACAACAATGTGCCTTTTCCATAACAGCAATGATTGTTTAAAAAAGTTTAAAATAATAAAAACTTAATTATAACAAAAAATAAACAAAAACGGTTGTTAATGATATCCTTATTTTTAATCGTCCACCTTTTTTTAACTTAAATAACTGGGTTTTCTTCATTATCTAAGGATCCACCCAGAGAACATTTTCTTTCAAAAAAGGTGCTATACTTGAAAATTAGAGTAATCTTTCTGACAGAAAAAGTGTTTACATAAAAACAAAAATAAAAATCTTTGTAAAACCAATACATTCTTCTAAACTCAGAATCTAAAAATAATAACAATGCAAAATTTAATGCGCTTTTTATTTTTAATAATTTATCAAACATTTTTTGGTGCAATAAATATTTTTATATTGTAATAGTAAATTTAAACTATACGATGCAGTAGCAAATTTTCACATCCATTATAAATTTAAAACAAATTTATTGCAAAAAAAAAATGGTTAATGGGGGAGGAGGGGAGGGGATATTGGTAGAATTTTTTTAATAACTTGCTTCAGTTTATGATATAAGGTAATATAGATAAATAATAGTTATTAACTATATTATTGTATATATATTTATATTACTATATGTAGATATAGTAATTTATATCTAAATATTATTTATTTATTTAGTAACAAAACAGACCAATTTACAATGAACATAAAAAAATATAACATACAATAAACTAATTATTGCATAATGGTATAATAACAATTTCTTTTATGAGAAACTGGGGTTAAGGTAATCCAGGCGAGGAAGACGGATCATAGGAGCATTTGAATGGAAATTAGACAAAAAATGAGCGATGTGGAAAGGGACAGAAGACTGTATTAACACAAAGGGTTACCGGATATAGAAAGAAATTTCTGTAAGTGAGGAAGTTCCTCTTCCTTATTTAACTTAATTGGATAGGAGTTTGGAGAATAAGAGAATCTTTGCCAAGTGCCTATGGGTCGGTTAGAATAGACATGCTCAACGCAAGTAAGACAGGAAAGTAATCATGGAGAGGGATTCAAGAAATGTTTAGACTAAAGTCGACTATATGGAAGAACTTCCTCTAGACCCATTCAATCATATGACTGAACCCTAATAGAGGATGGGAGAAATAATTGAACAGTAGAAAATAAATGATAACAAAAATACTTGTCTATAATTTATAAAGTATGAAGTAATTTCTAGTTAATATAGGTACTTTATATAAGTGTAGTACAGTGGTTCTCAACGAAGACAAGAATACTCCTGGGAAATTAGAGAGGAACTGTGGGTAGGTAAACTTGTTTTGGATAGTAGAGGGTGATGTAAATCATACTAGAATCTAGAATAATTTAACAATAAAATATGAATTATGGGCTATAACCTACAAGTCTAAAATGAAATATAGCCCATAATTAATATTTTATTGCTGAATATTTAATATTTTTAAATTTACCTACATTATGATAGTCAAAAATACATTTTAATACAACACTTGAAAAAATTTGGCTGGTGTATTATAGTATAGTTTTTTATCTTATTTTTTAATTTTGTTGTCCCAAATGAATGAAAGACTTACACAATGAATGAGCTTTGTATAAATTTAGTATTTTAAATAGCATGTAATTGTATGTACCAACAATTTATTAAAATAGATACTGATGATGTTATGTTATTAAATTTATTTAGAAAATAATGACTATATAGATAATATTTGTTTAACCAATAGTAAATTGAAAATTATCCTTTATTACTGATATTAAAAATATATTTTTTGATAATTGTTGCTCTAATAATTGAAATTATATTGCATTTGTTTTTTTACTATTGCTCATTTTCGTGAATAATAATTACACTTATTATTAAACATTCCTAAAACTGATTATTTTTAAACTGAATTATTTATTTACATTAAAGACACTGTAGTTTAGAACAAACTTTTGCATAAAATTAAAACTAACTTCAGCATTTGTAGAAAAGGTCCTTAAAATATTATACCGAAAATAATTATAGCTGTTGTATATTATTTAGAAAAATACATTAATTTTAAGTAATGATGCTATATTTAAATACTGAATAGTTAATTATTTCTGAGTACCTATTTATTACTTCCAGATAACAGATATACATAATAAACAATTATATGTTTATTCTATTTAGTAGTTTTAATCTTCTGCTGAGCTTGTAATATGTTGGAAAGCTTGGAAAATCTATGCAATTTGATTGATACAATTTGGTAGTTAAATTGATTTTAAAAAACAGCATCCCAAACTTTTATTTACATACTATCCTGGATATACATGTTAAAAATTAAAATATATTATTTCTAATTTATTAAAATATTTTAATCTAAACACAGTTTGGTAGGTATATAAATGATAAAAGTATTATAAAATTATTATGATATTTAATAGGTAATACAGTCAATCTCATTTCATACATAATTAATAATAAGTTCTTATTGATTAATGAAATTAAAAGTTGTTTGTCCTGAGTTAGGTACTCATTGATTTAAAAATACTTGATTTTGTAATTTATAATAATTATTATTTTCCTATTTAAATTTGTATAGAATTCAAACCATTTTTATTTTTATTTTTGAACAGTATTGAATAGGTATAAAGTACTTACCTAATATATAATGGTTTTGTTTTAATTCCACAAATCCTCATACCTGACATTTTCAAGTTTGACCTTTTTAGCTTAGTTAATTGAATGTATTTGACAAACGTTCTCTTCCTCTTCAAATTCTTATTCAATCAAATTAATTCTTTGTCCTAACTCAGAAATCTCTCTTTTCCTTCTCAACATACCTATTATTCTGTTCCTTTTTAGAACCCTTATAATTCGTCTCTCTCATTCTGAAATATTGACTCATCTTTCTTATCTTATACATTATATTATTATGTTATCTTTTAAATAAGACTCGGTCCTTTATATCAAATAAATTATTTATTTATAAATTTAATTTGGGATAATAGTTTATATGTTATACAATCAATATCAACCGTATTGATTCCTTAAAGTTAAAAAAAACAGTTCAGGTATTTTCAAAATGTATGATGTATAAAAGTGAAAATAAAAGGGTGTTAACAAATTATGAAAATGTGAAAAAGAGATGAAAGGATATTATTTTCTGATAGTTAGTAGTTAGTTAGAAGTTATAGAATGAGGATTATCCAAGAGGGACGATAGTGTTTTGTGAAACAAACGTCTGCAGATAGGTTTATTAGAAGGTGAGGTATAATTCTAAGCTTCCAAAATTTTATTTTTCGATATAAGAGTAAATTTGGTGAAATTTGGTGATTAGCTCAACTTCTTCTTGTGCCGCAAAAGGGTTGAGACTAAAAGAAGGTAGTTTTATAGGTTTTTGAAAATTGTAGCATTTACATTAAAATGTTTCAAACTTAAAACGTAAAATATTAAAATATCTTCACACATTTTCTCGTAAATTTAAAAACCATTTAAAATTAAATAAAAAATACTCCATTAAATACTTAATGAATTTTTTCAGTAAATTATAAATTTAATAAAAATTTTGTTAAAATATTTTTAAATTCTGAGTGTAACAAAGAAACTTATTGTTTTACAAAGAGTTTTGTTATTTTTTTCTGTAGACAACTTTTTTATCAAAGATCTGGCTTCGATTTTTAAGTGTAGCATCTTTTCTAAAAGTTGGGAAAAATGGGAAAATCAGATCAATATTAAATAAATATTATAAAAGAAAATATATAATACCTATTTAATTATTTTACCACAATATGACATATGTATTTTTTTGTCAACTAAATTTCTCTCAGAATTGTTTTTTAATTATCAATGGTTTATCTTTGCCTACAGATTTACATTAAATTACCTTCTATATCTACCTTCTCAACTTCCCACCTACAACAGTAACTGCACTCGTTCCCATTATCCTAGGACTGCTTTTTGTAAATATTTTAATATTTTATATTTAATGTTTGGTACATTTTTATGTAAATTTTACAGTTTTTTATTAAATTTTTAAAAAATAGCCAAACTGCTCTCTATGGTCATTTTTCAACACTTTTATGGTACATGAAACGTTTGAGCCATTATTACTAAAATAAATTGCTTATTTTGACAAGCAAAATTGGAAATGTTCGATTTTAATGCTTTTAATTTTTTTTTCTTAATCTATAAAATAAGGATCACCCTAATATTAATTTATAGATTTGCTGTATTATAATTATTTCTACAATTATTGGCAAGGATTGTTCAGTTTAGCTGTTCAATATTTTTTTTTTTTCAAAATATTTTTTTGTACACGTATTCCATTCAACCATTCGTCAAATTTGTTTGTGTTTATAAGCACAATGTTGTTGGACTTAAGGTGAGGTTAGGTTATGTTAGGTTAGGATGATATTATGATAATAGTTATAGATGTACTGGAATTAAATGATTTTTGTATTATTTAGTTAAAAAAGATATTAGAATTTTTACAAACTTTACAATTTATTGTTAACTAAATTGTTTATAAGTGATGAAAAACTAATAAAAAAAGTTCTTCAAAATATATTATCTTTTATAAAATGCCGGTATATACAAAAAAATTAATAAATGCTTATAATTAAAAACATTGAATGGATATTTATTTTAATTTATTACAGTACTTGAGAGAACGATTCAAAATAGATGTACCACATCGTTTCAAAGGATACAACTTTATGTCACCAACTTTTTGCGATCATTGTGGCTCACTTTTGTACGGGTTATTCAAACAAGGTCTCAAATGCGAAGGTATGATTTTTATTGGTACATAATACACACATTATTATAACTTAAAAATTGTAATCAAAATGTTTGTTTTTATTTACTTAATATTAGTTATTTATTTTGTGGCTAGCTCAATTTATGGGAAAGATGTCGCTGTGGGTATATCGTATGCAATTTGTTTTTTTGGCAAATATTCAATTGGAAACCAAGTTAAATTTTATAGATCTTATTCAGTTGTATGTAACCATTATAAAATTAAATGCAAATGCTTTTATTATTTCATAATTAGTTAATACAAATATATAAGGAATTATTTTATACATCACGATTCAATGTACATTATAAGTAAATAAATGACTAGGGTTAGAATTATTATTGTTGATTATTACTAGAAATTTAATTGCGAAAATAGTTCGCGTTCCGATGTGCCAAGAAAATGTTTTTATAATCGATCCGGACTAAGTCATTTTTAGCCTGACGTTTCGCCAAATTTAATTTTTTTTTTTAAAGCTATCTTATACTCTATACCACGTAAATTGTATGTCGATTAAAGATTAAACATGATAGCGATTTCAAACAAAAATTCAATCGTTCTTTATTCACCATCTTTTAACATCTACCGCAGTAGTAGTATTATTACTGTTATGTATATTGGAAGATACCCAATCTGTCAATTCAACACAGCGTAAATCTGACATTACTCCATTTTTTTCAGTTTATATGGCATTTGGCATAAACTAACATTCCTTATAGCCAAGTCTCAAAGTTCACATTGTTTAGGTAAACGATTATTAAGATTGTTTTGTGAGCATCTGACAAAAGTGCAAAATCATAGTATTATCTATTTAATAAAAATAACCTGTCCTTGATATCTTATTTGAAATATTAACTATTTATACTACAAATGTATTAGATATTCAAAATTTCAAATTGGGATGAATAACATTTTTTTTAATCAATAATTTAATTTGAATTAATTAATAACATGAAAGCATATTATATTATCTTGCACGCTACGTAGACGTGTCAGTTTTTAGTAGTAGCCAAATATGATCTATTAAAAATGTCGTATGTATTAATAAGTGTCCATTTTATTATGTTTGGTGCGTTTTTAAACGCTTTTCTTTTCAGGTGGGCGCTTTGGCAAAAAATTTTTATACTGAATTCTTGCAATAATGCTTGGCAATGATAATTTTTTTTTTCTATAGTATTATCAGTTTTTGACCTTCGAGAAGTTAAATACGCGGGTGTCAAAATTTTTTGTAAGCAATTTACATTCATAACTGGGTACCTACTTATAATAATCGCTTTTCATGCATAACGTTAATAATTGCTCTTTGGTCCCAAAAAAAGAAGAATTTTTATAATTGGTACACACTCATTAACCTTGACTAAAAGTAGGTGAGACCGACTATTTTTGCACGATGCAGTGCTCCTTTATTTTTGTTTAGTGTCATTCAAATTGTTGACATGCGATGAATGATGAGTTTAATTTTAAGTTCCGAAGTCTTAGTGAACGGATATTGAACTTGTTTTTGTTAAAAAACTTAAGTTGCTTTATAATGAATACACAAAAAAAAAATAATATAGCTTTAACCGATCTTTTAAAATAAAGATTTATTTAGAAAATATACATAAATGTTCGAAAAATAAAATTGAAAAGGCAATTTGGAGTACATATATAAATGATATTAAAAAGATGAAACTTTTGAAGCTAATTTTTGTCATTTTAGAAATATATATGTACATTTTGTGTCTTTATGTTTTAAATTTATTTTGGCAGTTGTCCAAGCCGTTTAATTCGCTTTCGGGGCTTGCCAAACGGTGCCAAAACATCAGCTCAGCCGTATGTTCCGTTGGGAAGCGCCCGTAGTCTTCAACGCGCATTAATATCGCATCAGTATCGCGTTCAAAATGTGCTTGATATTATTTTTGAAAATCATCAAAGATCTTAACTAACTCGGTTAGTAAACTAACAATTTAATTTATAGTAATGCATTTTTGATTAGAACTTAGCGTACTAAACATAATTTGCACGATGCCGTTTTTTTCCGATTACGGCTATTATCACGGGTCCGCTCCGTTTTCCTCTCAATATTACAGTCAGATATTACCTTACTCCGGATCCAACAGTAGCCGACCTTTGTCCAGGATACAGCCCAGAAACTATAACTCGATAATAGTTGAACAGACACTGAGAGCCATAAGACGAGGTCCCGGCGTGACGGCTGCTCGACATTATTCCCGGCCGGTGAATATAAACACATCGGAAATCGATGTGACATCGCCGCGACGACCGTCTCACCGTCCATCCGGAACAGAAACAATAATCAATGACAAGGACGAGGACAACACTGGTGGTAGCATCCACCGTGGCCGTACAGTGGTCAGGTTGCACACGAAGAACAAGAAAACGACAAAATCGCCTACAGACGAGCCGAAGGTAATGAATATGGCCGATTTGCCAGAAGTTCCAGAACTTCCCACGTTTGCGGCGCCAGTGTCTGAGGAAGGGTTAGCGAAAAAGGGTACCATAAAACGCCATAGATCCGTAGGCATCAAGGTACCAACGAATGATGACCGCCGGACATCTGTGACCGACGAAATATTACGCGAGCAGGAAGCATTGTTCGATACGATGATTATGGAGGAAATGGAAGGGCAAAAGGAACGGCGTAAGAGCTATCCAGTTGACATGGATGACAACAAAATTCTCCAAAGGAACAGAGAGACAAGGAAAAAATCGGCTGCCGCGGCACTGACTTTTGTCGGTGACCATCCGGAAAAAACGACAAAGAAAACCAATTGGAAATTGAATTATGACGTGATTATCGAGGAGAGCGGGATCGAACCGGTAAGTTTTACGTTTAAACTGAATAAGGCGAAAAAAGAGAGCAATAATGTGGCTGTAGATGTCGGCAGCGTATGCAGTGATAACGGTAAGCTTGACGCTAACCATAACGTAGTAGTACTCGGGTCGCATGATGATAAAATAAACAACAACAAAAAGCATGAAGTCAAAATCACTAACAAAAATCAGACTAATAAAATTGATTCGGATGATGTTAGCATGTCGGTGAAGAAGACGAAAGTGGTGAAGAAGAAAATAGTCGTCAAGAAAAAAGTGATAAAAAAGAAGGAGGCCGTTGCAGAGAAGCAGGAAGAGGAGCAGAAGTCCAACCGATCACAAGGGAAACAAACGCCTTCGCCTGCTGGGTCGTCGTCGTCGAAGAAGAAAAAAGGTTCGAAGACGGAGGCGGCGGTGGCGACGGCTGCTGGGTCGTCGTCGTCGAAGAAGAAAAAAGGTTCGAAGACGGAGGCGGCGGTGGCAACGGCTGCTGTGATAACTCCGTTTGTGCGGGCGTCCTTCGGCAAGACGTTCATATCGCCGTCACAAGTGAGCAAAACCAAGAGTAAATTTGAAAAGCCCAAACCAAAACAGCCGGAAACGTCGACGACGACGCCTCCATTAACGCCATCGATACCTCCGCGACCGCTGTCGAAAAATGCGTCTCCGGCGTCGTCGTCCGAGGACGAGGACGATGACGAGTCGAATTCCGACAGCAGCAGCAGCAGTAGCAGCACGTACTTTTACTCGGACGATTACGGTGATAAGACAATCGCATGCAGTATTTCCTCGTTCGATTCCGGTTTGCCATCCTCGCCCGTGCTCGCAACCGATCCCATAGGTAGACAAAGCCCGTTGAAAATACTACTAACACGTCTAACACGGTATACTACAGTAGTCGGATGTGTTTTTCGCATAATATTGCTCGGTTGTTTTCCTATCGGAGACGCTTTTTTCTAAGCCGAATGCATTCAAAATGGATTTTCATAGGTGTACTATATAGATAGTAGAATCTTATATTTCTAGATAGGTAGGTATCTATAAAACGAGCTAGCCGCAAGGTAGATAATGTTATAATATTAAAATCGCAGTAATTATCATTCACCCTTCACTGTATAGCCACGTAATAAACAATGATGTGGCACCTACATAATATTATTATAATATAGGTATACGTGTTGTAATATTGTGTACGTATATATAGTTACGACCGAATAATATTTTGTTGACGATAAACGCGTTGTTGATCGGTAATTAGAGTGGGTTGTCTGTGTGGATTAGATTGTGACGTCAACTGTCATAGGAAATGCGAGAAGCTGATGCCAAATTTGTGCGGCGTCAATCAAAAATTGGTAGTCGAAGCACTAGCCACACTTAAACGAGGTAATCAAAACCTATAATATTATCTGCGGGGACTAGAGAAAACAGTTCATAATATTTTTATTGTTATTATTATACTTTCTTGTCCGTCTTTCGAGCTCGGGAAACATGAACTTTTCACTCACTATATGTATTGATAGGATGCCATACCCGGCACCTGATAGTTGCCTCTGCACGGCGTTTAAAAAAAATGACGTTCAGCAAAACCAATTTCATGTTATTAGTTTTAATACCAAAGTGAATTATTGGCCTATTATAAAAGTAAAAGCTTAATAAGAGCACATCACTATCTGTATTTGTAGATACGTTGGTATTAGCAATATTTGGATTATTCCATTTTCAAACAAGATATAAGGCTTTTAAAATTGTGCTATTTTATATACTCGTATTTCGCTTAAAAATTAAAATATTAAAATAAAACGAACGAACTAATTTTAAGGTGTTGCAACGAATAGGAAATTATCCATTTCCGACAATTGAAATTTTATCGAATATATTTATAAGTATAGTCCTATGTCATTACAAGTATTTATTGTGTAATCGGGAGTTTAGAAAAAAAACGTTTACGGAGGAAACGGTAAAAAAATAATGGGACAGCTTGGCTGTAGACTTCAGTAACTAATTTTTCATCATAAAAAAAATAATACAATTTGTATCCTACTACAACGTTACTTTTAGTTTTTAGATATCTCTGCGCACTATTACGAAGTTATTAGTTATTTACTTTATTAAATTTTAATTTTTTTTTTTTATGTGTGATATCGAAAAACTACGTCGAAAATTGTACTTCTCAATGAGGTTTATAGCCTGGGTTTTTTCCACGCAAAAAAGTTTTCACAGTCGAGGTATCAGTGGTATAATAGTTAGATTTTGCAGAAGGAGGGTGTTTTTTTAACTTTGAAAGCTCTTACAAACCTCCTAAATAAAGCCTAAGGGATACAATATTTGTATGCATGGCGTTAGTATTAAAGATGTGCCTTTTAGAGGTTTAAACTTTTACCACTCCCCCCTCCTCCTGTTGAGTTATTTGTAGGATTAAATTTATTTCACAATTTTGTTAGAAGTAGTATATTAGTGCCCTTATAGTAAATTAGTAAATACTATTTAATGTTAAATTGTCTATCGTTTTTATTTTAGAGTATTTCTATAATACAAAATATATGGAGGAAAAGTAAATTCTAGTAACAGCTCTACTGCTCTTATGAATTTTATTATTGTTCAAATATAATTTATCAACTATAATTTTGAAAATCGGGAAATCTCGGTAGGTCTTATAAATTATTTTCAAATCTAATCCCCCCTCCGAAATATTATCCTATCTACGCCACTACTGAGGTTAATTCACTATGTTATTGAAACTAACACAACAAAATCGGTTCTGATGAATGCAAATTTGGTATATGTTATGCTGGTATGATGTCCTATACATATTTTTGTTTTAAATTAGCATTAGCATTTACCAATATATATTTACAACTGGAAATACTCTCGACGAATTTATAAAATAATATTATATTTATATGATGTTGAATTTATAACAGTTTGTGTATGTTTGGTTTTTTGTAACATCGTTTTTTTTTTTTAAGAGCAAAACGAGGAACATTAATTTTACTGTAGTAATATAATGTGTGCTTATTTTTTTTTTTAACAACTTTACTACCTGAATTCTTGCATCGATCATCATCTTCTGGGGCGATTTTTGATAGTAACAATTTTCTGTAGTTTGTTACATTGGGGAGGATTTTAGTTTTCTTTACAATTTTCCTAATAATATATTAGAAAAAAGAGTGTGCAATTTACGGGTTTTTTTTTTTTTTGTTATTCAGTTAAAAATAATTTTTAGAACCTGAAATTTTCACAGAATACTTATATTAACTGTTTCTTGACGCGAAACAATTTTCAAAACATTCTGGTAAAACATCGAGCTATATTTATATGGCTCTTGACATTTGAATCTTTCGAGTTTTTTGGTACTTCAATATTCGTGCCACGAAACTTTGCTTAGAATAGGTTTTATTTTCTTTATTGTATATTCAACAATAATGCACGTCGAATGTGATTTTACTTTTTGGTCATTTTGTCTCCCAACCCAAACAAAACAATCGTATTTGATCCGAACGCTGCAACGTGTATACGTTTGCGAGTTTGTTGTTGACGGAAAAACTAACAACACTACTGGACTCCAATAATTTATGAAAATAATTTATATTTAGTTTAGGTACTTATATGACACTGTGCATTGGTCTATGCGGTGTGTCATAAATCCTTCTGAAATCGCAGTGCCGACGTCGTTATATTGGGGGCGTTGATATTTCTTTTTGGCATTTGTCTCCCTGCAACGCTGTCGACCGTGTGCGTGTTATAAATATATATATACAAAAAAAAAAATGTTTTAGATGTGCACCTTCGTGTTTCGCTCGAATATCCGTGTTCATATATATATATGTACTATATATTAGAATAAAGTTACAACTTTCACCAAAAATAACATACCTGTATGCCTATTTTAAACATAATATAGGTTATATTTGTCTGTAATATTGACCATAATAATAATATGTATACGTGCTCTAGAAAGTGACGTAGGTATAATCAAAAAAAATCTCTGTCTTATTTTTCAACTGAGTTTTTCAATTAATTACTGTACTACTTATATTTATTGTATTCAGTGACGTGCTCAGCATTTTCATATGAGGAGGAGGGATCTGATTATAGTTATAGATACAAAATTGTAAAATATGTTTTCAAGTAGATATTTTTACGCAACAATACTTAATTTATAACAAATAATACAATATTATACGTCATAGTTAGAATGTAGAATAATTATAAGTAAATGATTGATACAATGGTTTTAAATGGAAAATCCAATAATTGTCAATCAATAAAAAAAATACAATAATTATAGGAAAATTATAAAACATAAACATTTATTTTAAAAAAAGGGTCAGGGAAGGATATAATACGAGCTACTAGAATCCCCTTTATCACGTTCCTGGTCATATTTAAAATAAAATTAATTTACCTACATCACAGTATTTGACTATTTTTAGATTAGAATATCTGTTTTGGTTTTACAAAGATGTTAATTTTTTTTATACTGTATAAAAATTCTACCAAAAATCATACTCCGATGTATAGGATGTAGACCCTTTTCTGAAAGGAAATTTTCTTGGTTCATTTTTTTATTTTCCCAAGAATTTTCCAGCAAATGTAAAATCCAGGATAAAAAAGAGAAAACCGGGAAAAGCGTAAGAAAAATGGGAAAATCGATACAATATTGAACAAATATTATTAAAGAAATATATAATGCCTATTTAATTATTTATTATTTTACTATAATATGACATATATATATATATTGTTGACAAAGTATCACAATCAACTGAACTTCCGCTCAAAATCGTTTTTTCGTAAGCAATGATTTATCGTTGCTTACAAATATACATTAAGTTCCCCTGTGTATCCTGCTTTGCGAACTTTCCACCTACAACAGTGGCTGCACCCACGTACGAAGTATGTCGGTCTTTTTTATTATCTTGATCATATACTTGAATTATAATGAGTTTTTGGTCAATTTTGTATAATTTTTAGTACATGAAAATTACATTTTAAAAATACAATCACCTGTATTTTAGACTAAAAAATAAAGGAAACAAATTTGCATAAAACAAAAAATCAAATATTGATCTAAGTCTTATTTTCTGGAACCAAATAAATATGGAAAAAACTATGGAGACTAAATTTTAAAAAAGTTTAAAAATAATAAAAAAACAGAATAGTTTGATTATTTTAGACAAATATCCATTTTTCTTTTTTTTTGGGAAATACTTAACTGAAATTACGTATCTTTCAAATGTTCATAAATGATTATTGTATAAAAAACAAATTGATAATACTTTACTAGGTAAGGTGTTATCTAATGTTATAAATATAAATGTAAGCTGATATGTTTTTAGATATTATTTTTCCTGGCGGACAGACTTTTAACCAGCACTATAATTATCATTCGAGTTATTTTTACAATGAATCCAGAGTATTGTTTTTTAGTTTTGTAATTTATTTAGAATTCGTGGAGATTATTTTAATATTATTATGTTTATAGGCGTTCGTTTTGAGAGTAGCTATAACGTAGTCTTACACATAATCTAATTTAGTTATAACAAAAAAATAATTGAAAATAATAAAAACATTATTTTTGTAAATTCAGTAAAATCAACAAGTTTGATTGTTTTTAAATCGTTTTAAAGTGTTTGTTTACGTGACAAGTTTTAATTTCAAATTGTTTAACATCATCCTATAAACATACTAAATTATTAAATTAGGTATTATTATTTAAAATGGCCAGTCTGTGTTGTCCTTAAAAGTTTTTGTCATGGATATTAATATTATTGGATAAACATTTTAGATAATGTCAGCTGTAACTCAAACTGACAATGTTGCAAATATAATTTAAAGAAATTAATAATTGTTTATGATTGACCAACCATTTTCATTATGCTGTTTGCAATGAAATCATTTCCACATTTTGTTCGATTATTTTAGTTTGAGTTTCTTGAGTTTTGGTCAATGGCGTAGCCAGAGGACCGAGTAAAAGATTATATCCCACCTTCTATCCCTTTTTCGAAATGTCTCAAGCAACGTTGTAAGTGTTAATTAATGGAAAATTAACTTTTGTAATGTGCATAATAAAAGGTTTGTAAAATTAAACAACCCATTGAAATTTCCGAAATTGTTTTCTGTATTTTTAATAATTGAAAACGTGTTTTTTGAGAATTAAACTGTAAAACCAAAATATAAAGGATAAAGGAGATAGGGATAAAATGTTGAAAATTTTAAAACATATTTCAATTATTACCACTATTTGGAAATTCAGTATCTTATAAGGTACCTGCTGCATGGAAAAATCCGAATAAGTACGAAAAAATTTTCAAAAAATGTACCATTAGGTGCGATTTCGCATATTATATTGAAATAGTATATTGATCATAAACTGCACAATAATTAGGTACATTGCACATTTTGTATTTGTTACTTTAAACTGTATGTAATATTACACATTATTTTAGGCTCTGGTTCATTATAAACATTAACCAACTTATCCAGGTATTTATTATATATTTGAATTGACTAATAATAGTCAATCTCGTCATTGTCTAAATTTACAACATTGCCAGTGACGTTGGTAGCATATTGTATATATATATTATGGTCAATATTATAAGATACATAGTTATAGACGTACATTGGTGAAATTTCAGGCAGGGGGAGGGGTGCAAAATACAAAAGAAAATATTAAAATGTATGCTAAGTGAAGGTTTAAATATAAATTTATTAAAATTATTAGTTCATATTATTAGGTACGTAGGTACCTATACAAATAGATAGAAAACAAAAATAACAACACTAATAATATATTCGTGTAATATTAGAAAATACTTGACGTAACATTATACTTATTATTATCACATATCAAACATCCGACTAATGTCGAGATTGTTATTGTTTTTGTTACCGTCGCACGCGTACATTTAGACTCGTCGTCGTCGTCGTCGGACACAGCGACAAATTCGCATCAGATCGTCGGCGGCGGCGGGAATGCGGACGGGGCCGAGCGGTCGGTTCGTTCCTACAGTTACCGGCACCATTCGAGACCCAAACGGGTGGTGCCGCCGGCAACCAGCATACCGCGTTTCCGAAAGTACGCCGTCGAGGACTTTAACTTCTTGAAAGTGCTAGGCAAAGGCAGCTTTGGAAAGGTACGGAGCGACGTATTGTAATACAGTATAATATTATAACATAATATATCGAACGCGTGTTTGTGTGTCTGCGTGTTTTGGGTTTGGTTCTATCTGAGGATCGAATAATAAATACCGAGTTCTTGTAGATTTTAGTTTAAAAATGTCCGCAGATAAAATATATGCCTATGTATACCTAATTATTAACCAGGGCTTGCCGTCGGACTTCTATGAAAATTCCGTACACATTATCTATATTTACCGTCTTTTGCCGTCTGAAAATGTACACGTATCAAACAAGTAGCCATCGTATTATGGGTCTCATGTCTATAGATTATTTGACCTTTAAAATAACCCACGAAGTATATAACGTCTATATTATAATTATATGGCATAATATTGCTGTACAGCAGGTACATTTTATATAACTTTCTATTGAATTATTGCAATCAATTGAAAAAATATAAAATATGTCGGCGCGACCCTGTAACGTCCGTTAACGTCCCTATAACGCTTCCGTTGTTTGTTGGTTCCCGAACAACTCCCGTCGAAAAAGATTTCACGAATAAGTCGGTGTTCGTCAATTGCGCCGATTTTGGCACACTATCCGTATTATATATTATACCTATTGCTCATATCCAAAAAACGTATACTGAAAAGGTATAGATATAAGATATATTAATTGCCCTGGATCATTTTTACCATTGATTACAGAATATTTTATTCTATTGATTCTATTCTATTCTATTGATTCTATTCTATTCTATGTTTTACTTAACAAAAATAAACATAATTAATTGTTACAAATTGTTTGAAATATTGCTATTTGTATTGTATTTGAACGCCGTTGCTACTTGCAGTGTCAATTTTTACTTTTCTAAAAAATATATTCAAAAATGAACAATATAAAAATAAGAAAAATGCCTAGATATTATATAGATGTTTATTTACATTTTTATTTGTTTTTTGTACCCTTTATTTTTGATTTTTTTTTTCTCGACAATATTAATTTTCACTTATATGATTGTAGTGTTGAATCATTTTCAAAACTTCATTAAGAACAAAAATATTTAGACGGATGGGGGGGGGAGTATATAAATATTTCCCAATTGCCGAAAACCGACGCACAAGGATTTGTATTTATTTCACCTGATATATTAGGTACCTACACGATGCCCAAAGACACGGTGAAAAAATTTAAAAATTATAACAAACTATTCTAATTTGCGTAAATAACATAAAAATATGTATTACATTCGAACATCGATCGGCGCAGTTGATGTACCTATACCTTTTATTTTATCCCATCATTTTTCTTTTTACCTACGATTTCCGGCGAAATTAATATATCCCCATATAAGTTCCCTAAGGGCTCCGGTATTCCATAATAAAAAGGCGGTTTCGAAAATTCAATAAAGGGTCGCCAATAATTTAATACCAAATAAAAAAACTGTAAAAGTATTAGGTACTATTATGTATGTATATTTCTCGTAAAATTGTTTTGTACCGTTGGTGACGATCGTATGATGCTGCAAAATGTACCGCAGACAACGGCCGTGTCATATTTTATTTTTCGCAATAACAAGTTCTATTAAATGTATTAAAATTGTCAAATGGCATGAAGTTTGGATTTTACGTTCCACGCATTACCTACATGGGTTATTGTCAAACGAATTTCATCAGTAATTGTATTTAATTTGTTTGGGAATTGACATACTTGTAAAATATAATGGAGTCGTTTCGAAAAAAAAACGGGAGATCAATTTACATCAGTACACACTTACATCAAATAACCAAAACATAATAATAAAAATATCATAAATTATTTTCAACCGGGTAGAAATACCTAGATAAGATTAAAAAAAACTTGGGTATACACCACGCATCAGTGTATTATGAAACGATTTTCGATGTAGGTACCTACCCAATATATTATATAATAAAAGGTATATCCCAGAAGTCCCTTGCCACACTGATTATCTTCGTTTAAAATTAATACATCCAAATGCGATTTTTTCAGCAGTAGAATCTGTGAGAAAATTACAATTTAATTGCTTGCATTTAAAAATTAAAAAAAAAAAATTTTAGCAATTAAATTTTAAAAGTTTTTTCAAGAAAGCCATTTTTTTTTTTTTTTTTTTTTTTTTTTTTTTTTTTTTTTTTTTTTGGTGAAATTTTTTTAAATAACTAAGAATAAAAATTTGGTGAAAATTTACCAAGTTAGAGCAGATTAAATTTTTGATTTCATGATAATTACAATTTATAATCGACATTTATTTCAACAAACGTGAATCGTTTTTTGTTTTTGCTAAAAACCATTATTCCCATGAAATCATTAAATTAGAATTTTCTCACAGACTACTGTTGAAAAACACCATTTAGATATATTGATTTTCAACGAAAATAATCAGAGTGGATTTTTTCTGAGACACAGTGTATTGAATATTTTGGGTGATAAGGGAACTTTTTAAATACACACTTTAAGATTAATTACAGTTTTTCAAAACTTTCATTGCACACATGTTACTAAAAATTGTTTTTGAATACTAACTTATTTCTGACATCTTGATCTACAAGTCGTAATTTTTCAAGTGACCATGTCTCAATAATTATCTGACATGAAATAATATAAAGTTATTTACAAAATATGGTTTTTTAAAGTATTTAAAATAGAAAGTGTAATACTAATTACTTTTTTTATTTTTAATAGTAACGTCTATTTTTTATAACTAGATTCGAAACTGTTGCTTTATAGTGAATAGATTTGTAAAGATAATCATAAAATATCACATACATAATTAAAAACATCTTAAATTTAAAAAAAAACATACTTATTTTTAACCAACTTTAGATAGATTTATCTCTTTGAATTTTGTAATTTTTAAGATAAAGAAAAAGAATATTATTTAATAAAGTTACTATTAAAAAAAAACAGGACTCCCTATTCAAATCCAGTTATCAAAAATAGGCGTTACTATTAAAAAAATAAGTAATTTAAATTACACAGGCACGCACCAAAATGGTCAAAAAAAAACTGAGATTTATCCTAAAGTGTGTATTTCCCCTCTATCATTTCTCGAAAATAGAATTCAAATCCATGACCATCTGGCCGAAATATTTAGTGTTATTATGTTTTTTGATTTTACTTCTTTTAAATAATTAAAATGTCTGTCGGTTCTAATGCGTTGTTCTTTTCCTGTAGAAAATTGCTTTGTTTAAATTATACTAGGAAATCTAATGTGCGTATTTACGATTTGTCTGTTGTTCAGGTACTGTTGGCCGAACTCAAAGGTACAGATTATTATTACGCCGTCAAATGTCTAAAAAAAGACGTGGTGCTAGAGGACGACGATGTCGAGTGTACACTTATCGAACGCAAAGTCCTTGCTCTGGGAACGAACCATCCTTACTTATGTCATTTGTTTTGCACCTTTCAAACCGAGGTAAGTAATAATATTAGTAAAATCATTGATACAACAATTTATTACTATATTGTATCATATCACTCTGTTGTACATGAAATTAGTTAAACAAATATTTTAGCAATGGTGGAAAAGTTACTCAATTTTAGTAGGTAACTGAATAAGTTACTGTTACTTTTTTATTTTGATAGGTATCAAGTGGCTAAGGTAACCAATTAAAGTTACAAGATACTAAAAAAAAAACTTTTTTTGTTTGTAGGTATTATTTAATATATATTTTGTAGTGCAATAATGCAAATTTTTAAATTATTATTTCTTATCAATATGAATTAAGAACACATACATGCATCAAATAAAGTACAATCATATTATATTTCTTCATATTTATAGAAGTGACTTAAGATTTGTAAAAATAACAATATAAAATAAATGCATTACAATAATTGCCAATAAAACAGATTTATTACAAAAGGTAGGTACCCAATTTGGTAACTTTGGAACTAGTTACTTTTTTAATGTTTAGCTTTGTCTTTTAAAAATGATCTACAGGGTAAATGGCCACCTAGATTCCCAAGATCTAAATGACATCAGAATTTAGATGATAGAGATATACAAACTACAGAGATCTAGTTGTCAAATGGATGTAAGTAAATGAATTAAATATTCTCTTGTCATTTAGATCTTAAAGGGTTACTTAGTCCCACTGTCAACTATATCCCTATGGGTAATCTAATTTTTTGTGAATGATTATCTAGATTCCCAAGATCAAAATGATACAATAAGGATTAAATGACAGTGGTGATCTAGTTGACCATAGGGGATTTTGTTTGTTTATTAAAACGTACTTGATTTGCCATTTTTCATTTTAATATTAGTGTCTTTTTTGGTCATTTTTCCTGCAATATTTCTATGAGATACTTTATTTTTCTTGGCTTCTTTATATTCTTCTTTTAGTTTCTAGATATATTTTTGTGATTTATTAAGTTGTTCCTTTAATAATTTTATTTTATTTTTTTTTCTTCTAAATTATGCAAAACACGCTTCAGTGATAAGTTCTCTGTCATTGGAATCAGTTCAATTTTTCATTGTACACCTGTAAAGTGCTGTTTACATTAATTTTAACTATCAACGTTTTTAAATTCAACCATGATGATTTAGTTAAGTTAACTACAGAGATCTAGATAATCACATGGGAGGGACATATAGGTTGTTTGTCACCAATTTCAGCTGTATACACCAATTATAATAAGTATATAATTGTTTTATAAAGGCGCCTAGTTATTAGGTAAAATATTATCTAGTAATATTATGCATTAGGTACATTGGTTTATAGATATTTTTACTATAAGGACAAAACATAAGTTATTGTTTGTGTACCTTTTTTCATTTTTTACTGGGTACTTAGAATAAAAACTAAAATTATATTATTTTTACTACATTTAAGCAATAGCTTAAGTAAATTGTTTATTTTACTGTTTGTTACTATGTTAATGTTTATTTTTAATCACTGTGATTTTCCCTTTCTCTGTTCTGACTTGAACATCTTTACAGCCATCTACTCGTAATGCCATTGGATAAAGAGTTTACACTATACATATTATTATTAGTTATATACATGAGGCTGTATGGAGGTTGTTTTGCATAAATAATCTCACCAGCTCAGGCAAGTGTCATGCTTACTATAGTTATTAACTTTCTTTATCTTTGTGTCTAACACAGGTTAGACTTTTAAACTATCATAAAAATCATAACTTAAGCTCTTGCAAAAAAAAATCTTAAATAACACCGTGATTGTATTTGATGGATATTCCTATATTCCATTAAGTTCTCCATAACATAATGATCTTTATTGTGGACAGAGGCAAACATTAGTTATTTTATCGTTATAAATAATAATAATAATACACTATGACTATATACGCATTAAAAAAATAATAATAATGGACAATATTTTTTCATTCTAAATAGATCAATATAGTTATGTTTTATTGCTAATTGCTGAATAATTTATGACCTACTAATATAATATAGGTATTTTAATAAATAAATAAAAAACATAATCTAAAATAAAAATTAGAAGAATTTAAAATTTATTTTTCAAAAAAAAAAATAAATAATAAAATTTAAGTGTAATCCCAATTCTGTTAGCTTTATTTATCTTCTTATTTTATGAACAATAGTTTAATTTATATTTTGCAACTTTAAATTGTAATATTGTGAATTGTTGAATTTACAACACATAGAAACTTGAAGTATAATTTGCCATTTTAAAATATATGTAATGGAATATATTTTTACTTTTTATTTATACTAAAAATATTGACCCAATTTTACTTTAGGTTTTCAAATAATTGTAAAAAATAATATTACTTTTCCTTAAATTGTATTTAAATATATTTCTTATATTTAAATAAAATTTTGTACTTGAATAATATTAACTTAACATTATTAATAATAAATTGTATTGTGTAGTATTCATATAAAATATTTTCCTATTTTATGTTATTTAATTAGGTTTTCTTTCATAATTTAAAATTACAGACAATTAATCCACCTGATAAATAAAACAAAAATATAATTTAGTTCAAATGACTTAATATTAATATTGTGTTGACTTAAATAAACAAAATTCAAAATTTCATGTTTTTTTGATTATTTGCCAATTTTTAACAAATTGAAGATATATTGTTTTAACCGTAGCGTGACCACAAACCAGAAATAATTCAAAAATGTTCACTCGAAAAATTGTGTGGGTTTGCTATGTCAATATTACTATCAAAATAGTTTAATGTATACCATTATTTAGGTATTGTTTTTTTTTTAAATATAAAAAATAATAATTCAAATAAAACAATGATTAGACCTACTAAATAAAATACTATAGGTATAATATTATTTTTATTTACTAAACTTATAAATTAGTAATTATAAATAAAAAATATGGTTAATTTTTTAGTAAAAAAAAAAATCATTTTCAGTCGCATTTGTTCTTTGTTATGGAATATTTGAATGGTGGTGACTTGATGTTTCATATCCAACAATCAGGACGGTTTGATGAAGGCCGCTCACGATTTTATGCATCTGAAATAGTATCTGGTCTCAAGTTTTTACACAAAAAAGGAATTGTATACAGGCAAGTTTTCATAAAGACATTACAATAATATCTGCTAATAAACATTGTGTCACAATCAAAATTGTTATATTATATTGATAATAATTAATTATTTATATTTGAAATAGAGATTTAAAACTGGACAACATATTATTAGATTTCAATGGGCATGTGAGAATTGCTGATTTCGGAATGTGTAAACTACAGATATATTTGGACAAAACAGCTGATACATTTTGCGGCACTCCTGATTACATGGCGCCAGAGGTAAAGTTTATCCTAATTTATTGATATATATATAAGGAGATTTTTTTAAGCATGCTCACCACATTTTTATAGTTCAATTATGTATACTTTGATTTTTGGAAATTTCAAGTGTAAGGTGATGATTTTGAATACTTTGATTTTTCACAACATGCAACAATGATAGTTTTTAAAATTAGAACCTATATTTTAGATTCTGAGCGGAGCGAGCAATGTATTGGTTTTACAATACAATGTTTAATTATTTTTTTTCCTGTGTCCAATTTTTTTACCAACAATTTTACTTAGATTTTTAAGTATAACACTATTTCTGAAGGAAATCTGACTGGGGTGGTACATTAGAGAGGTCATCATTTAATTATATATAATTGTGAAAAACTGGGAAAAACGTAGAAAAGATGGAGCAATTTACAAAAAAAATTCCTTTTATTTTAAATTTTGATGGAAATATTATATTTGCTTATATATAGATACCTTATTATAATTACCGACTCATATCTATTTAAAATATATTTAATAGATTATTATACTAAAGTATTTGAATAAAGTAGAATAATTCAGAAACTTTCCATTTAAATTTTGATTATAATATGTTAACATTTTCAGAAAAATCATCAAACTTACAATTCGCTTTAAAACCTGTTGGTTCTCATTTCTAAAACCTTAATCGGTATTGCCATACAGTACGTTAAATGTTGTGAAAAATATAAGTATTCTAAAATATTATCTTTAACTACACTGAAAATTTGAATACATGTATAATTTAACCATACAAATTGGGTTAGTATTTTCAAAAAATTACTCTGTATATATTTATGTACAATTTAAATATAGGTATTTTCTGACCGACTGAGTTCAACTATTTTACCATGTATTAAACGTTGTTTAATTAGATAATCAAAGGTCAGAAATACAATCAAAGCGTAGACTGGTGGTCCTTTGGTATTCTATTATACGAGATGTTGGTTGGCAAATCGCCATTTAGCGGTTGTGACGAAGATGCTTTGTTTTGGTCCATATGTAATGAACAACCTCAGTATCCACGATACTTATCAGTAGACTCAAAATCTGTATTAGTCGCTGTAAGTTCTCACAATAACCATAATTATTGAATTTTTATTTTATTTTCAAATTGTTATTGTATTGTGTTATTTGAACTTATAGTTTCTAGAAAAGGATGCTACCAAACGACTAGGTTCATTGGAAGCTAACCACTCGGCTGAAGATGTAATCAGACATCCATTCTTTAGTTCAATGGACTGGTGTAAACTAGAGAGACGAGAACTTGAACCACCATACATGCCTAGAGTTGTAAGTGCTAGTGTTATAATATTATTCTGACAGTTGTATTTAATAATTTTAATATTGGTTTTTAGTACCATCCTTTGGATACACACTATTTTGATAAGCACTTCACAAAAGAGAAACCAAGACTGACACCCGTGGATAAAACCATACTTCAGTCAATGGATCAGTCACAATTTGATGGGTTTACATACACCAACCCAAATGTTACAGATTCATGAGTCACTAAATTACTAACAATTTTGTATAAATATAACCACATCTTATAATTTTTATATTTTGTATTTATATTTTAATTATTATTATTATTATTATTTTTTTTTTTTTGTGTTTAACTAAGCCATAGAGTCATTCTATGAAATAAGCTCAGTCAGTACAAATAAGATTGATAGAAAATTTTAAAAATGTGATACGTAAACATAATGTAATTCTCACCACTTTTTAATTTGTGTTTATTTTTTATTTTTATAACTATTGAGAATCACTGGAAGAAGAACTGCTACTATCTGTTGACATAACTTCAACATCTTCAGCAACGTCTTTAGAATGGTTTCTGGTATCTATAACTCCACTACCAACACCTAAATGCATATCACCGGTTGAATGCCAAGCAAATGGTTGTGAAGTTTGGCGATCTAAAAAAAAAAATAAAAGTATTTTTTAAGTATCCAAGATAAAATAATGCCTATTAACAAAAAACATCATCTCAATTAAAATGAAAATCACATTAATTATAATCATAAAATGTAATTAGTTAATAAATAGCAAATCTTCATAATCATATTTGACATTTTTCTATTATGTATATAAATTCTATAATAATATATTTTATACGTAATAATTACAAATTCATAAACAAATAAGTAGTATTAAGAATGTAAATATTGAAAATAAATACATACTTTAAACAAAACACTAGTTTATTTTTGTTAACATATATATGTTTATGCTATGCTATGTATACAACAAATTTATGGTCAACAGAGTTCCTGAGACTGCTATTTTCATTTTATATCACCCTACTACCATCAATCTATTGCTACAACTACATATTACCTTACCACAACCTAATACTTCTGACCAATTTTCTACTACACCTCTCATGCACCTACCACACTATCAAACCCCAACCATCTCCCTCCATCATTATTATTATTATAATTACTATCAATGTAAGCGTTAAGTAACCCCCCCAAAAAATATAATTAATATAGATTCAGTTCATACTCATTGTTTTTCTGTGCAGTAAAGAAATTTGTATTTAATACAAATTTCATCAAATAAAATACTTAAATTTTTAGGATTATTTTATTAGATGGTTTATTCTGTTAGTTCATTTGTTCATTTGTGTAGTGAATAATATTACAAAAAATTAGTAGATTTAGTTTTATTTTTCTGTTTGCTTTTAATATTTGAAAAAATGAAATGTATTTTTTTTTTAAAAAAAAAAAAAAGGTGAAATATTTATTTCTTAATGAAAAATATTTTAATACACAAAAATTATTAATAATTTTGATATCTTAAAAAAATTTGAAAAATATTGTGTATAAAAAATAATTTATAAATTACTAACACATTTCAAATAGTGTAAAATAATATATCGAAAACAAATATTTTTAATTATTACATACATTTTTAATTTGATTTACGTTTAAGTACATAATATATTTAAATAAAATATGAATTAACACAATTTTTCTATAAACATTTTAAGTACTCTTGACAAAACAAAGACTTAATAATATTAATAACATTTAAAATAATAAAGGAGAATGTCAATTTGTGAAAAACTTACTGTAAGAATACCACTAAATTTACATTTGAAATTATTACTTTCTTACACATTATAATCTTAATGAAACATTAAATGTACATATATAATGTGAATAATGTGATATATTGTATTAAACATCACTGATAAAAACTGTGTCAATCTTATCTGATCTTGTTTTAATGGATAGTACAATGACAATATTTCAAGTTTTTATCTCAGTTTTTTCATTTTCTCAGAGATATATATTATTCAGAGGTAAGAAATACATTTATAAAAGAATAATTACAGAGAAAGAATACAAACAAATAAGCATTTTATTTTCAAAATGGATAATAGTCACACTAATAAATGAATATATTATTTAACATATCGGACATTTTTGTGTGAAACATCCAAAAACTAGCCACCTATATTGTTTACTAGTAAATTTATGATATTGTCAAATTTTATTATACAATTACAGTTAATTTTAGTAATAATAACTGTGTAATAAGAATTTGAATAGTAAAATAGTATAAACAAATCCTAGATTATCATTTGTTGGTTATTTATGGTTTTTCCAAACTAAAATATAAATAAGTATTTCAAATACAGAATCTTTATCACGAATTTCCTTTCTATGCAATTTAAACAATTTGGTAATAATTATTTCAAAGCGCTCATAGTAAAAAAGTAGAAAAGAACTATATAAAAGCTTTTACTTTAGAACGCTCAATAAATAACATATTGTTCAAATCTTAACATAAATATGTTAAACAACCAAACACTACTACAAACACCTATTTTGATAGTTAGTAAACATAAGTACCAGATTGCTAAAAGAGTGAACAATAAGCAAACAATTAGAGACCAAACACACCAAACCAGTATGGGTTGCTAAATACAACCACTTGTAGGCTGCCTTCATTAATTTCAAGAAAACACACCTATTGTTTTCCCTAATATACCTATTTGATTGTTGGATCGCACAATATCAGCTAGACCTGGAGGTTGCATCATATGTCCATTAAGTGGTAGATCATTTAATCTGCCCAAAACTCCCATTCGCATTTCAATATCTGAAATTTATATTATAATTATACATTTAATGAATATGTTTTAAGTTAGATTAAATGTAGCTATTACCTGTAGGATAGGGTCTACGTGCATCACCCGGTTGCCAAGTAAGTGGAGCACACACTGCATTAGAAGCACTTATTCTATGGGCATATTTTATGAGATCTTCTGATGATACTGGATGTTTACTAGCTTTATTAATGGACTGCAATTTTTGCTTTGCTTGAAATAATGCAGTCGCCTATAAAACACATCAATGATTTCAAATCAAAAATTAATTAACAAAAATATGGTTGTGGTATAATTACCAAAATGTTTTCAGCTTCTTTAAAATGTTTTTGCATTTGAGTAATATGTTGATCTTGAGTTTCTATTTCTGCTTTAATAGCATCCACCTTTTTTTCTACTCCCGCTTGATGTTCTGCAACTTTTAGTGTAGCCTTTATTTCATTGTCTGTAGCTACAAGCTGTTCTGTCAGAAGTAACTGATGTTGAACATTGATTTTTTGTTGTCGAGCGGCACTTAAATTTTCGATTAATTCTCTAAACAATTTATAAGTCATACAATATATATATATATATATATATTTGTTTTAATTTGGCTTCAGTAACTATAAATAGGTATATAACTAAATAATCTTACATTTTAAATGTAAATATGTACTAAAATAGATCAAAAAAGAAAATAGTTGATTAAAAAATGAAATAAATGGGCAATTGAAATTACAATTAATCAATAATACTAAATTTTTATAAGCCACTAGAAGAAATACTTATTCTATACTTAATTACATATTAAATACTTAGGTATTCTACATGATCTTTTATTTTTAAATAATAATTGGTGATATAATATCAAAAATTGATGATTTTGCATAGTCGCCTAATATGAATCTAATCATACATCATGATTGATTTATAACAATCTTTAGATAGGTACACAAATTCTTTTTCTTGCTAATTTAACATTACCTGCTTAGAAGCTCAAAGTCGTCGAGTAAACCAAGTAACTTATCACGTGTACTTGTGTTCGCTGACATCGCTTAGTACGTTTTTAGACTTAATATGTAAGTCCAACTGAAAATCAATGAAATAAAAAATTTAAAAAAAATGTATTTGATAAGTAAACACCGACCAGTATATTATTATTTATATTCCGCTGGCAATAATTACAGATGTTCCGCTAGCAATATTTGATAAGAAAGTCCAGTGGTTTCCAAATTTGTATATATTGTTGCCTATTCAACTCCTGTAATTGTACTGCTTCTAATTTAAAATTCTATTGTGAACGTCTATACTTTCACTGTACCATTACTGACCAGTGTGGTTTATCGCTGAGCGCTAATCAAGAAGAGAGTGTTCCCACAGTTGCATGGAGTTATAGTATAACTAAAATCTATGAAATAGATGTCATCTACTCTGTGTTAAACATAAATGGGGTTTTAAGAAAATAAGCTAATCTTTAATGGACGTGTGCTTATCCAACGGATTAGGAGATAAGCCGTAGGTACACGATTTTGAACAGATTTTTTAGTAAACCTAAAAGCAGATTAACTATGTTAACAAATAATAGTGATGGAAATATTATAATAGATGACGGTGAAAAGCTAAGGGATATGGAAATAATACATAAAGAAACTACATAAAAACGAACAAGCAGACATATTACAACTGTATGAAGTACATAGATATATATTAATATATATCTGTAATGAAGCAAGACGAAAAATACAATATAGAACCCCTTGTATTAAGAGAAGAGTTTGAAACATCCTTAAAAGAATTTAAAATAAATAACCTAAACGATGAACTATTATCCCTTGGACGTATGAAAGCTGGACGTACAGTCACGTTACGCCTCTTATTTAAAGTATACTTAAAAGAAACTTTAAAGGAGGTAAGGAAAGAGAATATTGGAGGAATAAAAGTAGGCGGAATGCTTTTAAAAATGTCGCGTTTTGCTGATAATATTGTGGTATTTGCAAAAAACGAAGAAGACCTAGCTAACATGCTTGAAAAAATTAGTTATTACCAAATTTTTAAATGAGTAAAATTGAAAATGAATAATTTAGGAAAGGTATCCAGGTGGCTGGCTCCTAGATGAATTGTGACTGGTAACTATTTGATATTTAGTTTTAATATTTTTAAACTTGTGAATAAAATATAAATACTACTATGCTAGTAAGCACTAAGTAGTAACTATTACTACATAGTAAATACTCAATAGTCAATCATGATAATTAATAAATTAAGGTTATACTGTTTTAATATAAGTAGATATATAACCTGAAAACCTCAAATATACTTTCTACACTTACTCGGTATTTAGCAATAAAGCCTGTATTTCTTTTATAAAAGAATTTTCATATCAAATTTTGACGAAAATCGTTTGAGTAAAAAATGATATTGAATAAATCTAGTTACTGGACTAAATAAATTTTTCAATTTTTTTTTTTTATGTATGATCCTATTTAACAACGACAGTGAAGTCAGAATTAATTGGATTTATTTTCGAAATTATAGCTTTTTGAAGTTCTGATATTATGTGTTATGTTAAATAACTCAATATTGTCAATTTAACATTATATAATCTGTCATAGTCTAGTGGTGATACACTGATACGTACCTATTGCCATTCTAGAAATCGTGAGTTCTCACCAGAGTTCCAAAAAATATAATTGAGTGTAATGATGTATTTTTTTTTACTTAAAAATAAATTTCGACGAAAATCGTCATATTACCTTTCAAAACATGTATAATTCGTTCGGAATAGTTTTTCGTTATCAATGGTTTATAGTTGTTTACAAGTAACAATTAAGTAAATAATATTATGTATCCCATCTTCACCACTACCTACCTACAACAGCGGTTGCACCCATCCCCAGTATCAATTTTTTTTATGATGTTTTGGGTAGTTTTTACAACAATTAGAAAAATCTGAAAAAAAATATAGTTAAATCTCAAAAAGTTTTTTAAAAACAATTTCATTATTTTATTTAATATTTTTATGTTATTTATGCATAAATACATTTATCTATATTTCATTGATTTTATAATTATTGGTACTTAAAATTAAATAATATGAGAAATATATTATTTTATTAATAATGTCTATTTATGTATGCGAAATATAAACATTTTTTTATGTGAAAATCATAATTGGACAATTCATTTCCATAGTATTTTATTAATTAAATTGGAAAGTATTAAAGATTTCTTAAAGGTACGTTAGGTGACATAATAACATAATATGGGTCATCCTGATCTTTTCTTTAAGGACTGAATCTATGAATAAATTTGATTTAAATAATAGTACAACCAATTAAAAAAATATATATATTATATTATACAATATATCAACCATACAAGGTTTCTCAAAAGCAATATATATTAAATTATTTCTAAATTATTAAATTTTTAAAACGTAATAATTTAGCAAAATAGATATTTAATACCCTGTATACATTAAATTTTGATCAAATATTTAAATAAAAAAATGTTAAAATAAAATTGAATGAATAATAAAATTTTCAGATTATTGAGTTATTTGTAAACTTTGAATAACAACAAAAAAGCATAATATCACTTCCTTTGGGAGTCATATTATGATTTTTCTTAACAGACTTGAAGAAGTTTTAAATATTCTTCAGTTACTAGTGAACTTCAGAATTATCTAAAATAAAAGTATGACATGGACAATTAGTTAATATCAAACAACTTCTTTGGAATATGTTTTTTAAATAAAAAATTGAACATCAATTGAAATTTGTTATTTCGACTATCTAAATTAAATATTTTACAATTTTCTATTTAGTGCATTAAGTAATATACCAATTGGTCCTTCTAAATGGTAATTTTTAGTAGAATTTAAATCACATGATGGTTGCACATCTTCCATCTTTTTAATTGTAGGATCTGATGCATTTGAATTTTGAATATTTGGATCTAAATAAATTAAATATAATAAAATACAATTCAGGACAAAATTAATTATTGTTGCATGTCTTACTGATAATTGAATCTTTTTGTCCAGAGTTTACACTTTTATTTGTATTTGAATAACCACATTTTAATTATGGTTGATCAGTAACTTCTTCAATAGTTACTGAACCGTTTTGTGCAATTGTATTGTTATAACTAATTGCTGATTGGGGTCTGGGCTTTAGTGATGGATTCCATTGAAAACAATAAGCACATCTATATGCTAAAGGCAAATGCATGTTGGTATAGTACATAACACAAATATTGCATTATTTACAAATATAAAACTACTAAACATCTTTATGAAAGTAAAAATGTAAATTATTATTTATAACACCCATATAATTTCATACTCAAATAGTCAAAATCTTCTTTTTGAGCCATTCCATTATGAGAGCCACACGCTCTACATATCAAAGCAAACCGATTTTGAGGTCCATCACCAAGAATAGTATCAGCTAAACGATCAAATATAGTACGATATCTTGGTATTAATAGTCTTGGAAGCGCTAAATCTATATAGAATTAGAAAAAAGTTATGCTATTAAAAAAAAAAAAAAAAAATGATATTGGTTGCGGCCACTATTGTAGGTAGGTAGTGGGGAAGGTAGAATACATAAAGTTATTCATTATACCTGCAATCAATGATAAACCATTACAAACGAAAATACAATTCAGAGTGAAGTTTGGCTATATATGTTTTAAAAGGTAATAATATTTATTTTATTAATTTTACAGCTTATAAAAAACGAAAAATGATACATTACACTTAATTTTTTTTTTTTAAACACTAAGTATGACTTATAATGAACCTCCTATCAAATTTTCAAGCATTTCTGTTGGTCTTAACAATTTTATCTATAGAATACCTACCAAATAAAAATTACGTAAAGAAACTCACAAAATTAAAATATCTATAAATAGTTCAAAAATGACTTAAATGTTTTGAAAATTTTACCATTTCTAGAAAAAGCAAATATAAGTTTCTGTTAAAATTTCAAGTCTCTACAAATATTTTTAACTGAATTGTATTACAAAAAAAAAAATTTTTAAATAATAAAAGAGCTCATAAATATGTGAACAATTTTAAATTAACCTGTTCTTACTACATATTTTTTCCATTTTGCTCAATTATTAAAAAAATTACTGTTTAGGTCAATGGCTAGAATAAGTATACTAGAATAGACTGTATTGCTCATACCCTCAGTTTACTAAGCTCGCCACATTTAGTTTTTTTTTTTTACGATCAGTGAATAGAGCGATGGTTAATGGTGTTTTTATTGTATTCTAATCTCAATTATAATATAATAGCTGATGGAAAAAATTAAAGCATAAAGAATTATATATGAAGAAAATTACTTATTTTTGAATTAATACTCAATAAAATATCAAATATAAAAAACATACTATTGAAGTTTAATAAGTGTAATATTTGTTCGCTTCTGCTGTTCTATTACTTGACAAATTTACACACAATCTGTTTAATACTTCAGGCTTTGTTTTGTTCTATTTCTGTATGTATGTATTCTCTATGAAATCCATTACTAAAGCCCAGACTCCAATTAACAATTAGTTGTGACAATATAATTACACAGAACAGTTCTGTAACTATTGAAGAAATTACTGATCAACCATCATTAAAATGTGGTGATTTAAATACAAATGAAAATGTAAACTCTGAACAAAAAGATTCGATTACCAACAATAAAGTATTTTTTTTCTGAATTGTATTAGATTCTGAGCGTACTGAGAGAGCTATTGATTTTACTAAGATGTTTACTTTTTTCTTCTTTGTTCCGTGGACATGTTTTTTTCTAGTAAAATTGCTCTGATGTATAAGTGTAGCACCTTTTCTGAAAGCTCAAGTTTTCTAGATTGTACTTAACAAGGTCATTTTTTGAAATTTGATACCATTTTTTAAATAAAAGCACTTAAGTGGGAAAAAAAATAGGAAAATTACAATTTCACAATTTCATTATTTTATAAAAATATGAATGATGTTTTCTACCAGAAAAAAAAAATTTAATCAAAAAAATCAATTGATATTTTTTTGTTGCCTTTTTGATTTACTTTCTTATGGTATCATCGCTAAAACTTTTAAACTTATAAGGAATTTTAATTTTTGGGAGTTTTTTTGCTGTAATTTGATTATAAATACACGTAAAGACTTGAAACTAGGTATTGTAATAATACTTATAGTGGACTTACTTAGACATAATAAAATTTCCAAAATCATCAGACAACTTTTTTTGTTTAATACGCATTTTGAAATCAAATTTAAACAAAAATCGCAAAAAAAATTATGGCACTTCAAATTATGTATTACCGAAATGTGTTTGGAATCGTCTTTCGTCAAGCAATGGTTCATCATTGCTTACAGATATAAATAAAATAACCTGATGTAACCTACCTTCCCAATTTCTCACCTACAACAGTAGCCGCTCTTATCCCCAGCATCAGCTCTTTTTTTTATTATATGTAATTTATTTAGATCCAGATATTCAAAATTCAGATGCATCAGGTTATACAATTGAAGAGATGGAAGATGTGCAACCATCAGATGATCTAAATTTTAAAAAGGATCATTTAGAAGATTTATATACATGTATATTTATTTTGCATATACATGTTACATACTTGGCTTAACTGCTGATGATATTATTGTTGGTGGTGGTCCCATATTTGGTTCTCTTTTTATTTGTCTACCAGGCAAAGCCAAATATGGCCTATTATTTGTAGATGACAATGTTCTTTGATTAATCTAAATCCAACAAATTGATACAGTTAATATGATCAAAATTAAATACAAATTTATTTACAAAGTTTTGAGAAGTCATGGACTGAAGTTGATGGGGAGCATATTTTTCTAAAATTTCTTTGGCTTCTTTGAACGTTTCTTTTTCCATTACCACGTCAAGTATTTTTTTTTTTTCTCTTCGTAATTCTGTTAATTTTTTATTATATGCTACTATTTTTTGATTATAATACCAAACATCAAATTTATAATAACAATAAGCTCTGAAATAATAAATATATAATAATAATTGAGAGAAACAAAATAATAATAAATCTTACATTAAAGGATATGTTGCAAGAACAGCCATTACATAATTGTTTTGAAATACTTTATTAGAAATTATATTCAAATAATAAAGAATAGAAATTAGTCCATATAAAACCACTGAATGGAATATAATTTTATAATAATTTATTGGTGAAGTATTTGATATCATGTTTTCAATATAAATCATTTCCTGAAACAGTTTTTATCAGAAAAAAGAATAAAATATATAAATTACCTACATTATTACTTTAACTTACATCTTCTAATAATCTCAAAACTTCTTTAGTATCCTTATTTTTCTGAAAAAACAAACAATTGTACTAATATTTACATTTAAAATGCCAAGTATGAATTGTTTAAATAAGCAAATTTTAAATTGTTTTTTTTTGTTATTTCTTTAAAATAATATAGCACAATTATTTTTAGGTTTATGACTATATTTTGTAAAACGCTAACCATCATCATCACAATAAAACATTTTTATTTCAGTTTTTTTGGTACCTACCTATCAATGTAGTTTTTACTAAACTAATGTAAAAAGTAGCAATTAATATATTACTGTTATTTTATGTATTTATTCATCCAAAAATATATTAAAAACATGAAATTCAAAACTAAGAGAAGGGGTCAACATTTGATTGATTTATAGGGGGCAAAGTTACATTATAGTTCTGACTAAAAAATAAACAAAAGGTCAACATCAACAACAAAAACCATTATTTTAATTTTGGAGTTATAATTTAGGGGTTTTTTAAATTTCTAGTTGGATAAGTCCCTTAAGCCACTGATGCCCGATTTTGGGGGTGAATAAAATGTATCAGTTTTCACTATTAATTTGTAAAAGCTGTTTTCAGGGCCCTTTGGAATATTTTGTCTAGGCCTAGCAAAACCTAGCACCAGTGTACTAGTCAAATCACACCTCCAAGTACGATTATGCTGGATTATTATCATACCCCTCAGTACCATAATTATAGTATTTATATACACCCTTTCCTAAATTTACCATACCTTCGGGGGAGGTATGATATTCCTGGAGCATTTAAGCACCGTAACTGGGTATTTTTTAACACACCCGTGCAGAATATTTACTAATATATATATACATATATATATAGGTATATTAAGTGCACTTCATATTAAAAGTACTTCCTCCGACTTCTGAATTTTGGATTAAGTATATATCAGCGGAATTTAGCGATAAGATAATGGTTTCAACGCCAAATAATTTGATTTGGCTCCACCCACATAAGTCTCCTCCATAATTTGATATCATAAAATCCTTTCCAAAGGACTTAGTCTGGAATTCATCCGATCACAACTAAACTTTGGAAACGGATCACCTCAAAATCACTTTCACCAATTTAGTACCAATTGGCAGGGATAAAAAGGGATGACTCTCCAATAGACTCTCAAAATTCAACAATACGGACAATTAATAGTTCTTTAAACACTTACTTTGAATTGAGCCAAAATATTACCCATTGTTGGCACTATTTAATCCCTAACAATCAATGAATTATATAGTAATAACACTTTCTTAGCATTGAACATAAAAATTCCGCTATTAGTACGTCGAAAACACTAATGCTGGGTTGCATAGAAATCATTCCGCTGAAATATTAAACGGTTTGTTGAATCGCTATAAAAATCAGAAAATTTGCAAATATCACAAAAACTGTACAACTATTCAAGGAGAATAAACATATTATCATGTTTATTATGACTAACTGGCAATAGTCGTGGTCTGGTCGGTCAGTATATGGCTTTACAAATAACACGGATATATTGTTGTATGTATCTGTGATGTGGTAAATAAACCCCATGAAACACACAGCGCAATGCGCCATAATGTTTACGGACAAATTAACGACCGCTGCGAATAGCAAGGAACAGAGCTATTAAATAAGACTAAGACACAAAAATAAGAAAGCCTAATGGTTCCCAAACTGCGTGAACGATCCTAAATGAATATTAAATAGGCAATAAATACGCATAAATGTACGAGGTAATGTTAACCCAAAGGTAGTGTGGTTGCTTTATCAACGATACATATGCCATATTATGGTAAAATAATTACGTAAGCATTAAACGTTTATATTTTCTTTTATAATATTTGTTTAATATTGTACCTATATTTTCCCGTTGTTCCCATGTTTTTCCCCATTTATCGGAGAACTTATGAGAAAATCAAAAAATGACCTCTCTAAAGTACCCCTCCAGTCAGATTTCTTTTCAGATTTTAGAGAAAGTGCTATCATTGTAAACCGGAGCAAAATTGCTAGTAGAAAATTATAGTAGGTCACCGCTGCGCTGAGTGATCTTGTGACGTCACGTAGCTATCTCTCTCCAGTCTCCAGCTCTAACGCCTCAATGAATCATTTCAGTCCATTTCAGTTTTTGATTTTAGTTTTCTATGGTTGGCAATACTGGTATGATGCGTTCTTAGTGCGTAGTAGTACAATGGAAATGGTTTAGTCATCGTCATCGGTGTGGCACAGTATTATTGATCTGTAGAAGCTTGAAAGCTTTTGTTATAGTTACTGCTAGTAATACTGAATAGTAAATACTAGTTTTGTTTCACCACTAATTGCGAAGCCTGCTTGTACATTTTGTCCGCTCAGTCGACATCGAAATTACAAAGTAAGTAATTAACGTGATCCCATGATCTTACATTGTGTCGCAGTAATGCGATGTTCGTCAAAATCGGTAATTTTATGTATTTGGTTGCAAAATGTCTCATTTTTTCCGTGAAATTCCATTTTTCATTATGATATTCCTAGTGATTTTTTTCTCTCTTTTTTCAATCCTTTATTATATTTTCTTCCATTAAAGGAGTGTTTAATTATTGCGTATTATGCTTTAATATACCAACCTATGATATTTTTGAACGATTTTAAGTTTATAATAAATAATTAAATCTGGCCAATTTTGTATTTGGCCTTAATAGTGAATACAAATTACTGCGTTTAATACAGTGAAAGGTTATTGGTACATTTTATCTTATTGTTATTTTAATTTTATTATTATATAATGAGGTATTACGAATACCCCTATAATATAATACTATAGTACATATCATCGACTATTTTTTTTTTATAGCTACAATCACTAACAAGTTATTAACATAAATTATTTATTTTTTACACCCAATCGAAATGGTGTATACCAGTTGCGGTCAAAATCTAAAAATATGTGTTAGTTGTGGCATCATTATTTTATTTAGTATGCTCATTGTGGTCACTTAACTATTGGTCTGTACTATACTGAATGTGGACTTGTATACCTTTTGTTTGTTCTGTTATATTGAATTGAGTATTAAATGTATATTATTTTATCTGCAATAATTTTTTAATCAACGTTTTCCTTCGTAAAGATAATAGACTTGTAATGTATTTTGTAAGTAAATATTGTTAAAATCCCAATTCAAAATGTTGATTTTATTTACAATTAAGTTGTTAGAATAGCGTCAAATGTAAAATAAATAATTATTATTAGTTTAATATAATTGTATAATACTTATTGAAGATGTAAATGTAATAATTGTAATTAAAATTTGGAGGGGTACAAATTTAAAAAAAATCAACTTCACATACTCAAGTTGATTAATTTCACTTCACCATCTTAATAATATCAAATTTGTTTTGCTATGAAATTTTGTTTCTCAGTCAACATCTTATTAGTACAAACAGTATGTTTTTAAATAAGAGTCTTGAATTCATGAAATGCATATATATTTGGGTAGGGGAAATGTAGGAGTAGTAAAACATGCTATTGAGCTTCAAGTGAAAACTTTTTCATGCATTGGTCATTTGTGTCATTTGGAAGAAAAACATTCAGCCCATAATGATGGTTGGTGAATATCTTGAATCTTTCCTTACATACATTTTGAAAATATTATCAATTTTGGATTATCATAGCTATGTGGATAGCTTATTCGAAGTCATTAATAACTGTATCTAACATACTTTTGTGTGGATCATAATATATCATAATTCGGGTATTTTAATCTTGACTACAACTGTGATATACACTATGAATGGCATACCCCAAATGTTATATTTAGGAAGTTCAAGTATTAATTTGTAATGATATTGTTTTTCCATCTTAACCTACACTTACCAAAAATAGAACATGTACACTGAGTGGTACGTTGTCTTTAGATGATAATTTTCAGGATAATTATCATTGGTAGATTTATTTATATTCATAAATATAAATATTTCTTCTAGTATTCATTGCTATGGTAGGTTGAATGGAGTAAGAGAATAAAGTAATTAGAGCCATAAGGTAATGGCTATACCTAAGAAACTTGTAGACCAAGAGTTATGGTCATAATTTCAAAGTTTTTAATATATCATAATCATAATTTGTTTTGATATAAATATGTGATATTTATTTATTATCTAATATTTTATTTGTTTCTAGCACAATACATTTGGAAGAAGTTAATTCAGAAAAATGAACAATAAGAATGCTAAAAGGTGTACTAAAATCAACTATATTCATACAAAACAGTATACAGATGCTTTGATGCGTGGAATTATGTTTCCACCTTTTATTTTGATCAAACGAATGTCAGAAGAGGACATTAAAAGATACACGTTAGAGAATATTTTTTTATGAGTAAAGGAATTGTATTGTAAGATATAGGTTACAGTAATAAGTAAGAATCAATGGTAATATTTTTAAAAATATAAGTTTTTGTGGGATCCATGGTTTTTAAATTTTAAAATCAAATAATGTACAATTTTTGAAAAGTAAGACATGTAAAGAATACTTATGTAGATAAAACACCTAATTCCCTACCCGGGATTGATTTCAACACTTCATCTCACTTGGGGTTTTCATTCATTTTCATGCAATGGAAATTTTATTCATGACATTGTTCTTTATGTTTTCTTAATGATGGTAGTCTTACTCACTTAGGACGGCTGAGTTTTTCTGATTCTGCTATTGATTTGTATATTTCCTCACCCAACCTTATTTGGAATTTATCATGATCCATATTAGATGATTCTTATGGTAATAATCATATTACTCTAAATTCTCAATTGCGTCCTAGAAATTCCTAATCATCTTGTCCTAATCTTAATTTTACTTATTATAATTATATTCCTTTCAACTTTAAAAAAACTGATTGGATTTCATTCTTTCTTTTAATTTACAATGCTATTTAATCCTTTCCAAATGATTGTTCTTCCTGTAATTTGTATTCTACTTTCATGGATATGGTTGACAATACCACAAAATGTTCCATCCTTGTTTATCGTGTTACAAATAAAAAATATCCCCCTTCTCTCCATATTACTGAGGCCATTCTAAGTCGCTTTTTAGTGTTTTTCGTTCTTCTGGCTCCATGGAGGATTTTCTCAATTATCGCAACGGCTGTGCAATAACTACTCATTGTTTAAAAAAATAATAAAGGAAAGCTTGGAGTTTGTTAGAGTCTCAATTCCTCTTAATCAATTCTCTTTGGAACACAGCTAAACGTTACAAAAACTTAGTTTGTCCATCTAACGGTCCTATGAAAGACTATTGGTTCTATGATTTTTGTGCAAAGGTTGCTCCTAATTATGTTCCCACTTACTCTTAGGTCTCTTCTCTATATCCTATTGTCTCTTCATCATGTAATGTTTCATTCTCTTCCTTGGGCATTATGGGATATCTCCACTTTTATTGACAATATTTATCACTCATTCAATGATAAAGAATTTTTGATGGCTGCCTTTGTGGACATTCAAAGTGTTTTTGATTTAATTAAAATTTTTACCTTAATTTCTCGTCTTTTATCAGACTTCTCCTAAGTTTTGTAATTTTCTCTTTATTTTCTAGTTGTAATTTGTTTTTTTTTTTTCGTTTCACATAGTAATCGTTCTACTTTTTTTGATCTTCTACAGGGAACTACCTTAGTTTGATACTCTTAAACATTTACATGAGTTCTATGACAAATCATCTCTCGAATTAGCTATAAATATCTCATCTATGCAGATGATATTGTCGTTTTTCCTCAAATAAATCTCTTAATTTTTCCATTGAATCTATAAATCTTGCTCTCAATGAATTAGTTTTTATTTTTAATAATCTATTTTTTTTAAATTGCTTTTAATAAATATAAACCTGTAATATCTTAGTTGAAGATACTTGGATTCCCCTTAATGTTTATCTTGAAAATAATATTATTTTCGCTATAAACATCACTTATTTAAGAGTTATACATAATTCAAAATTATGATGGTTCCACTTATTATTTCACTCACTTCTGTTCTCGTTGGGCTAATTTTGTTTAGATCAATATGGGAATTTGGTTGAGCTCTCATTCCTCCCTTTTATCCATTTATAAATGTATTATAGGTGCTAAACTCGACTACGGATGTTTTCTCTTTGGTTCTGCTTCATTTTTCAACTGGAAAAGACTAAGGTTAGGTTAGGTTAATAAGTTATAAAGTTCTTGTCTTTAAAGTAGTATGAGTTATGTGAAATCATCCCCTCTTCCTGCTATTGAGGTTGAAATTATGTGTCCTTTTAATATAAAATACTGTTAGCGGGTGAATTTCTCCTTAAATTTCTATTTCTTTCCAACTCTACCCTATTTGACACCTTTTATACTTTGTACTAACCTGGCGTGTTTTTTTTGAAATCTCTCATTATCCCTTTGTAGATGGAAAACTTCATTTCCCCTTCACACCAATGTAATATTTTGAATTCTACGAAACCTCTGTACAAGCCTTTTTGAGCATAGTTTCTTTTATACATATATGTAAATTTTCCTGTTTTTCCTATGGTTTTTTGATAATTTTTCCAATTATAAAAATCACTTGGAAAATCAAAAAATGACATATAAGTACTCACTTGATAAAATTTTCATTTTACATGAAACTCTGAGCAAGATTTCTGGTAAAAAAATTGTTTGTAAATAAAAAAAAAAACATAAATAATGTTACAGGCCGTTTGGACACAGCCTTTCAATAGGAAGATGTACATGAGTGTTAGGTCTGCAAATGGTTTTTTATTAGAATTTGAACAAAACATTGTTGACAAATTGTATCTATAAGTGATAAACCTGCGACACCAGTCTCGGGTCAATATTTAGTTGTAATTATTAGGTATAACTACACTAAAGAAATTACTGGACAGGTTGATGTTGATGTGATGGTGTGTCGGTGGTGGTATAGCTGTCTTGACTTTTGACTGTGTTGGAGTCGTCACCATTGGTGATGATTCCGGTCTCTTTATATATAGTTGTTGCCTCGATCGAGGCCTAGGTGATGTAGGCTATGTCTAATGGTAACACATCGTCTGTACCTGGACACGTTTTCCCTTTGGCCTATAAACACGTATAATCCGTTGTTGAATGGGAACATCGTCAGTTTACCATACCCATATTAATGGCCCTGACTTGGGTATACTTAATGTAATTTATAATTAACAAACTTTACATGTGAAGGACAGAGTCTGCAATAATAAACATTGTAAAACACGTCCTCGCTACGCTCTGAACATAAAATAATGTGAAATGAGAAATAAGAATAGCAAAAACTTAACATTGGTTAATGTTTAGGTATCTTTTGTTTATTGGTATTTTTTAAATTTTATTTTATAGTAAATTTTTAATTGTTGATCATAGTGGTGGCCAACGTACAGAAAATAAAAAAAATAAAGCTGGGCGTGCTAAACAATACTCAAATTTACGTCTACGCTGTGCTCAATGTTCAGTGCTGCGTAAACGTAAAGGCTCTCGATGCATGTGTGTCCGTGCTAAAGTTTCCAGACAAGTGGAGGCCAGTAATAAATTGAACCAGCGTAATTATGCAATTCATGATGATGGAAAAATGTTTTGCGCATATGTTAAACTTTCAGAATTGTCACAAAAAGACATTCAAAAGTTGATGTAAGATAAATATATATTTTTTTAAATATTTAATTCATTATTAGTTATAAAATTAGAATTAAAAAATAATAATAGTTTAAATAGGCAAGTTTTATAAAAATCTAGATTTATGATATTAAAATGTATAATATATAGCTTGATTACTTTGAAAAGTGAGGCATAATTATGTATTTAAATGAGAATTGCAAAAACTTTATATTTCAGTAAATAGGTACCTATGATTTCTTTTATTTTTCACATTTTATTATAAATCATAATATTTTAATTATTAATCTGTAATTGAAATATCATTATAAACTGAACTTAATTGGACAGCAGTTTAGTTTTTATAAATTTAACTTTATTAATAACATAACAATTGTAAAAACAATGATAGCACTGAAAGAGGTCATTCTTCACCTAGATTGGATGTAATAACAGTACTAATGCTCAAATTATATTTGAATGCTTCAAGTAAGATCTTTATCTCAAATTTTTAATTTTGCCTTTTCAATGTCTATAGTTTCAAGTCTAATATTGAAAATTACCAATAAAAATTAAATATTGCCAAATATTTGAAAAAAAAAAAAATTAAATATACATATTATGTTAAATAAATTTATAAACCTGGTGTCTGTAATTTATATTATTAAAAACAATCTCACTAACACATTAGAATATGGAAACAATATATTAGACAATTGTTGAATATTAAAGTGCCCAAACATGTATAGAAAGTAAACGTAATATACTTTCCTAAAAATATTGTAATCTGGTAGACATTATCTAAAACAAGAATTAACATTAAATAAAAATAATAATAAATAAAAACTATGGATGCTGGTCGAACAAAATGTTAACTATATAACTAATTTTAAAAACCAGTAATTCATAATTCATAATTGTAATTTATTTTAGTTTTTATTATTTTTTGTATTGTATGTCAGGCACAACTCTATTCATTTTTTAACTGCTTAACGTACCTATATTTACTGATAGTGTATATTTTAATCATTCACTGGGCATTTATTTTAGATGTAATTGTTATTTTTAATATAATTTATTTATATTTTAAAATGTAAATACATATGCCTCCATAAAAACATGTTCAGTGTGTTTTTTCATCTTTTTAAAATATTAAAAAAATATAAATAAAATATTTAAAATACAAATTTGTACAACTACTATTTTTAATTTTATACATTAAAATTATTTTGTTGTAATCGAATTTGTATAATTTGTATTCTAGGGAAAAAAAGGATTAAGAACTCAGTGGAATCATGTGACTTTGATAAATTTTCAATGAAAAGTTCATTTTTTAGAAGGAAAACCAGATATACCAAATTATATAATCTAAATTTCAAATTATTTTGAAATTCACAGACATCAAAACTAATCATACAGTATTTGTGTGTTATAGTGTATAATGTATGCATACATACTATTCATTCGTAATTTATTTTCAAAACTTTAAAAATATATCAACATTAATATTTTGATAAATTAGAGTAAAAAAAAAAAAAAAAATTTTCTTACAAATAATAATATTTAAACTACTTTAGTTAAGAACATTTTTTTTTTTTATTATAATAAGAGTATTTCATATTTTTTATTTTTATATTTTTTTTTGTTAATATTTTTTAAGATCTCACTTATAGTAAGACATTTATACAATTATATTTTGTATACAGGATGATTTTTTTATCGTTTTATAGTAATTATTTCACAAAGTATTGATTTTTTTTTTCAAAAAAAATTGTTTTGACAATTTGAGAAACAAAGAGCTCTAAATTGTTACATTTCCAATTTTTTCATCACTCATTTGTCTGGGTGATACCAACTTTTGATTTTCAAATTGTAATCTACATTAAAAGCTAAAGTAATAGATGGAATAATTTTAGAAATTTTAGTGTTGATATTTTTGATTTTCGTAAACCCATTCATGATTTATTACACATTGAAGTTTAGGTAGGGGAAGGGAACACTATTCAAATGCTGTCACCACACAAATGATACTCCATCACTTTTTACTATACAATCTTAAAAGTGGGATATTTTGTGAACGGGTTCAATCTAACATTTATTTAAATTAATACTCTATTTATGGAACTTTAGAACTATAGAGATGTAACATTTTAGAGTTGCTTGTTTCTTAAATTGTCAAAAAAAAATTGTTTTGAAAAAAGTCAATGTTTTGCAAAATAATGAGTGTTCAACAATAAAAAAAATCATCCTGTATAAGACTAATATGGTTAATTAGTGTCAATTTCATACATTTCATCAGTTTTAGTCAATGATGATATATGTATTATTTAGATTTTAATAATTGAATAGTCCCACTTATAATATTTTAAATACTCATATTGTACTTTTATTGGACAATTATTTATTATTTATTAATTCGCCTATTATTTGAGTTGAAAAAGTAAACATTAGAGATACTTTAAATTAAACACATAAGAATTTAGAATTTAGAACTTCAGAATCACAAATTTATGAACATTTTTAATTATTTGGATTTAACTATTTTATTCTGTAAGGATTTTTAACATAATTAATACATTAATCACAGGTATTGCACAATTGAACATTTTTTTTATATTGCATACTTTAATTTTTTTACCACACATTATATGGCACTATTTTAATATTTTTTTTTGTACATATGAATCTGTGCTCTAATTATAATACAGTTCATTGTTGTCGTCTGGATTTATGGTAAGAATAATGGGTTCCAAAATTTCGTCCCTTAGCTATTAGTCTTTCACCAAGTCTTCGTCTTGAATTTGTTTACAATTATTCACTGCCTTTTGCTTAATTTTCTCTTGTCACCGCTTCTAAGGCATCTATTGACCAACCCTTCTACATCTGCAATTTTGAAGGAATGATTTTTTTCAGCGACTTAACTTATGCCCAAATCATTTCAATAGGGTTATACTGGCAGTAATGTGGTGGCAGTCTCACCACTTCATGACCCATTTGTAAAGCTATCTCGTCTAATTTATACTTTTTTTTCTTTTGGCATCGACAGTTTCACTTTTTCCTGTAGTTCGCACAATGTTTTTTCCGGAGTAAATGGTATTGATTTTTCTTGTAGCCATTTTTGAACTTTGCCTTTCTAGTATTAGTCTGAGGATAGTCTTCAGCTAATATTGTATGATGCGAGACATTGTCCATGTCTATAATACACGGTTTCTCCAAATTACCACCTAACATATTAATGAACCATTTTTCAAACACTGTGGCGTTCATCTGTGAATGAGATAGTCTCTCGAATTACCTGACTTGAACCGAAATACCAATTTGGAATTTTTAACAAAGCATGACACACGATGAGTCTACCGCCCTTTCCTATGGATACCTTGAGTTCTTCAGTATTATCTGAATTTTGCCAAATATACCCACGGGTATGGTTTTCGTTTACTCATGTCTCATCCAGGTAAACAACTGGTCTCGAATCGTTATTACATCGAAACTCATTCATTTTTCTTAAAAATTTTACTCGAGAAACAACAATGTCAATTCGTTCATTTAAAAATGTACGTCTTATTACACTTCTTTTAAATTTAAAATCTAAATTTTTAAAAGAACTTTCATGGACGATTTTGAACCCAGAGACAATGTACATGTATTGTTTTTATGGTTTACCTATGTAAAGTACAATTAAAGGTTCTGTGTTTATAAAAGACACCTCTTGACCTGACCGCTGCAATTAACTGTGTTAAACAAACTCAAATAAAAATTTTTTTTGATAATTATAGTTTTTAGTTGAAATATGATTTTTGCTTTTGGTTTTTTAAAAGTATATTTTACTTTGACCATCTACTTCAAAACTAAAAACTAAAAAAAAAAAAAAAAATCTAAAATTAGTTAAATATATCATTCTTTTTTCCTTTTAAAAGCAATTTCATTTCAAAAATGCAATATAAATGATTGAACACCAGAGGTGCTTTTATTACGATTAAATCATGTATAATATTAGTGACAATGGAAACATAAAGTAAACGATATGTATGTACTGAAAACTGTATTCATAACTAAATTATTTTATGTTTCATAATCGACTGAATATTCCTACTCGATCTTTAAATCGCTCCCCTACTTTTTTGAGTTGTCATAGTGTAGATCAGTGGTTTTCAAACTGGTGTGCCGCAAGCATTCACTAGGTGTGCCTAGTGTAGCGATCTTTTGAAATTTTTGTTTTCCTTAAATTGTAACATACCACCGGTTACAGTAATCCGCACGTTATGTATAACGAAAAACCCGATATGAGGTCTGAACTCTTTTGATTATGACTTATCAATTTTGTTGTTAGTTTTAATTTTGTACAAACAATTAAAAAATGAAAAAAAAAAAAAAAAAGGGTCACAGTGTGCTGTATAAATGTTGTGAAAAGCAAAATGTGCCGTGGTCAAAAAAAGTAAACCACTGGTTTAGATAGTTGATTATTATTAAAATAACTAATAACTTTAATTATTATCTATTACATAATATTCAGATAAAAATATATAAATAACACGATGCCATATTTTAAATCTTGTGTAGGCCCATCAAAATTGTCCAGGTTTTATATTTAACTTAAAATGTCGATTGAATATTTATTAATACCAGAATTAATATTCGGTGAACATTAGAAAAAAAAAAAAAAATCTTGTGTGAGTTCTATTTATCCTCTCCCTCTCCCCTCTAAAACTATACAATTGTTGCAATACTTACTTCCTTGGCCTACAAAGAATTTAAAAGTTATAGTACTTAATATCTTATTATTATTATATAATCTTTCTTATAATATTGCCAATAAACATTAGTTGATATCAATATTAAAAAATAAATATAATTGTACAACCTCGCTATTGAGTTGTACATCTATTTATAAATTATTATTATTATATTACTAGATTTTAAGATACATTTAACCGATTCAAAATATTTTGATAAATTACATTCATTATTTTGTTTTCAATATTAGTCATTAATTAATTAAAAATAAATTATCGCTGGATCTCTAGATAATAATGTATATTATAAGTATCTTGTTCACTTTTATCTATATTCTACATTGCTTTATATATTAGTTGAAATTAATATACAATTAGTCATTGCTTGCAGTTATGTCTTATTATACTTATTACAATTTTACCTATAAATGTTGTGAATTATCAAATCCACCGATTAGTGTTCAAAATGACACCAGGTGCCCACCTCGAAAATAAGTGTGGCCTAAGCATTAGTTCAACACAAAACCTGTAGTTTCAGTATCTACCTGATATATCGTTCAAACCTAAAATGTAAAACGTATATTTATAAAAAAAAAAAAAAAAAAATAAACATTGTAAAACCAAAACCAATACATTCCTCGTTCCACTCAGAATCTAAAAAAATTAAACAACATAATTCATTTATTACTGAATTTATACGGAAATCGTAAATATCTTCTTGTATCTGATGAAAAGTACGAAAAGAAGCAATAATTAAATGTGATTGTTATAATATTTACAAAAATTCAAAAACATATATTGTATACGTATAATGTCAAATAATTTATTTTAATTTTAAAAATATTAGCAATTAGTGTTTTAATTATTTATGTCAAGTTCTGACGAAGAAGATTCAATGCTACTCTTATTGTTGAACCGCAATAATTATAATAATCGTCGCCAACATTGTGTCCATTCTTATAATAACAATAATAATAATAATAAAAAAAAAAAAATGTCGAATCTCGTGGATCCTTATCAGTGGCCGAATAACTTGCCTCGCGTCCTGAAAATTCCGTATCCCCTACGCTCTGCACTCTATAGGATGCACGAGGAAAATAATAATAAAAAAAAATATACGCAGATTTTCGATATTTACTACGACCGCCGTAACGAAACCACCACCAACGACCGGTTCGCGTGGCGTGCCGTTTTCGCACAACCGCCATACTGTGCTTTGGTGTGCGTCGCGCCTTATGGAAAATGTAGGTACTCGCGGAAAAACCAGACCGCGTCCGATTATTTTATAACCTCGCTCGGCCAGGGACTGTTGGCCCGTGCGGGCCTCCAAAGCCGTATACGCCACTGAGTTCTTGGGGTGTGTGTATTTGAGTTCGGTGTGGTGAGTTTTTCCGTGTCTCGTCTGTTCACCGGTTTTCACTTGCTCCCTGCATCGAGGTCGTTTTCCGGTGGCGAACCGTCTCTACGTACTATTTAGATTCGGAGCAGAGCGAGGGATCTATTGGTTTTACTATGATATACGCGTAGTGTGTCCGTATAAACGACATTTCCAACAGAAAACTTATCCAATCGAAATGACAAGCGGACATTTTTGGTTGCATTTTTAATTTAGCGGATGCAATGATGCATTAAACCGGTCATTTTTTGATTTTCCCAAGGGTTTTCAAAATAATTTGGAAAAACCGGAAACGAAATTATTGGGAAAATGGCAAATATTTATGGAACACCGCGGTGTTACAAATTTCGTCGTTTGAAATGTTTACGCGCTACGTTTTCTATCAACAATATTGCTATAATTGATGAACGACAAGAATTTTTTTTCGTTAAATTTTTAATTTCTAGTTGGTGAGTAAGAGAGTTGTTTTTAATTTCCCGTGTAGGTAGTTCTTTTAATAATTGATCAAAACCGGAAAAAATGGAAATATTAATGGTTTTATTATTTTAAATTTTTTTTTTTTTTTTTTTTGTTTTTTAGTTGATACTTTCGACAGAAAATTTATATTTGCTTTTTATAGACGTGGTAAAATTTTCAAAATNTTTTTTTTTTTTTTTTTATTGTTATTTAGTTGATACTTTCGACAGAAAATTTATATTTGCTTTTTATAGACGTGGTAAAATTTTCAAAATATTTGAGTTATTTATAGGTATTTAGTTACAAGGTATTTTCTGTTTGAAAGTTATTTTGTAGTTTTTATTTGGTAGGTGCTATGTGGATATAATTTGTTAGACCAAACAAAAACGATTATTAGTAGAGTGTAATGTAGTAAAAGATCGTTTTAAGATTAAATTTTAAAGAAAATCGTAATAATATTATACGGCCTTAAAAACATGTATAATCCAGTTTCGCTCAGCACCGTTTTTCGTTGGTTTGGCGTTGCTTACATATAAAGTGAAGAACTTTATGTATCCTACTTTCCCAATTTACCATCTACAACAGTAGCGCACCCATTAGTAGTATCAGTTTTTTTTTTAAATTTCGTAATTCTCGCAAAAGGTTGTAGGATGTTTTTTCATCGTTGTTTCCCGAAAAAAACAAATTTTAAAAACGGCGTTGTATAGTTTTGTACAGTACGAAGTATAAGTGATATGACATAAGTACTGCAGACGCGTTGGGTCTCAAAGAAGAAAAATCAATTCTCTTTGTATTTTTTTTTTCTCAGATTTAATTAAATTTTGTTTAAGTCTGGGACTTTTTCCGACGTTTTTGTATAAGATCTTTCCGACGTAATTGTTATACAATTCTGTTTTGAATATAACAATTGCGGTCCGTGAATCATAAAAGTCTTTTATGTGTACGCAGCATGCATTGTTGTCATCTTGTTACTCGCATCGCCATATCACTGCCGCCGTTGCAGTGGTCGTCCCTTTCTTTGTGCGTCATCTTTAAACTTTAATAAGATTTACTTTTTGTTCCCGTTTTCAAAAGAAAGATTACGTTTTCGTTTTAATAGACTAGTAAAATTTGGACTTTTAAAAATCGTCTTTTGACATTTCCCTATAGGGTAACCATTATATACTGTTAGTATTGTTATTATACACTATTACGGCGACGGAACGCGTACAATAAATAAGAGTTAATGAGTGTAAGTCGCGTAAGTCGTGGTCGTAAGTCACGACGCGTTATTTTATAATACCTAATTATACATATACAACAAAAAATATCGACTTTTGGCGAAATGGTGACGACGATATCGAAATAAATTACGAATATAGCGATCATAAAGCATTTCACTTATTTTATTTCCTACCTTTTGTTTACAGAGCTTTTAATATTGTTCAACATTTTCCAAAATATCCAACAAGTCAGAGTAGAGATTGTTAGAATGTGGTGTGTTTTTTTTTTTTTTTTTTTTAAGTTTTTTGTGAACTCTATGGTGTGAGTTTCACGTAAGTTGTACCTGTGTTTTAGAGCAAGTTCTTAGCTACACTATTACATAATTTATGTTTGCGGCTAGTTAAAGCTGCATCCCATATAAATACCATATCGCTGTAAAAAGTAATAAAAGTATGGATAAACCAGAAAATCGATTTTTGTTACATATTTTTGTTTACGTATAAAACTGAAATCGATCTTTGATGGATATTAAAACCTAAACCTACCTATCATTTTTAAATTGTGCAACACGTAAACTATAAATTGTGATAAGATATAGGTACGCAAATGTGCTTGTATTTTAGCATTTTGCTTATATATATATATATATTCGCCCAGTATCTATAAGGCTATAACTTGCGGTGTATTTAGACATTATACGTACCGTTACATTACAATTTATAAACCATAATATTGTTTAATATGCGTTTTATTTTGTATTCTATAAATACATTAAATTGAATGTCCGCTTTCTTCAGCAGAGGCCATTTCGAATACCAAGCACTCTTCCGATCGACACCAAATCTATATATTATATTCGTCTATTATAATATAAGTTTATTATGTATAATATCCCTGTACTATTATAATATTATATTATTTTGTTGTGTTTTCAAACCTTCAATATTGAACGCGGATTCATCGACAAAAGTCAAGTATATTTCGTTTATAGATATTATATTAATAGTAGAGTAGGTATAATTTTCAAAACAATCTAGTGATTTTTAAGGTTTCGTTATTTGAAAACGACCAATCGTGAGCGTCTAATTTTGATTTCTGGCCACTGTGTATTTTAGAGAAAATTATTATATACTAAATACGATTGTATATGGGTTTGAAGCTGAAGTGAAAAGCTGGCGACAGGAATGAGTGCAAAGGTCAAAAATAACATGTCAAACATATAACGACAGACAGATGACATTTGAATGAGTCTTAAGTATATGTATAATAATATTTTGTAGTATTTATGTTTCCGCGTCAAATTAAAATCCCTTTATAAAGATATAACGCGATACGTCCAGTAGCGGATTGTGCTACTGGGAGGCCGAGAAGTTTCCCGGTAGACCGGAGCCTGATCATGACTTTATCACCAACCGTATTATCATAAACTGATTTTATACTTAAAATTGTTCATTTTTTTAATTTTCGATATACATTTTTTTTATTATTTATGACATTTTTTGCACACGTCTTTGATAATGAGGAGAAAAGCTTTAAGATAATATAATTGCCTAACGAACTATGTGATAAGGTGGTTAAATGTGTCGTACCCACAGATTTATAAAAAAAATAATTGGACCGGTGAAATGAAATTCTTCCGGGTCGGTTAAAATTCAGAATCCACCGCTGGATGCATCACAGTACAAAAAAAAACAATATTAGTTGCACATGTATGTATAATTTTTACATATTTAGCGCAAAAAAAAATTTAGTCGAATGCATTTTTATCTGTACATTGAAATTATTTGATACACAGTTCAATTACGCTAAGAGTGGCCAATCCTCGATGAAATTCATTATCTCGGAAAGTATTAAATTTTAGATTCAGAATTGAGCGAAGAACATTATGGTTTTACCTAGATGATTTTTTTTTTATCTATTCTACTTTTCTACTAGAAATCTTGCTCCGATTTTTAAGTGTAGCTGCAACTTTTCTGAAAGGAAATCGTTTTGGGGAGGTACTTTGAAGAGCCATATTTCGATTTTTCCAGAAGTTTTCTTAACAAATATGAAAAACCGGGGAAAAAATGAGAAAAACGGAAAAATCGGTACATTAAACAAATATTATTAAAGAAAATATATAATGCCTATTTAATTATTTCACTATAATATGATATCATAACCATAATATGACTTAATATTGTTGACAAAGCATCACTTTTAACTGAACTCCGCTCAGAATTGTTTTTGCATTAGCAATGGTTTGTCGTTGCTTACAGGTATACCTTAAATTACCTACAACAGTGGCTGCACCCACTCCCATTATCATAGGACAGTTTTTTTATACTTATATTCATCAATTTTTAGTTTATAAATAGTAGGGCACGTATTTTATAATTTATCTGGTTAAGTAAATAGGTTAGACACTAATTCAAGCAGTCGAGAAAAATCTTTAGAAATATGCCCAGTGGCACAATTTACAGACATATTTCCGAACACTGCGAAACCATATTGAATCTATATGTGCACGAGATGGTTGTGAGGTGAAATGAGTACCATTACTAGGTACTATATTACTATAAGTTGCAGGCGATCGTTTACCTGTATCCAATCTCTGATGGAATTGGATCGAAAACCGTATCGGTGGAAAATATCAGAGGAGGAGAGCGAGAGAGAAAATGAGAGGCAGTTTTACGGAAAATCGCAGGACGAGTATAGAGATGTGAGCTATTAATAATAATCCGTTCAGGGCGCGTAGAGGTGTATAATATAATATTATGCCCAGCAAGTTAGTAATACACCCGTCTACGTATGGATACGATATTGCGATACATTTTTTCACGCGGGTAAAACATTTTTATTTTTTTTTTTGATTAGTTTGCTTTCCCAGGTCGATCGAAGTTAGACGAAAGTCCGGATCACTCATTTCGACGAGGACGGTTCGTTTTTCACGGGTGTGAACACTTCATAATCGGCTACGGTGAAATTGTAGTCGCCCATCAGCGAGTTGAACGACGCGTTTTCACCGTCGTACGAGTGCGGCAGGTTACTATAGCTGTCCATGTTTGAGTTGCAATTGTTAGCGATCAGTAAGTCGGCACCGGCCCCGAATATCGGACCTATTCTATAAAATTGTAAAAATAAATACGTAAATACATAGGTGACGTGTATACGCTTTTTCGGGATAATAAATATTCCGTATTCGGTTCTTTAAATTTTACCGTAGTCAGAACAAAATAAATAAATAAAGTAATTTAGTATTTGACTATTTGCTATATGATCAATAGATTTGTTGATACAAAGTGAAATTGCGAGAGTTGCAAGCATAGACATTTAAATAGATGGACTAAAGAGAAGAGAAGGAAAGGTCTGGGGGCTAATATTGTTAGAAGAAGATATAATAGAGTTCAACTGTGTATATTAGACTTACTACATAACGTATCTTCTCGTGTTAAATAAATTTGTGACCTTAAGTCTCTTAAAGCCTTAGATCGTATACTAGTATATGCAGATCCTATGCACCGTACTCCACCAACGCGATATTAAACGTTTTCGTAACTCGGATAAACAAACGTATTTAACATCAGGTTGGTACGGTGACTCGAGTCCATGTTTTTCGGAAGTTTGTACTTAAGATTACAGGTAAACAAAAATCCTATCAGCTGATTGAGCCGATTCTATGTTAGTCCACGTTTATATGCACCCATTAACAGTGTGTGCGACTCAGTGAGAGAGAGTGAGAGAGACGAGTCTTATATGTAAGATAAAAACATTGATAGAAAAATATAGCATACAATTTAGGTCCTATTATATATACTAGTAGATAATATGTATAATATGTATAATATCAGTGGTGAAGCACATTTCAAATGAGAACCTATATTAAAAATTTCATAAATAAATGGAGTATTACTTTAAATCAATTTTGGTGTTAACATTTTTGACCCCTGTCGACCCGTTGACGATATTTATTTGTTTTATTTTTAAAATATTTAACTTTTGTTTAACGAGATATTTGACATTTAAGTTTGGTTAGGAGGAGAGTAGTGGAGCACTAATTAAATGTTGCGCGCCGTGCCACCAAATAATAATGATACTCCACTACTCTCCCCCTACCTAAACTTAAAAGTGGAATATCTCGTTCACGGGTTGACGAAAATCAAAAATGTCGAAACCAAAATTAATTTAAAGTAATGCTCCGTCTCTTTATAGAATTTTTAATATAGGTTCTCATTTAAAAACAAAAGTCGATATCGCCACAGGATACTTCCTACATGTTGTGAAAAATTTAAGTATTCGAAAATATCGGCATTAATCACACTTAAAAATTCCCAAAATTAGTATTTGAATATATGTAAAATTTAACAAAAAAAATGGGGTGTGCACGCTCAGTGAATCATCCTGTATATATTTCGTCAATGATAAAATCGTTACGGTTTAACCGTCAGTTTACGGGAATATTACTTTGAATATTATGAGATTAAATAGGTAAGTAATATTATTTAATTGCGGGTAAATTGAGCGTTACACCTGTATGGTTTCTTCCCCTATATATATAATGCTCGTTTCACCACATTATTTTTGAAAGGAAATCGTTATAAATATTAAAATACTGCAGTAGAGAGAGAATAAAATAGTTGGAAAGACAGAGAGAGAGAGGGAATGGACGCACTGGCGATAGTGCGGCGGTGGGGTAAACTTAAAATCTGCATGTACTTACTCTTGATGGTAGCAAATAGCGTACGGTTTTTTAACAATATCGTATTTTATCGGCGGGGTGTCTTGAGTGGTGCTGAGTGAAAATAGGAAGCTCTTGTCGGACACCATGTAAGCACCCTTGGTGTGACCCTTACCCCACGGAACGTCGCTGAATCCTCCGCACAGCCAGCCGTTGACGCCCTATTTAATATGGTACACAAAATAAATAAAAGTCCATTTAATTGTCATGTATGTATAAGGGATGACGCCGATTCGTGGGCAAATATATAAAAATTGTTTGTGCTTGCATTTAATACTAACACTCAGACATCACATATAAATGCTCTTATCGCAGCAGATTTTTTAGATGGCAAAACCTTATCCCGTATATGTTTCATAATGGCCACCCTATTGTGCGTATTACATGCGCGCGGGGTTAAGCGATATTTCACAGAGTATTTTTCTTCTCACGTCACTATCACCTATTGTACATATTTGCTGCAGAGTGGTTTTGTAAAATGTACCGTGAGCATTTGTATACAAAATAGGTCGAGGTAGACGTACTACATAATACGCATAATGACTGAGCGGCCAATGGCATATTGCATTCTAATTGGTTCACCTGTTATCCATATATGCACGGACAGCCATTTTGTGTACCAACTAACGCCTATTATATCATGCATTAACGGTTTAAAGTTTGTCCCATCAAAGCGCTGCAAAATAATGGTCCATTCAATATATAGTGATATAAGCTGACTTAGTCACTCTTATATTGCACAGGGTTTCTTGGTTGAGGAAAACGCACGATATAATGTGTATTATTTAAATGCCGAACGGTTCTGTAACGGTACCTAATGGATTTTTTTTTTTTTTTTTGTCGGCATTATTGTACCGAAAACCAATTCCGAACGGCATTTAATAACGTTTCGCGGAGTCGAAAATCCAGAACGTTATTCAACCAATAAATTCAGTCGTTATCGAGTGTATAAAGGGTACCTATTATTATTGTTTTTATTGCCGCAGTAGCGCGTACCTATGTATATTACTATAAATAATGCTCTAATTTACTGCCTTAGTAGAAGAAAAAAAGAAAAATATTTTGATATTTTTAATTAATATAAATCTAAATTATTTGGATTTTTTTTGTCGTTCAAAGGGAGAAAGAGAAAAAGTATTGAACAAATTATTTGTTTTGTATTTTACAGTTCAAACGTAAATTAACGCGCATTCGAAAAAAAAAAATAAACTAACAAAGATCAAGAGACCGTCGTCAATAGCAGTAATAAAGCAATAACGTTGGGCGTACACGCGCTGAGGGTGCGATTTTTTTTAAAGGGAGATAATTTTAATGGTTTTTGTTTGCGGATGCGTGAAATTCGCGTAATAACACATGCATTGAACGGGGCCTTTTGAGGCGTGAAATTTGTATGATATTCATCGTGTTATATTCTCAATCAATGGTTATAATAATGCAGCGCAAATTTAAAATATAATGTTCAATAATATACATAGGTACTCAACCTAACCTATATACTAGCGATGCAAATAAAATGAACGTATAAATTAATAAAGTAAATAAAATATATAGGAAATAAAAAAATGTATGTATAAAAATAAAAAAAAAAAATAAATGAATCAATGCGCCGCCTGGAGTATTATGATAAGTGTATTTTACGACCGGTTTCGAATTAAAAATTCATCATCAGGTGTATCACAGTCAAAATGCGACTGTAATGCGTTTTACATTTTTCATGAATTTTTAATTCGAAACCGGTCGTAAAATACACTTATCATAATACTCCAGGCGGCGCATTGATTCATTTATTTTTTTTTATTTTTATACATACATTCATTATGTGTATATTTATTTACTTTATTTATTTATGAGTATTAACCATTTTAATAATTTTATTTTTACTTTATTATTTTATTATTGTGTAAATTAATGTCACGTACACCAGCGGTTCTCTTTCTTTGTGTACATTTTGCGACCCAAGAGATATTTACCCAATTTTCCATGCGATTTCGGTTGAAAAAAACGTTAAAATTTAGCGATGGGGCTAATAGATTTAAAAATCACGCACTGAAGGGGCAATATTATTTTACCTTTTTTGTAAATTTTTCATCGTATTTGTTTAAACATTTAAAACGTTGGGGTGACTCATTCAAAATTATTCGCGACCCAAAGGTTGAAAAACCCTGATATACGATTCAAACTAAATATGATGGGAAGCATTTATATATTTATTGATTATTATACATTTTTAGTGAAGTGAAGAGTAGGTATTTTGTGTATGTAATATATATATAAGTGTATATTGTAGACACACTGTGGCTTAACTCTGTGATGAAGATTTTTTATTCTTAAAAAACATTTTTTCGCTTGGTATAAATGGCCAGATTCTGTCGGGTATTATTCTGAAGAATAAAGATTTTTTGAAACATTTTTTAAAATTCGTAATACTTTTTCCAAAAAATTGCATTTTAATGATTTTTTTCAAAACACTTTTTTAGTGAAAAATAAAACGCTAAGATGTTTCATGCAGTATTTTAAAAGATTAGTGTTTTTCGACTAATGGAATATTACGTGAAAAACAAAAACAGTCTAGATTTCTAACAGGAATTCTAAAAATTAAATTTCTGGCATTAAAAATTTCGATACATTGGTTTTATTTAAATTTATTTTCGTGTTACCTTTGTTACAAAGGAAAAATACACTAATACATTAGCATGATATTTTATACGAATCTAAAAGTGAAGCATTTTGACTGCTATAGGGAGTAGGGGGAAAAATAATTATAGGTATAAATAGACAATCATACAATTAAACAGTTCTCATTTTTTTGAGACTGAAAACAAATTGTATAAATCATAATTTCTTGAAAATAAGACTTCGAATAATGTGGTGGTAAAACATTTCATTTGAGAAAATTTAGGTTTTAATACTCGTTATAAGGGATTAAACATTTTAAAATAAGGTCAAAATGTTTATTTTGGTACACCTGATCTTTCCAAAAAAAGAAAAAATACTTCCAATCTCAGTCCATTCAGATGAAATATGTCGTGTTACCATTTTAATGAAACACACTGTATACATATGTGGTGCTTTCGTAAGCGAGGGATTAACGAGATGTTGGGAAAAGTTGAGCAGATATTTCAACAGTTTTTCTTTTTTCTTTTGCAACAATTATTAGTTTTTATTTTTAATAATTTTTCAAATCAAATCTTACAAAAATATAATAATTATATAATATAATATTATGAAGCTGTGAAGACTGTTATTATTTTGAATACAATTCTGTCTTCAATAAATATTCTATTGAATAACATAATTATTTGTAAGATATCTAAGACAATAAAAAAAAGGCGGTGGGGGGTTACCCCCATTTTTTCTTTCTACGTGTACACCCCTATGGTATGTACTCGTATATACAAGTGACGATGACCGAATGCGATAATAATGAACCACCGTAATTTAATAATTATAAGATTATAGTAATTACCAATACTAAAACGTATGTGGGCGAAACGGTATCGCAGTGCTTGTGAAACGATTCGGCGGAAAATCCGTCGGTGGACGCCCTGTAGACCAGTCTCCAACACTGTTTTACACTGCCGTACCACTGATTCAGCACGCGCTGCAGATGCGTTTTGTCCTGGTACAACAAAGACGAGGATAAGAAAAAAAAAAAAAAACACTTTTATTTTCGTTCGTCACAATTACGCGAAATAGACTCGAAATCAAGATTCACTTGGGTGGCCAAGTATTTATAATGTATATTTGTTTACTTGACTTAATATATGAGATCCCGAGAAAAACTTGAGCATGACGCGGGGCTGGAGACGTTGATTGTCCGACATTTCTTTGAACTTATTCGGTAACGCCGCGTAACGGTACCGTTCCAGAGACATTTCTATGGGTACGGCCCCCGTCGGTTCCACTTCTTCCGCGAACACCTGAGAGTCTGTGGATGATAATCAATTCAAATAAACTCGGTTATCGGACAAGTAATACCTTGTCCGAGGCAATACGTATAGCAGTACTAATCTTGTCGGTTGTGTTTGCGGTTAAAGAAGTTTTTTTGTTCGAGAGTGCAGCCGTTAGGTTCTGCAGCGCAACGATAATTGTTAGTTTTCACAGTGAAACTTCTCGCCTCCCTATCCTCCCAAAAAGGAAAATTAAAAAACCGATACCGTTGATGAAGCGTAGCGTGCTATAATAACACGATAATAACACGAATGTGTTGTTTGGACCCTCGGGGAATGCACGGCATAGCGCTCGGAGGTGATTGTATTGCGACGATATTCATGGCGATAAAATATACGAGTAACGGTAATAACGATATAGTGTCGCGTTTATGATACGGAAATTGTGCGAGTATCGAAAAAAAAAAAAAAACCACGTTTACCTATCAACAGCAATCGGACGTGGTTGATGACTCCGGATAAATGTTGGCACACTCTAGCCCGTTCTTCTTCGGTCCAGTGGGCCGTTCGTTGGACCACGCCCGCGTGGAATTTCGCCCAGTTTACTACGGCCCTCCAAACGTCCTCTTCTTCGAGCGCCAACTGCAGTAAAACGCTATATTACATACGGTTCGCACAATAATAATAACAACAACGATTTTTTATAGCTGTTTGACGAAAACGAATTAATTCGCGCGTGACGTAATAAATATGCTCTGCACTCACGCAGTCGGACGAGATGAGTTTGATGAGCGATTCCTTGGGCAGGTTTAGGAACGCGTTTGTTTTCACGCATTTCGCCGCGTTCTCACCGATGAACGAGACGCACCGGTCGACGAACGACTTCGAGCCCTTTCCGCCTGCGAACATTTCGTTATTTCGTTTGGAAAATGTAGACGCATATTAAATTTAAGTATTCCACGTTCGCGGGCATGGATGTTGCGATATTATCGACGCGAGTAAATATCGATACTTTACTCGTATCCAAACAGATGTACTCATATCGAATCGAATCAAATTGTAATATTATTTCATGAAAATTTCCGACACGATCTCACGAAGCGAGCGAACGCAGTTGATCGAAGGCATCAAGACGCATCAATTCAAACGGAACAATCAGTGTGAAGCGGTACTGATAGAATACTTCGCAAAAAACGCAAATCCTTCGATTAGAATCGTTTAGGACGTTTAATTACGATTTAATATATTTTTCGTCAATATAAGTACATTTTTACAGAAATTTTCTTTCGATATTTGGATGATACCGTTATTCGATTTCGATTTGATATAAAGTAAAAGTATCAATACTTTTCTTCTGATAAGCCATCTATATTCAAGGGCGACGAATGTCTACAGCACAGTTAATCAAATAATATTATTATATTTACTGCTAGAAGCCCTCTCCTGTATATCCATCGCAGCAGCCAAAAACGTACAAGCGTTCATCACGGACATAGTCGTGGTTACGTGTTCCTCACAACTGTTCTGCAGGTCTTCTACGCCCAATTCTTGCGACAGCGTAAGCATTTCAAAAACTCCGCCATCTTGCAAAACAATCTATAAAAGCGAACGTACATAATATAAAGATAAAACAATTAAACGAAAGTTAAAAAAAAAAAAATATGATATGTTATAATTATACGCCTCTGAAGAGGATGAGTTTTTTGGGTTATACGGTTCAGAAATTTCGTTTATAAAATACCGTTTAAGTATTTAATATATATGTGGGTACCGCAGAGAACACTCGAAATGCCGCCGTCGCTCGAGTACGACGACACTCGTTGAGATGATTGCGTGGCGGATATTTTTAAATTTGTTAAAAACATTTTCACGCGTATAATAGATATAAAGTGACTTTTTTGCAGCCCAGAGAAAGACAATAAAAAGTACTCAATACGTTATTATTATTATTAATATTAGTCGATACCGCGAATATATTCGACGAATTACACGTCTTTATCTTTGGCCCTAGCGAATTTGTCAATTTTTTTTCCTATAATTTTGTCTAATGTAATTTTTTCCCCTTTATTTTCTGGTCTAAAGATCATAAGTGTGTATATTTTCAAAATCAGTTTAATAGTTTGTGTACAATAGTGTATGAATTTTCAACATTGAATTTGCTTTTATTGAAAACTATAAAAATTGACTCGAGCCCATTTTCCCTGGGACAAAAGATATAATCTCCATACATGACTCACCAGAGACCCAATTCAAGCGAAATAAACTTTACGTCCCGTTCAATTTAGTCATGGGTATTTATATTATGTCCATGACTCGGAGCCATATTCGGGTAAATTCGGTCGATAACGCTCTCACTACATATAATTAAGACGAATAATACGATCAGGGGCCCTTTATATAATATATTATATATTATAACAACACGGAGATTGCCGTTTAAGTTTATACTACAATATACCTAGAAATGTTTTTGGTGATTTTGCTGGCTCGGACCGTTTCTGAAATCTCGAAGACAATTATAAGTTTGGAAGATAATAATAGTATTTTAACCCAAAAGCACGCATACAAACGAGTACTCATCGTACATACAGATATCTAGGTATTAAATATACGATGATTTATGTTGTAAATAAATTACCAGAAATCAAAGATTGATAAACTTGAACGCGAGGAATGCATTGGTTTTGCTATGCATGATTTTTTATGTGTCTGTGAACAACATTTCCGTCAGAAACTGTGCTCCGATTTCAAGTGTAGCACGTTAGTATATCTTTTAAAACTCCAAAAAAACACAATGGAAAACTATGAGACCGTTAATAGCCTAAACTTTATTGTTTTTCTTATGTTTTGACATTGTTTTTAAGAAAACTGCACGGAAAATCAAAAAAACGACCTCCTTAATGTACCGGTCAGCTCCAAAACGCTACAAATAAACTATCCAATCAAGATTTTTAGTTGAAAAGTTGTTAAGACAGGAAAAAAAAAAATTAATAGCAAACGTTAAAGTAGAATCAATGCAACAGAGAGTTAAACTTGTTTCGATCAATTTAAATATATAGCTGATAGGAGTTGTATTTTTGCAGGTGTATATTTCATGCGTTTGTACACAAAGTATCTCTTTTTTCTCATTTTTTTTTCCATATATTTCTCTACGGCGCGGCGCGCAAATCATCACCAACCCCACCCAGTGGTAGCACCTGAAGTTTTTTCGCAGCTATAATATATATGTGTATAATATGTATAGAGCGAACAAAAAAAATAAAAAAAAAAAATAAATGTGTATAATTTTTCACGGGTGTAAGCCTGCGAGCTTGTGACAATGTATATACCGGGAGCCATAAATCATTTTACCTATATATGGTATATTATACTACGGGAATAATAATTATGAGGGTTAAAGCATATTATTATATTTTTTGGAGGCCCTCGTCGTAAGTTGCGCAGCGTTGTACGTATAGCCAGGTAACGTAATAAATAAACACGATTATAATTTTAATGAAAGTATAAATTTATTACTCTACTGGGTCACACGTACAACGGCATAATAATTATGTGTTACGGTAACCATTACGGAAGTAACGCTTTCTGTAAATAAATATTGAATGGGTAAATATTAAACGTACCTATATGTATATATATGGGGCACTTTTATTATTATTATGATCCACTGTTAAAGTGCAAGTTTATACACCTAAATGCTTAATAATAAGAGTGCGGAGATGTTATAAACGGAATAAAACCTAAGTCAGTGATGTAGCCAGGATTGCAGTCCCCTCTGAAATTTTGTGGAAAATTTGAGACCATTTACGCTTGCCAACGTGTTCATTTCCGTACTGAACGCTTATTTCACGCTTCTACTAAGCTTATTCATCGATCACGTTTCTTTATCATATCTATCGTTAACTTAACTAGGAACGTAGGTATAGATTATTAATGAAGGGAGTAAGAAGAGTATAAATGAGAGGAAAAAAATAATTTATCACACTTTTCCAATGTTTTAATTGCATTCAACTCATTGAAGCTAATATTTCTTTAAACTTCTTGGTTTATATAGTTGATACTCAAACAGCAGGTTTTTAAGTTTTTTATTTAGCAGATATATCTTATCGAATTTTATAAATTTGTTTTTAGTATCATTCTTATTTTTCAAAAATGTTGACAGTAAGATCAAGATAAGAGCACGCGATTTTGTAGTTAATATTTTATATAATTATAGAACTATTACAATATAATATTAGGTGCCTATCTATCTAGCTAATTGTAAATATTAAACGCATTCCTATAAAGTCGATCAAAAAATTATTCTTCTTCATTCTTTAATGTAATTTCGCAATATATTATATTTTTTTCTAACTAAAAAGTCCTTTCTGTTGTTTGTAGTACTTATACCTAACACCTGCATAACAATTTTTCCTTATTATTATTATTCACTTAGGGATTTACTTGAGATTTTCGAATGAAGGGGCCTTTTGTTCGACCCTTTTAATCCACCTCCCTTACTTACGCCCCTGATCAAATTTTCCTCTTTTTTTGCATCTTTAAAGAATCCACCCTCTATCATTACGGGGTCTCCTCGGGCACTTTAGGTTCTTAGCGAGTACTTTTCGAATAAGACTCCAATCGCTTTGCCTTAAGGTATTTTCCAATACTTTATTTGTTATACAGAGTGTCCCACGAAGATATACTTATTGCAATATTTTCTGAGATAATATTCAAATTTTGTTTTTTTTTTTATATTTAATGAAAATAAAAAGTTGTTACATCAATATTTTCAGAATAATAAACTCTATCAAATAAACATCTTCAAATTTGTCAAAAATAATAAAATAAAAAGTTATTTTTTTAAGTTTTTTACCAAAACAAAAAAATTAATTGAAACTCAAAAAAATGTAATCCTTATCCTTGTGAGTAATAAAAAAAAAAAAAAATCAAAATTTTATTAGATATTTTTATTATCTCCGAAAATATTACAATTGATATGTCTTCGTGGCACACGTTATTTCTTGTTCCACGTTTACCCTTCTTTTGAATTATCCATTCAGAATTTGCCCTTATATTTTCCATATCATTTTCTTTTCGAATATAAACAGATTTTTTTCGTCCCTTTGGGTGATGGACATCGCATACGTGAATTGTTACTATGATCAAGTTAAAACTAATAGATGTAGAGTTTTGATCGATTTGACGCTATATAGCCGTAGTGTTAATTAAAGTACTCCTTAAGGTAACAAGAGAATTTATCCAGAATATGTTTATATTTATGCATAATTTGGCAAAATTTTTTAACATACATATGCAAGAGGTTATAGATTAAGGATATTCTAAAATTAAGGGCCGAATATGAAATTACCTATAGCCCTTCCGAAAAAAAAATTATAGCCATGACGTTGAATAGTAGTGGAATAAGAATTTTTTCGCTAGCTTCTGCAACGTCTCAAAGGTACGATTTATATTATTTTTGATAATTCGACGTTGTTGTTCGCCGCGTATATAACGACGATTTATATCTCGGAAAGATTCGGGTGGTCCATTATAATACATATATATATGTATGTATATAAACACGAGGATCGCGGAACCGGAGGCGGTTTTCTCTTTCTTCTTTTCTCGTTTACGCGCCTGGAACTGAGCAAAACTGTACACTCAAAGCGGTAACTACCTACTAAATTATTGCTACGGCGTAGTCCGCGGGCGGTTTTCGAAAATAATATCTTATTATTACGTCGCTAGCACGATATAAAATATAAAGCTGAAATACTTACTTTGCCTGTGTACACGTAGTTAATAAACTGTTTGAACGTCTCGCCTTGGAATTGCGGTAACCGGACCGGGGTCGGTGTTCCCGGAGCGGACGGCGACACCGAACAACCGGGTATACGGCATATCTCACCCCGTTTCACCGACTGGAAGCTCTTGCACCTAAAACGGTATTTTTTTAAGTTTTAGTCGAATTTCACCGAAAATAGAGACTATTACACATGTATTGTGTCTATATATATATATCTTTTTCTCGCTACTTTTAAACACTTATAGCTGGTTCCTCTAGACCAAACTAACACAAATTTGGAAACTACAGTTTGTTTATATGCGGATCGAATTGATAACCAGTTGTAGGAGGAGAGTGAAATATTATGGTGTTTAAAAACATGGTCTACCAGTAGCTTCGAACATTATCAGTATCAGTAAACCGAAATTCATTCGATATATATTTGTTTTTGAATACGATGATTAATCACGCCGCATTCACTTAATAACAATAATAATTGAAAACCATTTTTTTTTTTTTTTACCACAAGAGTCCATTTAAAAATTATCTATACTTCAGGTGTAAAAAGTGTGTGTATAAAACTTTTATTTTTATACTGTTGAGATACATAGATTGAGTTTTTGATTTTACATTGTACAATTTTATTTAATAATAGCCTTTTTCATCTTTTCGGAATGGCTTATCCTAAATTCTTAAATGGATATTTATTTATTTGCTATTTTACTCTACAAATATCCAGTGAATAAACAACTATATAAGCCATAATGTATATAATATATAACATATATATATATATATATATTTTATATTGACGTACTTACTCTAAGTTAAAATTGAGTTTAAAATGGTCTCCGTGTATTATGATTTTAGAGAAAACTGTACAACTTTTCTAACGTTTATAAAAATAAAAACTCCACGAGTCAATAGTTGATAATAATTAATTGCAGTACAGTCGCCAGAATGGCCTACTAATCATAATTTCCGTTAGCCATTAAAAGTTCAAAATGTACCGGAAGAGATAGATTATTATACGTAAAATGGTCATTTTACGGTTTTCGAAACATTTTGATAAAAATATTTATATACAATGAAGAGAAATATAACTAAGCGAAATATCGTTTGTAAAAAATAAAACTACTAGAATGAAGAAAAAAAAAAAATCGTTAAATTCCGAAAACCTGAATTGTTAACGATTCAAATGAATAATATATGTATAATTAGTAAGTGACCATTTTAAGTATGACTGCCTTTATAAATAATTTGAGTGTAATTAATTTTCTTCATTAAATGTACTTTTTTTTTATAATTAAAATAAATATTTATGGTTCGTTATTTAATTAATACGTTTCGGTTTCAAATGATTTGCATTTTAATACACAGAAGTTATAAAATATGAATTCTGTCTGTAAGTAAGAACGTTTTGAAGAAATATGGAGTGTGATACTGTTTAATTACGAAACCGTTATAATTAGCTCAGTTGAAAAAAATAAATTGAATAAAATTCGATACGTGGTATTTTAAAAAAATCCCATGGACTAAAAGAGTTACAATCGAGGAGGTTTTGAACTGAATGAATGGAAAACAGCATGTTTTTAAGTTAAACGCTGCAGAAGAGATAAGATGATAGATCATATAATATTAAAACATGAACGTTTATCAACAAAGCACCGGCAATAATTATTGAAGAATTTGTGAGAAGTGGATGACCAAGAGAGAATAAGTGACCCAAATTATAATGCGAGCATACAGAGATTTAAAGGAAATGATGTGATACTACATAGTTAAAACAGAAATGCATGGAAATCTGTAACAAACTATATAATCTTAGGGTTAACGACAAGAAATAAAAGAATATTAATAGTATTATTTTATTTTTAAACGCAATTTAAACGATTTCGACTGGTTATCTCCTAAAGGTTGTACACATAAAAGCTTTCAGTTAAAAATCGATAATTGGCTATTATTCACACTATCTAATTGAAAGCCGACGGTGACAAGTTAATATCCGAGTACACGCAAACTCCTCGACACCACCACCGGCCGAGCGAATGCCAACAGACTGGGAAAATTATTATTTTCTGCGGTATATTTTTCACGATCAATAATAATGAGTAATGACCGTTACCCAGCGAAACCTTTTTTTTTTTTTTTTACGTGTCCGTAAACGATATTTATAGAATGAATTCTCGGTCCAATCGTCAAATGCGCAGGAACTATAATATCTTTCACAGGATTTACGATCTGGTTCAGGGTTCTCCCAACGTTTTTACTGTCACGGCCCCCTAAATGGACATTCAACTTTTTAGCGACCCCTGAATTAATACCATGTACACACCAACCCAATATTATACATTTTCGGCGACCCTATGTAATTAATTAGCGACCCCAAAGTGGTCGCGCCCACCACCGGGTTGAGACACGCTGATTCTGTATAGATTCTAGTCGGTGCGTTATTCGGGAAGGTCGCTTTTCGATTTTTTCTCGCATTTTAGTTTTCTTGATAACAGTATTTCTCGCCTGCAAAGTTTCGGGGGAGCTTGCTCGAATCGGCTCCCGCGATTTTGCCGCGGTCACCCGATTGCAATATAGCCGACGATCCATAATTACAATAATTATTATTTTCAACACTATGACGATGCGCGATATCTGTGTCTGGTATCACTATGCCGCGCGCCCATCGCGTATTGTTGCGCGCTCGCCGACACCCGCGCGGAGGCGTAGACGCGTAAAAATTAACCCCGGACGCGGCCGACTGCCTACATAAAATACGTAAATATACGCGCGAGTGCGAGTATTACAATGTGTGCGTGCTGTACGTATTTACACGGAGGTGTGTATCGGCGCGCGTGTGTGTGTGCGTGGCGAGGGCGCGCAGTGTGTATAAGAGCGGAAATTCGCCGAGCCCGAAGAACCCGAGTGGTAAATGAATGGCTTTTTGCATTGTGCGTCGTGTGTTTCGCTAAAAGCAATATTTCACAGGATTATACGCGCGCACACACACACACACACACACACACACACACACGAAAAAGGTTTGTGTGTACAGCGCGAGCGTGTACGCGATGTACCGCGTATAGCGCTACACGGTCGGCGGAGCGCCATTCATCATTTAAAACGTTCCGAAGCACGCGCGACGCGACCGTAATCCGGAAGGGGGGGAGGGGGGTCCGGCGGCGGAGGGAGGGGGGGGGGGGGTGGACGGGGTTGCGGTGCCTCGCGGAGACGCGGCGACGAGCGCTCCCCTGGCCCGGAGCCCGCGCTTTACTCCGCGGAGTAAAATGCCCGTTTCCATAACCCTTTCCGCCCCGACCCGACCGATCCTCGCGCCCCTACCTCAGCCCCCTCATTCTCGTAACCGTCCCGGGTGGGTTTTTCCCTTGTACGTATACGACTGCACACTATATCGTACACGCGCGACGCCCGAGGTTTCCCGACAAAAGTTCCGCCGATCGTCGTCGCCCGGCGGGGAATAACCGGGCGCGACGTCCGCCCGGCTCGTACCCCTGTCACCGCCGTTAAGAGTTATTGCGATATACTCTTATTATTATTATTATTATTATTATTATTATAGCCGCCGTGCTATTCTTGTTCCGCGGCGGCGGCGGCGGCGGTTAGGCATAGTGTATCGCGGTTGTCCGCGCTCCGCGTGCGTGTCTTTATTGAAATTGACGTATACGATTGTGCGTACGCATACACGCGCTCTGTCGCGTTTCGCAAATCCAGAAATCGTGCAAAAAAAAAAAAAAAAACTTTAAAAGATTATGTCTTTCTGCGTGCAAAAATACAATATACACGCAGGGACCGGTTTGTTTCCGTGTATACCGTTGCGGGCTACGTGGTCTATTATTGAAAAGAAAATCGCCGTCAGGTTAATTCGGTCCGATTGACGGTCGGGAAATTCGGCATTGTAACGGGTCTGTCCGAAACAACTGCGACCGCGGGCGTCCGACGGGCAATCTGCCCCCCCCCGCACTTCAAAGTTTAAAATATAATCATTTTATTGTAAGTACTTTTCGGTTAGTGATTTTATTATGCCCCTCCCTGATAAATATCCGGCGGGCGCCCATGATGACGACCATAGTGCCTAACTGTATAATATAGACGCGTAAACATAGATAGTAAAGGAATAGATCGAACACACCCATGCTGATCTCAAGAGACATTCGGTTCTCGGGGCTCGAGACGGCGGCAAACTAAAAGGCCAATAATTAAGCCGATTTCAGTACGTGCGCCCCTAACGTTTCCGCGATTAATGCATACCTAGATACTTTCCTGAAAATCATGGAATAGATTCGTTTATTCTGAGCTCAAAATATAAATCATAGAATAAAAATCATCGGTTATTTCAAGATGCCGCGTTAAAATGTTTGAATTCTAAAAGAACAACACACAAAATATTTATGCTACGGAAACGAAATATATCGCCTCGATTTCTTATCATTCAAGAACCGAAAATCGTAAGTCATATCCTGTCTATTTCTTCATCTATGGGCGTGAATTCGTCTTTATCGTGTGCCTTCCTCCCACTCCCCCGGTGAAATTTCTCTCGGCCGAATCGGTGAAAAAATGATAGACCGCCACCTTTGCGCCGCACATGCGTAATGAATTTTCATAATGTTTCATACGCATCTGTAACGACCTTAACCCTGTAAATTATGCGAGTATATAATAATACATCGTTTTTTTTTTTTTGTGCTCGCAATAACACAGTGCTCTACTTTACATAAACACATTCGCACACAATATACACGTATATAATGTATAGGTACATCTCGTGTTCGTGTATTGTATTATGTCGAAGGCTCGAGTATTATTTTTCTGTTTCCTTTTACGATCTAAGTAGCAGGTCGAAGGGGTTGTTATACACATACGTGCATACACGACTTGTGCGCAAGCCCGAGCTCGAGAAGCGTGTGTGTATATTTTATACACGCCGGAGAACAAAAAGATCCTTATAACTTATTCCTTTGACTTTGACGGCGGAGCCGCGTCATTATCATTGAAAAGAGGTATTAAAAAACTTGGAATTTTTTTCAAGAGCCCCACGGGAAATGTGCGTGTGCGAGCGCGCGCACGCCCGTGTAATGATACTCTGCGGGGCTTTTGTTCCTTGCCCTTTACGGCAAAATCTTTTGATCTCCTAAAGGTGACAGCGTACGCCTCCGTCCCGGCTCCGGCCGGCTGGGCGCGCATTTCGAAAATAATCAGACTTGGGTTCAATTAGCCGGCGGTCTTGAAATTGCCACGACAACGTTAATTATTATGTATAGCAGGCATAAAAAAAAAAAAAAAAAATTAAATATATATATAAATATATGATACAACCCTTTGTATACACGGTTAGTGCATTTTGTTGCGGGGGCCTATATATTTATAAGTAGGCGAGTTTGTCCTCGTTTGATTTTAAAGTAAGCTTCCGATTTGTTTTTTCCCTATGTTACTTTTTACAAGTATATACACCATCGTACTTTGCGTTGAACTATCGCTATATGAACCGTACATACTCACATAGTTATAATATCCTAGGACCTATATATTAGTAAAATATGTACGGGGTTGTTCAGAGAAAAAAAAACCACGTACCATTTACGAAACGTTTGTAGTTCGAGTTCATTTGTTAATAATCTATTATTTTCTAAAATGGTATTATGTCTTTTGCTTTTTTTTAGTATTCATCTCAGTATACAGTTTCGTTCGTCCAAAACAATAATTAGCTTAGTATATGTTCGTAAAAAAGATGGTACAATTATCAGTTATTCCGAAGGATGTATGATTTTGATAATCCGGAAAGATCGTAACTAAAATTGTATTAACAATCAGATAGGTATTTTAAAAAAAAAGAGCTGATACTGGAGACGGGTGCAGCTACTGTTATATAGGTGGACAATTAGGAAGGTAAGACACATAAAGGTACAGAATTTAAATCTCTATGCAGAGAAAAACCATTGCTAACGAAAACGATTCGAAGTGAAGTTCGATAAAACATATTTTGAAATGCCGTAATTTTTAAAATTTTCGTAAAATTTTGTCTTAAAACATTAAAAAAAAAATAACGATTGCATTAAATTCAAATTTTTTTTAAACCACTAAGAACAACTTATTATGTACCTTGTGTTAAATTTTCAAGCATTTATCTTAAGTCATATAATTTTAATAACTGATACCTTACCAAAGAAAAAAAATATAAATACTCGAAAATATATCTATAAATAATCTTAAAATAGTTAGAATATTTTGAAAATTTTACTACGTCTACAAAAAACCACTGCAAGTATTTTGTGAAAACTACAGGTCTTTACAATCATTTTCAACTGAAAAACAATAAATAGTCCAAATGCCTTAGCCTAACCTAACCTCACACTTTGCCGTATTTACTCTGTTTTCCCCTGGGTTTTCGTAATTATTAGGAAAAATATAACGATTTTCTTATTCAAAATCTAGACAAAATTCTCTTTCAGAAAATATGCCATTCTTTGAAATTTGGATCAAGATTTCTGATAGAAAAATGTAATATTTTAAAATTTTGAATGATGAAATCGTTGCACCTTAATTACCCCAATTATTATGAAAAATACATTAGGTATTAAAAAATGACTTTTTAGTGGCTAGTTATTAAAACGAACAAAATCAACCTCTGTTATTTTTCAATTGGAGTAATATTTCTGGTAGCGAATACAGTCTGAAAAAATTTAAATAACTAAACTGGGACGCAACGTTGTCGTAAATATTAATTAATTTTAATTTTTTGGTTTTTCCCAATTATTATAAAAATTACTTTGGATATCAAAACCGATTTTCTTTGACATTGGCTGTATATTAAAAGGAACAAAATCGATACTTCGTCATTTTCGATTTGAGCAATATTTGAGCAATATTTCTGGTAGAAAACAAAAGTTGCAAAAATTAAAAACAACGAAACCGGTAACATCACGGCACGTTGTAAATATTTACCATTTCACCTTAAATTTTCTTTCGGGCTTTTCCCAATTACGTTGAAAACCCCCTGAAGAATTGAACAAAACAATGATCTGTTTAATACACTAATTAAACCAAATTTCGTTTTATAAAAAATTCTAAACATCGGAGCAAGATTTCTATTTAAAGAGTTATATACTGACAGAAAAAAAAGCACATTTCATAGTAAAACTCCGTTCTGAACCTAAAATTGATTTGATAATATTTTTTAAAATTAATTTAGAATTTTTTATTATAGGTAAAAATGAAAATGGTTGGCCTTGTGTCGGGGTCATTTATTAAATGTCGAAATTACCGCAATCATTAAACTATATAGTTAAATAATTAATCGAAATCTACAAATCAATCGTTACATTTTCCTTATCATTTTTACGAAATTGTTACATTTTTCACTTTGAATATATAAAGTTTACCTCCATAGGATATAATATGTGTGTACATATATTATGTGCAAACATAAATCGGAAAATTAAAAATTTAGAATTTTACGAAACGTATATAATACCGAATGAATACCATATATGATGTATACGCGGTGTTTTTTAATTGTTGTGACATGAAAAAAATGAACTTCAACATAATGAACAAAGCGCGTAATATGGCCTGTTGACATATAAAAATGTACCAACATCAAAGTGCAGTCTACTTTTTTTAGAAACAGCCGTCTTGGGCGTGTATATTATACGGAGCAAAAAAAAATAAAAAGCTAATACCGTGGAAGGGTGTGCTACTGTCGTAGATGAGAAGTTGAGAAGGTGGCATACATAAGGTTATTTAATATATTTATGTATATTTTTTTTTTCTGTAAACCAACGATAAAATAACGAAATACGATTTTGAACAAAGATCGGTTGCATATATTTTAAAATGCCATAATATTTATGATTTTCGTAAAAAATATGATATTCAAATTCTTATAGAGAAACGTCTACATTACGATCAATTTTATTTTTTGGCCGTTAAATTAAACTTATAATGAACCTCGAATAAAATTTGCAAGCATTTGTGTTTAATCAAACCATTTCATCCACAGAATATACTTAAGAATTAAAAACTTTGTAAACAAACTCGTATAAAATGTTTATAAATCAGTTCAAAAACCTTTGAGGTCTCTACGAATGTTTTTAACTGAATAACAACAAAAAAAACAATATTGAAAATAATGAAACCGTTATTTTCGTAAACTGCCCCATTTTTTCCCGGGTTTTCACAAGTATCAAGAAAATTATGTGGCTTTAATAATCACAAACTAAACGAAATTTTCTTTCAGAAAAAGTACTACTCTTGAAATTTCGAACAATATTTCTGATAGAAAATAAAATCGAAAAATACTTAAAATAATAAAATAGTTAACGCCGTAAATTTGTTCGTTTTTATTTTACGTCTTTTTCCAGTTATTCCAAATCATTATAAAAACTGGCTGGAAAACCAAAAAATTAATTATTTATTCATAAAATAAATCCAAAAATTCAATAAAAAAGTCTTGTTGTATTGTTTTTGGATTGAAACAATATTTTCAAACAAAAATTAAATTATATGCTACCTTTATGATTTCCCATTTACAACACATCACAACAACTCATCAATAATATCAGCTCTTTTGTAAAAATTCTGTTAAAAATAGCCGTAAAGACCTGAAATTTACACAATGTACTTATATTGGTAATTTCTAGATATGGTAAAATTTTTAAAGCGATTTATATGCATTTAAAATTTTCGATTTATTTTTAATTTTTAGTTATTAAGTATTATACGTATAAAGTTAAAACAATAGCTGGTAACAGGATGGATAGTATACAATAGATATGCCCTAGTAGAATTTAGGAATTATACTAAATATACATTTTTTTGTACTTTATCGTTTTAACTTTAAGTATAATGTTTACAAAATCGAGAAAGTATTGGTTCAGCGTTAACAACGATCATATTGAACGTTACGAACCGTTAGCTTTAATCGTTATATCAGTACTTGAAATATAAACTTATACATTTGGATTAAACATTCACTTCAAGTACTGGGAGATTTGGTCGGTCCGAACGGATCAAGCGAGACATTAGTATGAGAGATTAGTATGAGAGAGAGCGTGCTTAGCACTCAGAGGACAGAATCGTTAAATTTTTGAAATCGTATACTACCGTTATTAGGACCGTATACTAGAAGAAAATTTCAAATTTGGCATTACTTTAAGACTACTTCTCATACTCCTATAGTGAGGTTTAATATAACTTAAATATTGGGTCTCTGTGAGCACTTAAATATCTGGAGCCACTTTTGGAGTAATTGACTTTAGGGATCAACATAAGCTCTTTTAAAGTTTTTCTTCTAACCTATAATGCTGGGTGAATAGAAGCAAGAAATATATTTTAAACAAATAAAATCAAGAAAATAAAATGTATTCGATTAATCTGATTTACTTGAATTCATCACCCTTTCCGGGTATTTTGTGCTATGTATTGCAACTATACTACTCACTACTTCTTTATCACTATAGATCATTGAAGTAAAAGGTTTAAAAATATTGAAAAAAATTTCGATTCAATAATACGAATAAAGTTTAAATAAAATGGCCGAACTATACAAATTACCGCGGGTAAGGCCACTGTTGTAGATTCTGAGGAGCCGAAACTCGGTAATCGGGTATGGTTGCAGCCAATGTAATTCAGAAATTGACAAAAATAAAACAAATAATATGACGTATTCGCGATTAAACGCCGGTTGTTGACATTTTGAATTACAACCATTATACCAACAGTCGCGGTGAAGAGGAATGGTAAACTTCACTAATCACTTTTTATTGTCATCGGGCGCGGGTTTATTTATTTTAATCAAATTATTTACCGTCATTGTTCTGAGTGGTATAGCTGCTGCTGCTGCGTGCGCGGCGACGGTAAAGACTAAACGACGTGCCCGTTTTCTCTGATTGTCCCGAATTCATCATTGTCGAAATAAACGAGGTTTGAGTGAGTATAATATATACACAACAAAAGAGAAACAGAAACCATAAACGAGTTTGTCGGCTAGCTACGTTTTTTTTTCCCCCCGAATAGGTATAATATATTATTTCCTTTGTTTGCAACATTATTTCGGATTGCGAATGTTGACAAGACAAATACTTCATGTGGTATACGGTTTCCGATAATAACGATTTTGGCCCATCGGCCATCGTTAATAATCGAATACTCGTCGAATGTACGTAAATCGAATATGGAGTAATTTTTTTATTACTAAGCTTTTGAGATTAATTTGACTTGGCCGCATTTTCTTTAATTGTTATAGAATAATTGCGTTTTACGATTTTATTTATGAATTCATGATATTTTAAATGTAGCCGTTGTGCCACCGGACCACGTAAACATATAACATTTTAATTATTGATTATTGATTTTCAAAATATAACTTTTCTACAAGAAATCTTGCTCCAATTTTCTAAAAAAAACTCCGCTCCGAATCGTTTTTCATTAGCTGTGGTTTACCGTTGCGTACAGATATAAATTAAATTTCCCTCTATATCCTACCTTCCCAATTTCTCACCTACAACCAGGCCCCCTCAGTCCCCCTCTTAAAGAATTGATCTGGCTACGGACCTGCCTACAACAGTGGCCTACCAATCGGGTGAAGTATGACCGTTTTTTTATCCCTTATTGTGATGCACAATACTAATATTGGATAATACAAGGAAATGTGGGGGCAAAACGAAGAACCTTGAACCTAATAATTCACTAAAAATTGTGATGTTGGTTTGAAATTTGAATCATGACTTTAAAGGTTCTGGTTATTAATATGGAAATACGTTTTAAATATTTTACTCCATACCCCGGATAAAATGGCGACGTCCCATAAATACTATTCATTATTCAACTAACATAGATACAAAATACTGATACTTTTTATTTTTATGCAATCAAATAAACATACATAATAACAAAGAGAACTAAATGATTAACAAGTTAAAATTTTTCATTGTGATCAATACGTAAAATCTATAAACTTGATTTCAAAAAATGTAGTGAAGGAAGACATTTCGGAGGAGGTTATGACCCCATACCCCCCCCCTCTGTGTGTGCCACTGTGATGCGTAAGTGTTTCAGTGCGTATTTTTTTTTTTTATTAAACTGCAGCAGTTAGGTTTATAAATCGTAAAACAAACATACGCGCGCGCGTGATCAAGCATTCCGGCGGGAAAAACGTGCGATTTTTTTTTTATTTGTTCGTTCATTTAAACGGCGGCCCCGTTGTGCAAATGAAATCCCGAGGCCGTAAAAATCAATAAAGTACAAAAAAAAAAAAATCAAAAGAAATCCCTGGAGATTTGTGTTCGCATTTTCCCACGAGCCACGCGTTTACCGTCACTCAAACGAGAGGAAATTATAAATTTATCCCCGTGTGCAAATATTGAATCGGCTCGTTCGAACGGAAAATGTTTTTTTCCCCCATGTCGCCTACAATCTATATATATATTATACATTTTGTATACGCGTACAACAATTCGACGAGTTTGCTTTTTCGGCAACACCTCCGTCGCCATTCGTCAAACACACGTACACACACACACACGCACACACACACATACATAAGAGATGGATTTGTCCAACCCTCCGGCTACAGGAAAATATAATGCTATATGTATGTACAGTCGACAGGGGGAAAATGGGTTTTCAGCAGCAGCCGTGTATAGATTGTTGTACGCGGCAATTTTTTTTTTTTTGTCGCGTCTTTCCCTCCCGCGTCACCTCGGACCTACGCGCGGAAATGAGAATCCGTCTCGAACGGAAATCGGTTTTCCGCAGGAAAAAAAAAGTCAATTCGGTCCGGGGCCGTATATTATGTTACACGTATACGCGCGGGTTACGTCAGCTATAGGTAATGGGAAAATCTCGAGGACGCATAACGGTTTTGACAACAACCGTCTTCGTACAATATACGCGGAGAAAAATATCAATCGGATAACCGACAAGTTGATCCGCATATTATAAATACTTATAACATTATTATATTATTTCTCGCTGAATGAAAACATTTCAATATATTTCTGTAAACGCCAAGACCAGTAATTTATCTTAATATAAAAACTGATGACGCGTTCCTATATTATAGAACAAGTACAACACTTAAATTTTTTGATAAGTAACAGAAGACGATCCAAGTAAAGTAGACATAGTTATAGCACGTATCAGGATAGCACAAGTAAAGAGAGTTTTTCTGAATAAAAATCGTCTATAGATAATCATTTGTATGACCTTTGAAAGGTGTTGTTAACGAAAAATTCTTAGTGATTAATGGTTAGAATGAATAACAAAAAAATAATTACTTATTGAAAATGAATAATAAGGTAACCGATAATTTAGATATAGCATTAAAGTCAGAAGGGAAAAAAATTACCATAGAACATCTACGGTAGCGTAACGAAATTCATCAAAGAAGGCGTCGTAGAAGGTGCAGATATCGGGAGAAGAAGACCACGGATAGAGTACACGAAATAAATCATGATAGACACGAATAAGGATAGTCATAAGGAGATAAAGAAACCGAATTATTATAGGGAAACATGGCGAACTATAGCAAACCAATCAAACTATTGATTACGAAAAGATAAGAGGAAACGCCAACGATAATATATCTATTATCTATATAGTATATGGTATTTATGATGCGTGACAGAATTTAAAAGGACGTCAATCGCCGTTAAAAGGGGTCGCGTATGGGCAATTTTACGATATTTTTGCAAAAAAAAAAAAAAATGATAACGTGCACACAAAATTAATGGCATTCGAATTCAGCGGTTTCAAATAAATGTACAGTAATATTACAATGTTATTATCAAAGGTGTATAATATAATAATTATTATTTACTCGTAAAATTTGAGCGAAAAGTGTTCACTCAAAACAGAAAACATTAGTACTTTTCAAAGTGATTTTAGAGATGAATCGATGATATTTAAAACAGTTATAGAATATATTTTCGCGATAATATTGATCATTTGTGGCGACACGAATATATATCATGTTTGAGATACAAACAATTATTTGAACCTTCCATCACCCATTTATTGATAAAAGATCCCATGTCCCCATTGCATTGATATTATTAAATAAATCCCCCTATTTTAAATCTTCATTTAACGCATATTGACTTTTTCAAAAACATTTAAGGTTAAGCTTACTTATTCTTTCTCAAATACCAGCCACCCTCTCATTCAAATAAGTTTAAAAAAACACTATAAGTCTTCAGACCCGCAGAACTACATTTGCGCTGCCCATGTGCATTAAAGTATATAAATTATTATTTAGGTCAATATCAATAGAATACAAAAATTCGCGTTAATCTCTATAAATAACTATATTTGTGATTGATGTTTTTTTTTTTTAAAAAAAATGCATGTTAGGAGATTTCTTTAGTTGAAGTATTTTCCTCTATATTTTTTATTATGAGACTATTTTCATTTTTATTTCTAAAATCATTTAAAAAAATATACTTTCGTCTGTTTTTCGTGAAAAACGAAAAAAAAATCGCCCGTGGTCGTCTGGAAAGTTTAAGAAATAACAACCTACTTGACCCAACTAGACCAGAAAGAATTGATAAATTATACATTTACAATTATAATAGGTAGTATGCGTCTACCTATTATTTAGCACATATTTTACTTTGAAGTACGATTTTATCTTGGGTGCATATTTGCTAATTATGCGATAATAATAAAAATGAATAAAAAATTCTCGGTCTTTTAATACATAATGTAAATCTGACATTCAAATAAATTTAAATTATTTCCTTATTTCCTTTGTATATACCGCAGCATCAGATGAGCGGGATTATAATGTACAGAATTTTTCACGCGGAGCGAAGATTTATTTTTTTAAAGGAAAATCTACTACCGTAGACAAAACATTTTATACACTATAATTCCAATATAATTAGTGTTTAAATAAAACGCCACGCACTTAAATATTAACGATTTACGAATTTATAATAATAATTAAATTAAACGCGCAAACAGGGTAAATAGGTACCTACGTGTTTTCTTGTCTATACCTATAAAGAGATTCGAAAATATAACGTATTTCTACTTAGGTACTTGTAATAGCCGAAATAATAATAACGATAAAGGCGAATATTTTCTATACCGAGTACAACCTACGCTCCCTTGATTGCTTCGAGACGTGTGCGTTGTCTTAGACGTTCGTTTCCAAAGCACGGCAACAACAACGACAATACAATAATATGATCCCGTACGATGATGTTTATTCATATACTGCTGTACTAAGACAATAGTATCTAATTAATTCTACCAGAAGTTTTCAACAAATAAACATAATTGTAAAACTAATAGATTCCTCGCTCCGCTCATAACCTAAAAGTAAGTAAGCACGTAAACACAACTAGGTACATTCACGCAGAGTAGTGCGAATATAAGCTGAACGGCCGAAGAGAAAATATTTAATAGGTAGGTCTGGTATAAATTTATCAGAATTAATCCACGTCCGTTCGCGATGCGAGGTAGGTTTAATCAGGTTAGTCTAGGTTAACAAGATTAGATCCGTTATAATTATCAGTAAAAGCTTTCACAGGATAATGGGGATGAGTGGAGCCACTTACATAGATAATTTAATGTATACCTGAAAGCAACGATAAACCATCGCTAACGAAAAAGTGATTTTGAGCGAAGTTCAGTTGATAACAATGCTTTGTCAACAATATATATATGCCATATTATGGTAAAATAATTAAATAAGCATTATATATTTTCTTTAATAATATTTGTTTAATGTACCGATTTTCCTGTTTTTCCTAGTTTTCCCATGTTTTTTCACATTTGTTGGGAAAATCGAAAAACGATCTTCCAGTCAGATTTCCTTTCAGAAAAGGTGCTACAATTAAAAGTCAGAGCAAAGTTTTTGATAAAAAAAGTTGCGCACAGATGAAAATAAAAAAAAAATAAACATCCTTGTAAAACCATACGCTTCTTCGATCAACTCAGAATCTAAAATATGTATTTATTACACCGATAAAACATCGAAATTAAATGTTTATAGCTTACTTAGAATTAAATTACGTATCACCCGCGTATACACCGTGCGTTGGAGGGGTCCTAGAATTCCAGTAGGTAGATAGGAGTCGGTATAGTTCGTTAATCGTAATACAGGTACCAAATTTGAACGTTTCGGAATTTGTCGAACACTGGTTATCATTCGGAAATAGTGTTCGATTTGAATAATATTTGTAATTACCTTTTTTATGTTAAACCGGTAAATCATAATTTATACGAAAAATCTAGTAAATTTAATTTTGGACATTAATCATTGTAATTGTATTTTCTAAGTAAAACAAAAAAAAGCTTTTTGTTTTACATTCTGAGAGGAGCGAAGAAGCTTATGGTTTTACAGAGATATATGTATTTATTTTTTTTAATATTAATCATTGCTAACGTCCTGGGACGTCTTTTTTTTTAATATCATATTTAAAATCTGCGGATTTTTCGTCTCAACGTACCTACTTCATTTGAAATATTTTTCGAATTTCCCAATAGTTATTTGTTTTTTTTAAAACACTTTTTGTCGGTTAGGCATTGGTTCCGATATTTTTACGCATTATCTCAAAAGACGCGTAATTTCTGCTCGGTGATAAATCATATTTAGTACTTTTTACTTAGTTTTAATCGAAATTTGATCTACAGTACCGTCTCTTTAAATAAACATTATTTTATTATTCTGTATTTCACAGCAATCGCGTCGCGGCGACACGACGGTTATTCTTGTGTAATAATATTATTTAGGCGCCGCTTTGAACTGTGCGCAGTTATTATCGTACACATATACTACATGTTGATTAAAACACATCACGATTAGGTTAGCTGTGTATAGGTACCCGTCTAGGATTTCATATTTCGGCGGAGTTTCTGCGAGAGAACGGTAATAGTATGTTATTATTATTATGATCGCTATAGACGTATCGTTTCGGCTTGCAACCGTATAGCTATATATTATTATAATTATTATTGTTACGGTAATACACCCACTGCGGGATAATGGGTAGGTACTGTGATACGCGAACATATTGTAATATTAATCTATACGCTAAATTACCGTGTGCAGCGGTCTCCGGTATGGCGATTGAAAATCGGTACCTATTCATCCGGTAATTGCCGGTGTGGTTTATCCTAAATTAATATTTCTCTTTTCGATATTTCGCTGCCCAACATTTACAAAATTATAATTTTACATAAATTACTCACGCAAAAAAAAAAAATAAAAAAAAAAAAACCGAATCCGATATAGCGCGCCGGATTAACATAACATAATGGAATATCATATTATACGATTGTATACTTGCACGTACTTACTATTTTGGATTCTGAGTGGAACGAAGAATGTATTGGTTTTACAAAGATGTTTATTTTTTTTTTTTATATGAACACTTTTTCTACTAGAACGCTTATTCCGATGTGTACGAAATAGAGCCTTTTCTAAAAGGAAATTGTCATGGAAAGGTACTTTAGACAGATCATTTTTCGATTTTCTTAGGAGTTTTCTCATCAAATGTGAAAAGCCGAAAGAAAACCGGGAAATGTACGAAATATTATATTAGTAAAATATTATGATTTTTTTTTTCTGTTGACAACTTTTCTACCAGCAATTTTACTCAGATTTACAATGATAGTACTTTTTTTGATAGTAGATCTGATTGGGTGGGTCGTTTTTTTTTATATATATTTGTTCAATATTTCTGATAAAAAAGTTGTTCAGAAACACACACACACACACACAAAAAGCGCACACTATAATATTATAATCAATACATTCCCCATTAGTCATTACGCTCATAATTTGAAACTTAATAATTATTATAATATGAGTTTTGATTGCTATATGTTCCACTAGGAATATTCTCCAAGAAACGTTCCTGAGAACTTCTTGAATATATTCTTAAATAAAAAAAAAAGTATTTAATTATTATTATTATTTTTGAAAGACTAATGATACGTTGTAACAGTTTTATTTTGAGTTTTTTTTCGTGATTATTTAGTTTGGAATGTATTTTAGATGTTTTATTTTTTATATCGATGACTGTCATTTATGCGTATAACTCGAGTTAATTTTGTATAATGTACATATTTGTAATCGCCAAAATGTTTGGACAATTCTCCTATAATATTATGTTTGTCATTCGAATAATTTACGAATATAAGTTATATTATTATATTGTGTTTCAATATAATATGTGAACAATATGTACAGAAATTTTAATTTTCCCAATAAATTTCCGGTACCGGGAATATCCGGGGAATTTTCAAATCACTAGCTTATGTTGCTTATGGTCATAAAACAATTATATAGATAGTTGTTAAGTGTGATAGAGACTAAATAAACGAGTATGAAGTCAGCAGTGATATACTAAGAGGAAAATTGCCAAATTGTAGTATTGATTAACCCACGGGCCAAGGATCGTATGTTTATACCGTGGTGTGAACCGTCAAATGTTTTTCATATTATCGTATTATGATAATCCATAGGATAAAAAATGCAATTTGCCCTCTTACGATACATATATATCCGCCGAATTTCAGATGTAATCATAGAGATACGATAAAGCTCATTTTTGAATTAATATTTAATGCATATTATGAAGACCTACGTGTGAAACGTATGTTCTTATCATGGTCGTTATTCGTTTCAATCGTATTATCATAATTTTTCCCATTATAGCTCGTGCGTTATTATAATTATTATAAGTGTACATTTTTCAAATCTAACCAGTTTCGATATTGCGACGTTCGTTTTTGTTTCGAAAATAATATTACTAACCTCGTCATCAAGATAATCCGATGGGCGTAGACAGGCACTTCTTCCCGGCCGATCAAGAACACTATGTCTGCCGATTCGTGATCGTCGGCCAATTTTTGCAGATCTTCGAGCAGCTGTGGCACCCCGGCGAACATCTTGTCTGAAAAATGTGCTGCCGCCACTCTTGTGCCCATGATGATGACTGGGGTTATGGGGGATGGGTTTCTCTCTAATAATATATCGTTCCGCTAAGTCCGTGTTGACGCCATTCGGTCGTTCGTGTACAGGCGATTCCTAAAAAAAAAAAAAAAACAAAAACATTGTTTATAATATTGGCCTCAAGTTTTTATAAAACGCGCGGCGCGGCGCGGCGGGGGCGCTAATAAATATGTAAATCCGAAAAATGCATTAAAACTTTTTTCGGGGCGCATATTAAACAACTCCGAACGGAAATCCCATTAAAATGGTTTCAACAGTTTTCAGTATATAACGAGTGGATAGACGATATTATTTGCGTAAAGGATATCTTGCGTGGGAAGTAATTCGTCGTCATTCCCTATTCCTCCGGCCAAAATTTCAAACTGTTAAAAATCATAAAATGCCGATATGCGTTACGAATTATGTTGTTCGATATTTTGCATATAGGTTCTCACGATTACGTACCTGAATCATTATGATTAGAAATAAGAAAAGCCGCTCGACGAGCTAATTATTAGATTATAAATATGAGATTAATCCGTACATTATTTTATATAGGTCCTTACAACACTGCCGTAATTTTACACATTTCTTAATATTTATTAAAATATTAGTATTATTTGTTAAGTTTAGTAAGTTATTTATTAGACTCGTACCTCAGTCGATGGTGATTTTATTACTATTATTATGACTTTTCAAAAAATAATAATTTTTTACTCACACGTGTAATTAGATTTGGGTTTTTTTAGTTATCCAAAGAGTGACGAAATTATATTCATAAGTATACTCTGGGGGAGGGTTAAAGGGGATTTAGTCCTCTCCCTCTCATTGACCGCGTGAAATACAAAAAAAAAAAAATAAAAACTATTTAGCATTGCCAATTTTTTACTAATAAAATTATATTCATTGCATATTTGCATTATTTATTCAACCAAGTACAAATAATTGTAAAATGCACAATATTTGTAAAACATAATTTTTAGTCAAGTTTTATTAGCCTCCCTCTCTCCCCACAGTGAAAAATGATGAGTACGCCACTGTGGTAACTATTGTGGATAAAAGATCAAAATTACTCAAATGGTAGTCATTTAGAATAAATTAGTACCTAAATAATGGTTTTCTTAATGATATACTAACTAATGGCGGTCAAATGATATTTGTCATAGAAGGGGATGTGGCTAATTTTTAACGATAATTATTTTATTTTATAAATATAATATATTGTTATACATTTTGAAGAGACATTTTGACGTGGATCATATATCTCCCGCAACTCCCCTATTATTTAACAGCCCCTCAAGATTCGTCCGATTTAAAAAAGCGATCGGATCCATCAATAAAATATGTAAAAATATAATGGACCCATTAAATGCGCGAAGGCGAGCAAACATGACTCAATCCCTTGGGTATTGTTCACCCTTAATAAACTTATAAATAAAAACGCCTCAGATATTACTACGTAAACGTGGTGTCTGTGCACAGTATTTTATTTTACGACTGTGAGGGAATTCGTTGACGAAGTGTCGGTACATTAACACAATAATCGTTGTGCGGGCGAATCGTTTATTTTTTTAATTTAATCGCATACAATTTCGTTAGCGTTCCGAAGGATAAAGTCAAGTGGGTAAACCTACACACGATCTCATTTCTCGTGTGCTAGAAAATTGCGAACGATTATACTTTGTTAAAGATTTTATGATATAATTATATTATGTAGGTGTACGTGTACGCGAGTTTACACTTAATAAAAGTACGTCGTTGGATGGGCCGAGTAACAAAGGACTCGTGAAAAATCTATTAAGAAAAGAGCGTGCGAAATTTGAGGATGCAGAAGATCGAGAACGAACGACGGAGATCTTTGGTGGAAACCGGAAAATGCGAAAGGCTTATTAAATATTTATTTAAATCATTCGTACTTAAAATGTAGTCGCATTAGCCGCAGTTCTTATATCTACGGTCGTTATCAGTTTTCACTGTTATCGTATTTATGCGCGTAGGTGCTCGTAAACGATAATAATGTTATTAATTGTACTCACCGGACGGCGAACGAAAATCGGGGAGGAAAAATTGCGACACAACACGCGCAGTCGTAGTTTTAATGAGCAAAGACGACGGTTAATGTTGCGAGGACGAAACGGGACACATGTGTCGGCTGGTTGGCCGTCTCGGTCTTACTATTATAGTACTACAACTGTTGTGGTCGATCCGCAGGAACGTGTTGTTTTTTACTTTACGGTGTTGTTTTTTTTTTTCTGCTACTCATACACAATAACCGGTCGCGCAGTGCAGCCGTGTCAGCCGGCGCGACCAACGACTCGACCGGTCTCGCGGGGCTACACTCGCACCCACCGTGCCCGCTGACTTGGCCGGGCGTTTAAATTGTCGGCCGCGGAATAGCCGTCGCCAAAAACGAACGTATATGTATTTATTAATATTATCGACGTATCGGAATAATAATAACATCGTCATTATGGTGTTATATCGAACAAAAATCATCGAATCGTGAAATACCTTTTTTCTAACCGGAACAGCCGGCCGATCCGATATCCAGGTAATCGTTATTAATACCTACATGTAAACCGTAAAAAAAAAAAATACATCAAATGCGTTGATAGTGATATCATATACGATACGTCCTATATGCGGTGATAATATATATCGATAATATCGAAACCGAAGAAATATCAAAAAATATCGATATATTCTGACCGTGTGTCGAGGGGAGGTGGGGGGGGAGGGTGTCGCGTCCTGCGGGTAGAAGGTGCCGGCCCCGACGGTTCCAGCGCCGAGAAAAACCGAAAATCTCGTCGGAGTTCTGGAACAAAGCGACCGGACAACACTGCGCGTGCGAGTCCAATCCGGTTTGCCGGGTGCCGTTGCCGTAACGATACACGCGCTCACTATACAGACGTAGCCCCGGGACGACGATGACGACGGTAATAATAAAGAAATATATGTGAGCCATTAACCGTCGGTGGAATGTCTACGGGTCTCTCTCCCCCCCCCCTCTCGCACCGTTACCGCCGCCGAAGTGAACCTATACGATTGTTGTTATTACATAACAATGTTGCCGTCCCGTCAGGTTTTTTAAACGAATATCCCGACCCTGGCAATTTGTAATCTGGTAATGTATACAAATATCGCGTCTGTGTGTATTACTCTCGTGTGCACCGTACATATTGGGATGGTGGAAAATGATACGGATTTTCTGAACACATTCTCAAACTTCATACATATTTTTTACGTTGTTTGATATCAGAGAATTTAAAAAACACGCAGGTAGCCGGTAGGTACCTACTTGGCGTACCTACCAGTACGTAAAGACAGTTAAATTACAAATTTGTCGTTATTAATTTCTTTTTAACGTAATAATAATTATCGGTTTTTAGGGTATTTTTGAGCGCTTTCCGGTATTGCGACCGGGGTGTAAACACAGCGCGCCTCCCTTTCTTACGGCCCCGCAGAACATCGTTGTATTTTAAGTACTCGTAATTACCATGTCCATTGACCTCTGCATAACTAAATAGATAAATCGTAGTTTTAAAATTTTATTCTAACACTCTATCTAGTGATTACGAATTATAAGTATCAGGTTCGTTTGTTTTCAAATTTTAGATTTGTGTCCAATGCCGTTTCTGGTATGACTAGACAATAGATAATAGTTGTCTGGTGGTCTCTCTGGCATCTTCATTAGTTTATAGTGTGTATACTTTTATATTATTTAAGCATTACTTTAATAAAAAAATCCTTAATAATATTTACATTATTTAATCATTCAAACGTATAGTTGAATATTCCAATTAGGTACGTCTATAGAAAGTGCTAAAATGAGCTATTTTCCTTTATATACAAATGCGTTTGAAACAACCAGCTTCTGATGTCACTCAGTTGTCACCTAATCATCCTCGGTGTTTCGCTTTGTCTGTCCTGATTTGATTTTGATATACAAAAGGCATGCGGGCAAATTGGGCGTTACTACGGGGATAATTATAGCGTTACAGATATTTTCCATCAGTCTTTTTTATTTTTGATTTTCGCTTTTTGATGATACCTAACAATGTTAGCAATAATTATCAAAATACAAACAATAGCTATGGCTAATAGGTACTGCTCTAATATGAGGTATTATGTACAAGTGAAACACGATTAATTACAATTAACCGGTATTCTACCAAAATATCCAGTGGAATTTGTGTCTGAGGACAGTTTACTGGAAAATAAACTACATCTGCTATATTATTATAATACGTATTTATTCTACTTTTTGTTTAAAATTTCTTTATGCTATATTATTTATCATAGAATGTTTGTTCATTTGAACCAACACCTATTTATTCAAAAATTATTTTTCACTCAATTTCGTTACGATATTAATAAAAACGATATTGATTTTTACCGTGTTAACTTTTTTATAATTAAGTTACTAAAGAATATTAATAAATCAAGTACTACATACTCGTTGTAAATCATAATATGTTAAGTCGTATTATGTTAACGTGTTTATATCAAGTTTAAATTTTTATGAAAATAAATGTAAAACAGGTGTTCTAGATGTATAAAGTATGCACATTGATCATTATATATAATATATAGAATTATAAGTGATTCAATAAAATAGGATATGGGAAGAAAACAAAATTTGGACAAGGAAATTAATTAAGATTAGACATTTAAGCAGTGATAGCATATTGCCTTTAAATGAACTTGTGGAAAATGATTTGGCTGAATTTACAAATTGCATAAGAACTAGTCCGTCGAGGTTTAGTATCTTAATTGTTATAATTGATGCACTAATAAATTCAATAACGTATTCCAATAGTGAGCCACAATGATCAGGTATCACAGAAAACAGACACTGATAATAATGATAGCTCAATTATCCCGTATTTAAGTCACGATTTTAGTAAATGTTGAGGTGCCGGTGGTTTCTATATAGGTTTAGTAGATATGAAGGAGGGAAGGTGTTTTGAGAGTCTGGACACCCGCTCCCCTCTATTCATGTTCAGGTGATATAAATGTAATCAAACGTGTTAAAAACCGTGTTTTTTTTTTTTTTAAATACGATAAATGTGCCACTCTCATTCAGAAAATTCTGGTCGCCCCACTGTGCTCTGCACATTTCAAATGTAGTAGAAAATACTAGTGATTCGCTTTAGTGACTGTTGTGATAACCTAATATACACGCAAGTATGTTAAAAATCGGTCAACTTGCCCCGGGGCTTTGTCGGTAACGATAACAATAACGATCGCAACGTTCGCCGCCGTTGCTCTAACCGCGAGCGTACAATAAAATTTCCTGACCGCGTCGCCGCCACCGCGTTTACATTGGACCCGAACGATCCGTCTCGCGGACGGGATGGGCTCGACGTCGGGATTAATATAATACTGCGGCATGAGGTCTTTGGGGACCGGTCGGATGTGCGGGAGCACGAGACAGCCGCCGACCGTAATTAGACGGGAAAAGTTCCTCGAGAGTCTCCCGGCACATCAAAAACGTCTCTTCCCCCTCGCTCGGCAGCCGGTAGATTTATTCAGTGCCGCGTCCTAGGACCCTTTCGGCCGCGCGTCACAACCTCGACGATAACATATCTGAAAATATATCTGAATTTGCGGAAAAACATATCAATCTTTTCGAATTTAAATCGGATACCCTCACGATTTCAATACAAAGTTGTTCGTCATATTTTATGTAATATATAACCAGTGTTCGGGAGCTTATAGCAATTAAAATCAACCGAAAAGCGCTTAAAAACCTTTATCATAAGCTCTTAAAAAAATTAATAAGCCATTTAAGTGCTGAAATAAGCACTTGAAAAAATATTTAAAAAAGCAAAAGGATATTACCAATTAAAATAATTTTTTTTTAAAAAAACTATTGAAATTATAGTGAAACTTTAAATATTTTTAAACTTTTTTTTTTGGAGGGGGTGGGGGTGGAATTTGAAATTTTTAAAACTAATTTTACACACCTCCAGAACTCAAATTATAACCACCACTGTTGTAAAATGACATACATTTTCGAAAAACTACTGGATTTAATGTGAAGTCAAAAAAAAAAAACAAATAAGTCTCGAAACCTTATTATAACTTACAAGATAAATTTCTGAATATAAATACAGTTTAATCTAATATAAAAGTAACAACGATATAATATTGTTTATACGTTTTATACTGATATAAATGATAAAAATATTATAAACTTATTATTAACTTACTACAGTTCAATGTCCAGATGATGAACTCCATTTTGATAAAGTCTATATCATTAGAAAAAATGTTAAATATTTTTATTAGTTTTTCATAATAGTTAGTTCATTAAAAAAAATACACATTTTTATTTTTTTTTAATAATAAGTCATTATTAATGAGTAATGACTAATTATAATAATCGATTTTAGCTTAGCAAAGTTTTGTTTTGATGTAATTTTAATTGGCTAATAACAAACTCTAAAAATAAACAAAAATTCACTCGTCATAGTAAAACCAATATATTCCTTACTTTGCTACGATTTTAAAATACAATGTTAAACTTATAACATAGCTAGGAATATTATTTTTATACGGACTCCACTGCCATCATGCATCAATTTATACAATACAATATACAGGATGAATTTTTTTAAACATAATCACGGCATTTTCATGGTTAAATTATGCATGAATTAGTTTTCTGATTTTTTAAATTTTTATGTGTAATGAAAAACGATATCTTTGGTTTTTCAAAACAGAACCTACACCATTTAATGCAAATTGCCAATCAGCTAATTTTTCTGAAAATTTTGACGTAATCGAAATTTGAACGAACAGTTTAGAGTTTTTCTACATTAAATACTAAGAAAAATAGCATTTTAAAAGGATTGGATACTGACCGTTTTATAGGAGTCGTTTATAGGCAATTTTGTTTTTTATGCGTTATGCCTTTGTGCGAGACGTAATGGTTATTAGTTATGGGTAACTGTTATTCTGCATGTGTGTTATTAATAATAAAACCGGTTTTTCGATAACTGTATGAACCAAAATAAAGAATAACTTATACACTACTCCTGTAAAACGGCCGTTATCCAACCCCTATAAAAGGCTATTATCCTAGCCTTTTATGGGATTGGATACTAGGAGTGTCTAAATACAAACATGGACCATGTACATTATGCACATGCATTAGCATTA